TATCAGTGATCAGTAATTAACAATAGTATCATTGTTAGAATATTTGATGAAGTAAAAAAGAAAAGTTTAGTAGAATTATGATATTGTAGGGCATGATATTTAAAAGTTGGTGTGATGTAAGGTTGGATATTAGGACATGTTAAATATCGAGGCAATTGCAAGATATCGATAGAATTTATAGATCAGATTGAATTAGAACTGGAGATCATTGAAAGCATCAGAAGACTATGATGCGCCCTGCATCCATGACATTAAGAGGGCACACCTAGATCTAGGCACAACCATAACGTTGTGGTCCCTTTGCACGCAAATAAAACCAAGAGTAAATAGTCGAGAGCAGATCCCAGAGGTATCGTAATACAACACTCTCTATACATATAATAATCACGCTTCTCTGGCAACGGCTTTAACCTTCCTCCTGGTTGACCTTACAACACCGTAGCACAATTCCGCGATGCTACCCGCGTCACTCTGATGTGCAGCTCTCGTGGCCGTATGATTTGCATAAGACCCAGACTACACTCAAGCTCCTTCTCACTGGCTACACTCGAAAAAAAATCAGTTGGATCTTCAACTAAAATTTGGAGCTGAATACAGTGAATTCATATTCTTAGTTAATTTAATAAAAAATTTAATTAAAATTCAATTATTATAAATAAATATGTAAAATAATTAATATTAATAATAGGTCATTTATTTCAACTTATTTATTTAAAAAAACATTTTATGTTATCTACAATTTTTCTATTTAATTATGTTATTATTGATATTCGTAATTGGATGGTACTTTGAGTTGAATTTTATTAATTTGCTTCAATAAATTTTTTACAGTCTCGGGGTGGGTTCGAATCTACGTTCTCTCGCATGCACGCGTATATATACACTAAAATTAAGAATAATTATTTATTAATGATCCAATTTAATTAATATAATTATTACATATAAATGACATAAGATCCTTAAATAGCCAATATGGCAATTTAATTACAAACAATATTGTTTATTATAAATAAATCCTCTCTTCAGTGCACAATTTTTTGAAGAATAATCTCTCGGTCTTTTCTTTCACTTTATGTGCCTGTAACCCAAGAGGGTGAATATTTATCTCTACATTATGGGAAGAGAATGTACGACTACAGAGAACGTTAACGCGAATTACGAGAGACGACTGCTCGTCGTGAATTTGGCTACCAAACTCAGCGATTTGGTCGTTGGCACGTAATTGTCTTTCTCTTCATCTCCATTTCTTGTCGTTTAAATGTTTGGTAACATAGTTGATGATTACTGCAGGTGAGGTAGCAAACGAAGCCTTCTTTAAACTTGTCACGAGTACCAAAGTAGTTCTCATAGTGTCACAGGGGAAATCATTTCTTCAGTCGTTTTACCGCTTCGGGAATATCAACTGCGTATGGAATATTTAGTTTGTTACAAAGAGAGAATGATACAGGAAATATCAAATTGTTCTCATCGCCCGTGACGAAATCATCCTCTTAGATATCGCGATTACGAAATTCTAACAAAGGGCTTGACGAAATATCCGGTGAATTTTGCCTCGTCGATTTAGACGTCTTTCAAATATATTTGTATCTAACAGCCAATATTACACAAGCCCTCTCTTCATTAACTATCGTGCTTGTTTAATTATCTATAATATACATCACTGATTTATTTCATATTTATATTCACATCATTTTTTTTTGCTTATTCTATTTTTCATTTAAAAAATAATTTAAATAATATTTTAAATATTTTTTTTTTATATAATGAATTAAACTCTCTATATATTGAGTGTTATAAAACCGTCTGTAAAATAATCCTTTTGTGTGTTTATGCCTCCTGATAAAGGGTGCTATCCCTCTAGAACAGTTTTAAATAAAATTTTTCCATTTTTTCTATTTGTAATTTTTATTTATTTAATTTGTGCAATCGACGTTTAAAAGAAGGATGAATTTAGATTATTTTATTTTGGCTAATAGATAAATAAAAATAAAAAAGATACTTACACGATTTGGATCCACGTGCACCAGTGGAAAACAAAAACAAAGAAGCGACTAAGAGAATGGCCAAGTCGAAGGGGGCACCTAGATTCTTAAGATGCAGTAGGTCATCCGCAAGCAAGTCAGCCAAGTTTTCACTTTCATCCACGTGGTCGAGGGAATGTCTTGGTTGAAGGCGCAGGGACGACACAAAGCGAGCAAAATGAGTGAATGTACTATCGGCATATTTCATTCATATACATACATTTTAAAATATCTCAATACATATATATATATATCATATAAAACTTCTACGTAACATCCGATACTTTGCCTCTCATTGAATTCACGACTCGTGCGAATTCTGTGTTCCGCTTGGTTTCCCCATTCTCTGTGTGTGGCGCCTCAGAGAAAGAGGCACAGGAAAGTCTCTCGATTTGCGCGTCTCGTCGTCTTGCCAAACGAAATTTTCGCCTCACTCTCTTTTACCTTTTTTTTTTCTTCTTCTTTCACTTTTCTATCTCCATTTCCTACACCTTTATATTCTTTATTTTCTACCACTTTTCCAAGTAGTATCGAGTTTCGAGAAAATTCCACCATGCGGTAACAACTCTGTTCATTGAAAAACTCTGCAATGGCTTAAAACATCGTACAAACTTTTTCAGTCTTCCAATTTGTTACGAGGTGACAATCTAGGTTTAGTCACTCTTCGTTATAACATCTCTTGTTTCACAAACATGCATTATCTTATCAACATCCTTCTTTTACCCTATTTCTCTATTTACATCCAGATGTAGTTTCTTTATCAAATTTATATTTTAAATGTAAAATTTAATGGATCTTTTTATAAATAATACTTTTTTGTTATTCTTAACTGCAAGTTCAATATGTAAATCATGAATGTAAAGAGAAGAGTTTTCATGACAAGTGTGAATTAACCAAATTATATCAAACAATGTCAGTCAGAACCTTGACCTTTCACTCAACGTATTCTACCGACCAACATCTTACTCCTTGACTTGTGATTACCACAAGATTAGTTGTGGTCTACACAATGATTGCTCTTTTTTCATTCTTATTGTTATTATAATTATTATTGATTACAATAAAGTCGTTGAAACACCAAACTTACCTAATCGAGGTATGTAGTTCAATGCAATAAGCGATGTAAAGTAAATTGTTTAGATATTATTGGATATGTTTACAGTGATGACCACTTGACATTAGATGATGTTATAGCAAGAATATGTAGGAGTATCCTATACTTAATATTATTTTTATATGGGGAATTATAGCTCAGTGATATGATGAATCTCGAAATTATTTAAATGGTCACTTGGTTCTCACGAGATATTCCTTTCACGTTAAATATCTCAAGTATTTTATTATATTTAATCAAGTATATTGCACTGAAAAAAAAATTTATTGGAAATAAATATTTATTTTGAACAGTATACCTTATTAACCTTATTAACATTTTTATTTTTATTTTGTTTATTCATTTATTTCTTAAAGAGAAAAAAACAGGGAGTGACTCAATGGAGGATCATCAGAGTACAGTCTACTCATGTCACCAATAAAAAAATCACATCATAGTCACTCATAAATGAAATAATAACAGATTGTAGTTTACTTAAAATAAAATTGAAAAACAAAGAGTGAGCTATAGAATCATCTGAATAATATTTATATTAACTAATAACAACAATAATTAATTGAGTATCTATGACTCTGCACAAATTATCTAGATTAAAAGTATCTACCCCAATTCACTATCAAAGCTAAAAATTAATAAAGTTCCAGGGGAAAAAGCACACATAATATTATCCCGTTAACTAACGTGAAAAACTTTGAGCAGAATAAATTTAAATTTTCTTGTCATTATGGTTTTTTTATTTACATTTTTTTCCTTCTTCATAATTCTCGGACGAAACTATTATCATGAAAGTTAGAACGTTGGTCCCGCAGGTATTATGCAGAAAGTTACATAAATTTATAAGGAAACATTATATTTTAGTCGTTAGAAGGATAATAGCCGGCTGTTCTAGAGGGATTTTCATTCACACCAAGGTAAGCGATAATGTAAGTTGGCATGGGCACAGCGCCCAACTGTGTCCGATAATGTCAGAATTCTTGAATGAATATAAATAAAAACTAAAAGAGTATATACCAACTTCTTAATCTAATACTTTGTCATGCAACTACACTGAAGCAAGACGAAAGATGCAACTTTTTCCATGTAGAAAACTCTCTTGCTACGTAGCTTTTTCAGTTCCATCAGGAAATCATCAGCAACAATTTAATTTGATTGACAGGATTAATTGTTGCAAACATGATTCAAAGTTTCTAATAGTTATAGACAGAGACAGAGAGACTAACTGTTCATCAACATCGCGTGTCAAAGTTGCTCACTTCAAGTCATGCACCTGCAATAACAAACCAAGGATCGATAGCATGGACATTGGGAATAGCAATAGAGAAAACAAACAGCTAAATTTATAGTGTAGTGGTACATCGTCATACTCTCGCTCTTAGTTGGATCAATAGTTAATGTTACGGTGCTTGAAGCAAAGCCAACGGTTTCGCTCGAAAAGAGTCACTACTGGAGCATTTTACTTCCGGAGGTTTCTCATCCACTGGTTTCATTTGTTTACCTGGTCTGTTTGCACACGAACGTGGTCGATCGGTTTTCAGTGGTCCCAAAAGAGCTATTCTATCGAGGTGAATCGTGTTCACGCACGAAAACAAATGAGTTCTGACACCAAAGACTCCTAGGACAGTTGGTGGCTTCATAGTTGATAGTCATCACCATGGAGGATTCAAGTGAGGATATTGAGAGTCAAAGCAGTCTCTCGCTTGGTCGATACTTTAAATGAAAGAAAGACTAAGGGGAGTTGTTGCCCCTCTATTTCAGCAGCACTGATCGCTGGTCCTCTCCTCTTTTATTCGCTCCCCTGAGACTCGTCGAAGGTTTGTCTTATTAGGCCCACGCTATATAAACAGAACATGACTGGATGGCGAACAGTTACGTAGTGAATCTCGCGTCGCTGTTGCCGTTGTTGGCTCGACAGCCTATGCATATTCATTTAATAAACGGCTTCTAACATTCCAACTATACAAGTTTATCCCTTGGTTCTTTTTTTTAAACATATCGCGTTGTCTTTTGCTAAATTGAACTCTGGTCATTTTTCTACTGTCATTTGTTTCAACTCTCCAGAGAATTTTTTATTCAGTGACTGTGTCAAATAAACTATTTGTGAGCTGCTCCCGTTTGGGTGCAACTCTGTACTTCAGTTAAAATAATTAAATATATTGAAGTTGAACTATGCTTCGCATTCAGGTACGTCCTAGACAGGACAAAACGTCTTTAGATATTTGTATTGATATTTCTGACACCCAGTTCGACTCACTGAAGATCTCCAAGCTTGCAATAAACATCCATTCGTGAAATATTTCAATGCACTGTCAGCCTAACCTTGTCTCTTCATCTGTTACATGCCAGACACGAAAATATGTGCTTTCGTGGAAAGGGGTTTGAAATAGTTTTTATTGAAAAAAAAAAATTTTGCTGGAAAATTTTTAATAAAAATTTTTTTTCATCAAATTATTTGAATTTTCTAAAAAATATTCGGGTTTAAAAGTATTGTTCTGGTATTTATTTATTTACTTGTTTTTTTTTTTTTTTTTGGTCTCCATTGTTATTGCTTTTGTTAATTTAATAGTTATTGACTTGTAGAAAAAAGTAAAATATTTTTTTTTGAGATCAAAGGTTCGACAAATGATTACCAGAGAATGTTCTATTCTATGTTTAATGGTACTAGAAAATGTGAATACATGAAGAAATGTGTGTTTGTGTGCAAATTCTTCTGTATACAGAGGCTTCAATAGGTCACATCTAAGTAGGCTAGAGTACAACTTGAGTCAACTATTCGATGAAAGGTGATGCAATACTCAATACACTGCTCTCGATCGTCCGGAATCTCTTTGCCACCCTGTAACCCCCCGTTTTTCCTAATACATAAACTATCGTTGAATCGTATTTTATTTCACCTGCTGAAGTTAAATATACTGGTGTGAATAAAAGCTTTAATTGTTTGTTTACTGCAAAAGTCAATATTTATGAGCATTCTTGAAACAAAGTTTCTTTTAGGACGTTATAAAGAAAAGGTAATCCATCTTCTCGCGCAGCTCACTTTTTATTAAATAACTCGAAAAGAACGCGTTGGAGATCAAGACGTGGTTCGGATGATTTTTAGAGAATTTTACGAGGAAAAGAATAAGACTAGTCTGGATTTTTTGCAATCAATAGTTTTAAAGTTATTTAATTTTTAATCAACAAAATATCACTAATATATATTTATAAACAATTGTAAATTTATGAAAAAAAATAAGATAACATTTATACTCAAGTTATATATTCTCTTGCAAAATACCTTGATCAGAATTTATAAATGAAGTATTTGTCAAATAGCATAAAGAACTCCGTTCCTACCCGGTGTCCTACGATACCACACGGTTTGTTTATTTTAATATCTCTAAAAAAATAAATAATTTCTAAGAAGAATAGTCTAGACTAATCGATAATTGAATACATTAATACTCGTGAATAAATAATAGACAAACATTAATGGATATTAGTCGTCTAGGTTGGAGATGATGATAACTGATGAATATGAAAAAATAATTGATTGACTAGGATGAATTAGAAATAGTGAATGATGAGGAGACATTAAGTAATTAGTATGATTTATCTTATGCAATGAGAGAGCAGTTGAAATATAACATCGACTAAGTGTGAGAGTTGACATAATAGTAGCAATTATTATTCCATCAAGGCGAATGAACTCTATACTGTTTTCGTATACTTTTAGCTCATTTTCAACGTCTGGTAATAAAATGATAATATTTATGAAAGCAAAAAAGTTATTTCAACGCAAACGAATGAATTACTCCAAACTCTTGCAGAAGAATTCACGCGTGCGGTTTATGAGAGTCGTTAATAATGAGTAAGGGAAAAGATAGGAGAGTGCATTGTTGCGACAGTTTTTATGAGAAATATAATTCATAGCTCTTCGCACGATCTGTAATATTTTGGTTTAATAAAAATATGCGTGTCACGGGTGTGAAACGTGACAGCTCACCAGTGGTCACTACAAATATCGACAGTGAACTAAAAATAGGACCATACAAAAAAATAAAACCATGGCAATACAAAAATGGAAATAAACATGACCAGTGTAAAAGAAAAAACAATAAATAAATGAAATAACAAATAAAAGTATATACTGAGATAAATATATATCCGATGATGTTCCGCTCAGTTGATTGCTTGTTCAACCAACAACTATTAGCTTCACGGATATTTCACCAAATGAAATTGTGGAGAACCAAAGAACTGTTAACTACCTCTTACAGTGTTTGTTGTAACTTCCACTATCGACCCAATTACTTGGTCTAATCACTCCCACAAGAGAAAGATGAGAAGCTACAAGACAGATTCAGTGCCAAATAGCAGTCATCTAATATGATAGCTGTTAATGAGTGACTTTTTCTCACTATTTTATACAATACTGTTACCTGCTATGAGAGTTACAAAGACTCATCAACACTTATTACATCATTCATTACTATCATCAACTCATAAAATTGTTAACTATCTGCTTCAGTTGATCCTGTTTGGTTTGATGGTGCATAATGTCCTTGGAGACCTACCACCAGGAACAAGGCGCAACACTTACTTACCTCCTGAACCAACAAAAGGATATAATTATAATACACCCTCTGTTCCATTCCCACCAAGACCAACTCCATCACCTTTCCCAACACCCAGACCAACACCATCCTTTCCAACTGGACCTACTAGACCAACTCCTACCTTCCCACCATCTCGACCTCCAACATCTAGACCAGGTTATCCAGGTCCTGGACCAAGACCTACTCCTGGCTTCCCTACTCCAGCTCCACGACCCACGGGATATCCTGGACCAGGACCCAAACCTACTCCTGGCTTTCCAGATTACACTCCACAACCTACTGGCAATCATGATCATTCTACAGTAAGTCATTTCTCTTCACTTAATGTACAAATATAGTAATAATTATTTCTCCAAGTATATTTTAAATTCAACGCTGAATTAATGTCGAGATCGCAATGAAAAAAATAAACAATAGGCTCTCAAGTAATTAATTGATTTCTTACATCACAATTGTTTTGTTTTTTTGTGTACAATGAATGATTACATGTATTTATGAATTTTAAAAATACTTTATTTATCATTTTGAATAATAACTCGTTGTCTGAAGTAAAATTAATTTTATCCTTAATGATATGTCATTTGATTGCTGATGATACTGTTTGAAAAGATTGATCTAAAAAATTCAAAGATGTGTATAATTGTAAAGAGTTAAATGTTACATAGTGATTAATTGAATAAGTAAAATAGTTAAATGAAGATAATTAATAGTTAAACTTGAATGTTGACAGGGTGATCATCACCACGAGCCTGGAATGCCATTTGATTTCAATTACGCTGTAAAGGAAGATGCATTTGGAAATGACTATTCACACAATGCGATTAGCGATGGAGACATTGTGAGAGGGGAATACCGTGTTCAACTTCCGGATGGCCGCACGCAAATAGTTCGTTACACAGCAGACTGGAAGCATGGATTCAGTGCTCAGGTCACTTATGAAGGAACTCCACGTTTGGATCTTCAACGGCCTCCTGGCACTTTCAGGGGTTATTAAAACTTGCTAAGCCGGTATTGTAATTACTGTGTTGTTAATTACTTTTAGAAACATGATTTCCCTGTAGACATTAAATTAATGATCAGTATACCTCTAATTTACATTATATCCATAAAATTTTTTCAGAATATCTCCTTATATCATGCTGGTTCCTATTCATCAATTTAACTTAATATATATGGGAATGCATTTAATTGGCCAACAGAAGTTGGGAAAAATTAGCATTACCGATTAAATGCAAATAATGAAATAAAATATTATCAATAATCGATAATAATAATTGCCAATGACGTGTCATACAGACTATGTTGTACATGCGACGATCGACGATTTATTGAAATCTCAGTGAACATTACATTGAAAGATTAATCCAAGTCACGAGTTGTTGTATTATTACAACGGCATTTCTCGAGCATAGTGAAATGATCAAAAGAAATATTACAGTAATGATGGCTATGTGTGCATCATAGAAACATTATTGCATCATTGAAATTGATCGTCCTGTTTAGAATTTCTTGGGAACACATGCATATACCATTACATTTTTTGTATTATTGTTAGCTAAATCACATGATAATTTAAACTTATATTAATCATTTGTTTAAGATATAAAATTGGCATTAATCTATAGTTTATTTTATTTTTTTTTTTGATTATTAGTCACACCCGTCGGTTGGCCAATATTGATCGACCTTTGTGAACAACAAGTAGGCAATAGTTATCGCATTTCTGCGGTGCAACGATTCAATCTCATCGAAACAATGAGCTACCTTGAATAGTCTCGACCGTAACAACTACAGTACACACGAAGGATCTTGTGGAGGAGTAAAGAGAAGAAGCATAGGCCAAAGTGTTGGTCGACACGTGAACTAATCTCCAAGGAACTCACTTTCACTGCTCCGTGGGAAGATCGAATCCTCGTTCATTACAGAGGTTTTCATTCTGCGATTCGTTCTCATCAATCTAACAATTGTGTCACCATACCAACAAATTTAAACATCCGCCACTTGTTTTTTCACTGTTATTATTATTTTTATTATCATTATTTTTAGATTATTTAATATTTTTTTAATACTTAATTATAGTTTTTCTTTTCGAAAAAAAAATTTCTTTTTTCAATGACACAATATTTAACATTTGTATTTAACTATTCAACTAAAAGAGGGATCATTTTGATTTAAATTATAAAAAAAGATGTGTCACCATTTTGTTAGCTATTAACAGAAAACATTGGGGTAGAATTCCGATTAAGAGACATATTCAAAAATAAATTAATTGTGTAGGGATGCACTGAAATAGTGAATAATTCGATTTAAGCCGTATGATGAAGGGAAGAGTACTGTTTGACGAATACAAGTATGATTTCAAGTGAAATATATAGACTGATGAAATAGCTCAACTGGTCTAGCAGTTGGCGCGCAACTAGAAGGGTTCCGAGTTCGACTCCCCTCGATCTTGACAAAAATTATTATTCGCTGAGAAGCGTCTTGGGCTAGTTGTGAAGTAATCTGTGTATTAAAAAATTAGAAAAGTGAATGTGTCCCTTAATTGTAACCTTATCCAAAAAAACGTTCTTATAAAAAATTTATTTAAAATAATTTTATTAAAAAAAAATTTGTTGAATTTTGATGAAAACAGTTTAGTTAACAAGTTTCTTTTTATAGGTGAATAACTATACAGTTGATAGCTGACAAATAAACACATCGTCTTTACCTCTCTTACTATCAAGATGTCCCTTATCGTATCTTAAAAGTGAAACAATCAATCAACTTAATGCACAGACAAAGAATTGACTCAGTTAGCAAAATAATTATTTCTCAATTTCCCTTCAAAAATTAAACTAAATATTTTTCATTATACCTTATGTAATGATGAACAAATCAAAAATAAATTTTATATAAAATGATTAACTTTTAAAGGATATTTTGTTTAATATATATATGTTTAAATTTAAAAATTCAAATAATTATCAATATTTTATTCAAAAATAATTTATATTTTTTATTTTTTTAATAAATATATATTCACGACTGCAAGAATAACTTTAACTAAAATTTAAAAAGTTACCTGAATCACTTGTCTATACAGCTTTATATATATATATATATATCGATGTGCAACAAATATAGATATTGCTCATCTACCCTCAAGCTTGAACCTGTCAAATACGCATGGATATACAACTTTATTAATATTCATCCCCGAGGTAACATTTGAATGATGAAAATTTTATGAATTATTCTTGTTTTATATCAAAATAATATTTTAATCAATTTATTAGAGATTACTTTCTTAAATAGTATTATTAAAAAAAAAAAGTAGTTTATTAAGAGTGATCAATAATTTTATAGGATACTCTAGATATATTTTTTATTTATATCCTTTAAAAATTTAGATTAGATTAAAACTATTTTCAAACATTTATCTTATTAATGATTCAAAGAAATTGAATAAATAATGATAGTTACGTATTTATCAAAATAAATTTATCGAATGTGGGGTTTTTTTTTTATTTCCATCTTCATCATCTAAATAGAAGTTTATTTTTAAGAAAAATATAACATTTAGTATCAATTCATTGTTTCAGATAATTCAAACAGAATATCCAATCATATATAAAGATTTGTAGTAAAAAATATTTGACAAGAATTTACGTATAGTTATATGATATGAATTGTTATAATTCCGATCATCCAAATAACTCATAACATGATTTATCACTATTACTCATCTATCGATAAACCGTTTGAGAAACGAAAATGTATGACGTTAAAAATTCGTTGTTATTTATATGATCGCATATTTTAAATTGGAAAACATAAAACTGCTCAATATATCATTTCCACGTTTCCCAAGTATTACTGATACTTTTAAAAAAAAATTTGCTACTAAAGAAAAATTTCATTATCCACCATGAAACTTTAGTAACTATTGATAAATTACTGGTTATTTTATCTTTCTTTCAATTGTAACGGTTTATTTCTAGTTTTAAACAGTGAAAAATTCAACATGTTAAAATTCCAATTACCAGATAATTTAAACGTTATTAATTATTGTAATAGAGCAATCAGAGCAATTAATATTTACAGATAAATATTTAAATCAGTTATCGATATAAATTCGCCTTATGTATTATTGGAGAATAGACGACTAAAATCCTTCTCTAGAATTTACAAATTCCTGTGCCTTCGGCCGCACAGTTAAAGAAAAAAAAATAACCCTGCAAGTACAGTGTAACTTTGCTCTGATTTTCATTTTCTGTTTCAAATAAAAAAAATTCATCAAAACTTGGCATCGTCGTGATTTCAAGTAATATCTTGTATATAAAGTCAGTGGCCTAAATAATACGTTGAGTCCAATGTTATTTTGAGGCCTGGTCTCAAAATATACACATGTCTCCAAATGATACGTTCTATCTCGATTTTGTCCCCAAAAAATACATCCCTTAAATTTATATTACTATCTATATATAGACATATTCGGAATCATGTTAATTTTCAAAATACAAATAAAACAATTTGTAAGGTGACCCATGTACAATAAATATTACTCCAGCTAGAAAATAGAATATTTGAAGATCAATCTCGTAATTAATAATTAAAGTGATGAACAATAATTATATCTCATGTTGAAACACTTTTCTCTATTATCAAAATAAAATAAATCAATGGAGAAATGTTGGAATATTATAAATAATAAAAAGATACTTAGAAAACACTAGAGTTTTCAACTTGAATATTTTTAGTGTCATCACTCAGAATTTTTTGAACAGTATCTTCCATCAACGTTCGATCAGCATACATTATTTGTAGAAATGAAAAGAAATTGGCTGAAAAATCGCTAAAGCAGACCTTCGTTCTTGAACGTGCAGTCCCAAAGAGAGTATTGAAATTCAAGAAAACTTTAACTGAACTTGTATGTATATAAATTTGTGATGCATGACGTTCGATACAAATCAGAAGCAAAGTTGGACTTGTCTGAAAAATCTCCGTTCAATCGTTTTCCCTAAAGACTAGTTTCATTCGTTTCGATACCACCTTTTGTACTTTTTCTCCCTACTTTTTTTCAAATTCTCAATAAAACATCAATACCTACAAGACTAAATTTATATTTATTGATATTAAATTTTTGCAACAACACTAGTGAATGATGTAACATGAAAAAAAAGCAGTGTATACAACCAACTGAAATTCAAGGATTGCCTGTTTTAGCATCAAACACACTATACCTCATCAAAGAGAATTTAACTCAAGTAAAAAGGTATGAGTGAGGTGCAAGTTGTGGCAGAACTCTCGCGATCCATTTGTGAAGGCGACGAGGCAATAAAGAATTCGACATGAAAAGCTTGACCTATGCAACATGGTTCACTCGTCCTTTTCAACCTTTCTCTATTGCTGACCACAAACTACAAGTTCCAAAAGTGATGCACCTTGGCTCACTTCAAAGTATTGACCAAGTAAAAATACTCTTTGATACGAGGCTACGTGTTTCTTTCCAAAAAATTGCATTCCCCAGAAGTTAGTATTTTTCGAGAGGTATTACACCTCTTGAATGTATTTTACTCGAAAAATTTGAAATTCAATAACTTGATTATGTAAGTTGATGTAAACATAATAGTTTGTTGTTCAGTTCTTTTTTTTTCTCGAGAACTTTATGGAGATAAATTTAAAGAATATTCATTAAATTCATAAATAAAAAAAATATTTGTTTTATTTTAAATATTTTTTGTTAAGGAAATAAATTTAAAGTTAATTTATTTGATTAAATAACTAATAACTCTGTGCTTTAGTAAAGTGAGTGACTAAAAAATCAAGTTGAAAAATATATGCTAGCTGGATTGCTATCAAAATGGATGGTGGATTTCAATCAATACAATTTTTACGTTAATACGGCCTGTAATGCAATAAACTAATCACAAAAGAGCCGGCTATTTGAATAAATTGTAAACAACAAATATAACGATTGAAAAAAATTAATGTACTTATATAAATCAATGTTATAAAATTATTTTTGTAATCACATCTATTAAATGTACCTTTGATTTGAATTTTAATAATGGCCAATTTTTGTATAATTGAAAATTGAGTTTAGAATTTTCTTCGTTTGTATTCGGGATAATATTTAAATAAACTATTAATAACAATAACAATAACATAAGGTATAAAAATGAATAAATTAAATTGAATATCTTAAAAAAAAGAAATTTTCTTGTATATAGTGAAAACCATATTTCTATATATGGATTAAAATAAACATTTTATTTCACCTGAGATTGGCCTGAGAAGTAAAAGAGATGCAGCTGATATGACAGTAGAATACGCAATGTACCAACAGTCGAGTTTGCGATGAGCATTTATATACTTGAGGATATAGAATGATTTCGTAAGGAAAAGAGACAGCTGCAGATCGATGTTGCCACAGTAAATTAGATCAGGTGAAGAGTATTGCTTAACTATAGCCTGTAAGAGAGCATCTTAAAGTAGTTTCCGTCTGAATGGCAGTAACCATCCAACTCTCATGCCACTTTTCCAATGTGAAATAGCGAAATTCTCGCCTGTTCACTGAGTTTCGTGTGAATCACTCGTTGATGAATTCCAGGACTCGACAGTAATGTGTTACTAAAATCAAGGCATATTTCAATTAACTATTTGCATGAACAAAACACCTAGACACTTCTTCATTTATAATTAATAATCATTATAATTACGTATAACAAACATTATTATTATGTCACATAATAATGTGTGATCATTACATTGAAAATTTACGTGATCAATATGATATTAAATTGATCATATTACATCATAGATTATTTATATTATCTATAATATAAATTATTCATAATTAATTGAAATCGATAATAATTACACAATTCAGGATAAGTATTGAAAATCGAGGTTTCAATAAACTCATTATGCAACGATGTATACAACATCACATCTTCGAGGTGCATCTCACGTTACCAAGCTCTACATCTTGCACGAGGTGGGATGATTGCACAAAAGTCTTTCTTGAGTGTACGAGAGACAAGAAGAACATGTTTTTTATCTAACTGTCGTTAAGATGATCCCAATATCTTACTCTCTTGTCACCCTTTTCTGAATTGCTCTGACGAAAGATGTGAATTATTTTTCTTTCATGTTAGAATCTTATATAATGATCAAAGGACCTCATTTACATTTCAAACGGAAATATGATTGATGCAATAATCGTTTTGTGATCATGTAAATATGACACCAAGTATTCTCTATGTTCTAGAAGATCATTTTCTAGTTTTTTTTTTTTGAATGGATATTTAAAATAGTCTAAATAAATGATGATGATGATGTTGGAGAACTTGGAGATGGGTTTTTTACCTTAAATATTGCTATTAAATGGTGAATATATAAAGTAGAGAACTGAATAGAGAATAAAGTTTAAGGTGGTCGATAAATTGAGTGTAACAGATCCGTATTTTGCAATGATTCCCATGTACTCGAGTACATACTACCGAGTGATTCCGGAGGTAAAATCAGAGCAGACAGTACAGTAATTCGTTATCTTGAGGATGCAACCAAGGTTCGTTCACCATGTGGTAGATGTTTCTGACCCCACTCTTTTGAAAAGAGATCTGCCACCGTCACCGATAGGATTCACCGGTGGCATTACGCGACTATGTCGATCTTGGCGGTAAATCTTCCCCAGCTGTACTAAATCCATGCTTCTAAATTGTGGATCGTCTTCGGGATATATAAAGCGGATTAGAACGACGAGTTTGTCATTCCCACGACACCACTCTCAAGTGGTGGGTTACTTATTCGCTGCAAAACGCGAGCCACAAACGATCATTTAATTTGACACTAGAAAATTTCCCATTCATTTCCCCCTTGTTGGGGAACACTAAACAACTATTGTGATTTCGTTTTTCCTGTTATACTTTATTATATTTCATCATGATTAAGGTAAGTGACAAAATAACGTGCGATTTTTCTCTTCCGTTCTACTTTTTTTCGCAATTTTCTTTTATTAAACTATTTTTTAGCTAATGCTAGTAATCTCGGTGCTAGTTGCGGTATGGGCTAAACCAGAACCACCAGTGAATTCCTATTTACCACCAGGAGGATCAAGGGGTGATTTTGGTGGTAATGCTGGTGGTGCTAGTAGACCTTCTGATAGTTATGGAGCTCCACCATCGGGAAATGGATTTGGCGGACAGCCCTCGAATTCGTATGGACCTCCAGGTAAAATAAGTTGTGAACTTTTATTTTTTTGTGATATTTAAATTGATTGTTGATCCTCTCTAATAATACTCTTTCTCGTAACAAGGATTAACTTTCATTCGACACAGTGTTTGGATAATCTAGTGATATAGCCATTAATTCCGTAAATTTAGGAATATTTCATATTTTATTTAATTTAGGAAATAATAATGGACGAGGAGGTCAAAATGGTGGTGGAGGTGGTGGTGGTAGACCGCCTTCAAATAGTTATGGACCTCCTGGAGGACAAGGAGGTGGTTTCAATGGACAGGGAGGTTCGGGAGGAAGACCTTCAAGTAGCTATGGACCTCCTGGAGCACAAGGAGGACAAGGTGGTGGATTTGGTGGACAAGGAGGTCCAGGAGGTAGACCTTCAAGTAGCTATGGACCTCCTGGAGCACAAGGAGGACAAGGTGGTGGATTTGGTGGACAGGGAGGCCCAGGAGGTAGACCCTCTAGTAGTTATGGACCTCCTGGAGGACAAGGTGGACAAGGAGACGGTTTTAATGGACAGGGCGGTTCAGGAGGTAGACCTTCAAGTAGTTATGGACCACCCGGAGCTGGTGGAAATGGTGGTGGATTTGGTCAAGGAAATGGCTTTGGTGGACAAGGAGGCAACGGTGGTAGACCCTCGAGTAGTTATGGACCACCTGGAGCACAAGGAGGACAAGGTGGTGGATTTGGTGGACAAGGAGGCAACGGTGGTAGACCCTCTAGTAGTTATGGTCCTCCTGGAGCACAAGGAGGACAGGGTGGTGGATTTGGTCAAGGGAACGGTTTTGGTGGACAAGGAGGCAACGGTGGAAGACCTTCTAACAGTTATGGACCACCCGGAGCTGGTGGAAATGGTGGTGGATTTGGAGGTAAAATTATTTATTTTTTCATCAATTAATATTTTCATTGGAATTAACCATCTATAAATATATTAATTTTTTTTTCTTATTTTTGGAAATTGAAACAGAAGTGCGTGACTTATTAAAAATAAAAATAAAAACATTGACAAAATTAATTAAAATACTAAATTAATATCAGCAACAGTAGTGCGTGATAATGGTGCAATTTTAGGTAACGGAGGTCCAGGGCGTCCATCTGATTCTTATGGTCCACCTGACAGTTATGCACCTCCACCATCTGGAGTTCAAGGTCAACCTGGCGGAGGAGGGGGTGGATACGGTAGCGGTGGGTCTGGTGGAGAAGAAAATAATGTAATATTAATATATGGAAATATAAATAAATGTGTATTCTTAGACGAGTGAACAACTAATTAAATTTCAGGAACCAGCGAAATATGAATTTAATTACGAAGTAAATGATCCTCAAACTGGTACAGAATTCGGCCAAACAGAAAGCCGTGATGGTGACAGAGCGCAGGGTATGTTTAATGTGTTATTACCAGATGGAAGGAAGCAAATTGTTGAATATGAAGCCGATCAAGATGGATTTAAGCCTCAAATTAGATATGAAGGTGAAGCAAATACTGGGGCTGGGGGTAGTGGTGGAGCTGGTGGATATCCATCTGGTGGACCAAGTGGCCCATCAGGTGGTCAAGGAGGTTATCCATCTGGAGGCCCATCGGGAGGCCAAGGGGGTTATCCTTCTGGTGGTCCATCAGGAGGCCAAGGGGGTTATCCTTCCGGTGGTCCATCAGGTGGTCAAGGAGGATTCGGAGGTGGAAGTGGCGGTAATGGCGGATACCCGTCAGGTGGTCCACCAAGTAGTCAAGGAGGATATCCATCAGGTGGGCCATCAGGTAGTCAGGGAGGATTCGGAGGCGGAAATGGTAAGACATTATTCTAATAATAGAAAAGAAACAAAAAATTTTATTAATATGCTATGACATATTTATGAAATTAATTTCATGCAGCACGTGGTTTTGGAGATTCTGGTGGCAGTGGAAATGAAGGTTACCCTTCTGGAAGACCTGGTAGTGGCAATGGTTTTGGAGGCGGAGGTGGAAATGGTTATCCTTCGGGTAGTGGTGGTGATGCTGCAGCAAATGGTGGATATCAATATTGATTTTTTCCATACTTTGACATTCAAAATGTACTTTCAAAGTAGTAAAATAGAATGGAATACGTTTTTCGATCTCTAATTTTAGTTTAGACACAAATTACTGATCTTATTAAGTTACTCTCGCAGAATGACATCCACAATTCTTTAAGAAAATCGACAATGAAGTAAACAACTCTTCTTCTTATGAATTAACATTCTGATAATTCATTTAATCTACTGATCTATAATAATCAAAGTTTCAAAGTAATGAAACTACACTTTCAATTTGGCATCAAAAGTTATAATTAAAAAGAATGCTTTAATTTATATAAAATTGGTAATATAACTGAGTATTTTATATTACGACTAAATTCCATTGCGCAGTATTACCTTATTTCGAATTTCATTATTTCTTTTTCACTATGTTATCTATAAGATTCATTTATTTAATACCTACTAAGTTCGTACTACAATGTATTTATATCATCAGTTATATTACAATTCACATTGATACATATGATCCACAATAATTATTATTTATTTTTATTACGTGGATCGTAACCACATTTTTTTACATTTATAAAAATTGTAGAATATATTGCAAATATATAATAAAAAAAATAGCTTATGTGTTTTATTTGTGTCCCTCCTACATCATGCTACGAAATAATATTCATCAGTTATATTATGTACGGTAAATTATTACAAAATTAATTATAGAAATGAATAAATTTGTATGACAATTATTACAATTGATTATACAAATTTATTCTCCTTTTAATAATTTACTCATTAAAAACTTAAAACTTTGAACATATTATTAGCGTTAAAACATTAATTCATGTTGCAGTTGATTAAAATTTTTTTAATATATCTTTACAAAAATTACTTCAATCTTCTCATTTAATTTTCTATAATAATCAAGACTCAACAGTTATTAAAACACGTGATTTTTTATCTATCAATATTAGACACAATAGTAGTTGATAGCGAAATTAATTACAGTTTTTATTTATACAAAGAAGAACAATAGTGTGTTCATCATTCACGAATAAAACGCCAAAATTTCCTCTTTGTAGACATAAAACCAATTGCTGTGTTGTCACAAATTTGCGGTTTCGTTATTAGATTTTATTAATGGTTATACATTGAGATTGTGTCTACAGCCAGCTGCTAAATAACTATCTTTATATTTTCATTACATTGCACGAGCAACCAGGAACCGAGTATAAAGGTGACTTGCGCTGAGCTATTCGCTTATCTTAGTTTTGTGAGAACCAAAGGGCCGTGCCGAACCACTCATGATTTCAAAGGTGAGTACATTTAAAATATTCCACATATTCTACATCAAATAATTTTAATAGAAAACTGTGTTCTTATCAAAAGAATATTTGACTTTGATCTGTTGAAAACCACTCACTTTTCATATAATGTTTAAATGATTTCGTTTTAATGAAATTAATTTTTCAATATTACTGGAGGTATTGCTAATGATTTATATATTAAATTTAAAAATAATATTAATAATGAAAATTAAAAATAATTGTTATCAATTAAGATGGAAATTTTTTAATCAAACTTTCGTAGATTTGATTAATATTTTCATTAGTTCTCTTACTATTAATAAAGTATTGGAACTGTCAAATATTCAGTTGGAAACCAATAATGCTGGGTGATAAATCAAATTGATCGACATTTGTGGATGCTACAGGCACTGCTTTTCGTTATGATGTTGGTGCAGATTCAGGGTGAACCGCAAGGTCCTGCATATTTACCTCCGAGTGGCAGACCAGCTGGTGGTGGATCTGGTCATCCTGATGATTGGGCTGGGGTAAAAAGTTACTTCAATTAAATTTTTTTCACTTGTAATTTAGCATAAAATTATTTCAGGATCCAGTGAATTATGAATTTTCTTACGAAGTTCAAGACACAGGACTTGGAGTAGACTTTGGACACAGAGAAAATCGAAAAGACGAAGAAGCAAAAGGATCTTACCATGTTTTACTTCCGGACGGTCGGACACAAATTGTCGATTATGTTGCTGATGCTGGGGGTTATCGTCCAATGATCCGTTACGAAGGAACAGCAACATATCCAGCATCTGGCTCTGGAGCTGATGAGGGTTACAAATATTGATAACCTACATAATAATCCTTTCATTTCTGTAATGGTCGTGATGATTAATAATAATCGTATAATATTAAAAATCAAGAGGGATAGAAATAGAAAGAATTACAATAACGACTGATAATCATTTAACGTATCAATAATTTTTTTTTTCATCGGTACTCCATTTATTGTGTCAATATGTTCGAATAATAGACGTGCTAAAAAATGTTTGCTTTTTTGTAGATATTATACAATTAATGTCTCATTTTAGCTGTCGAGTTTTATATCTTATTATATACTTAGCTTGACAACCGCGAGAGATCGACACTTGCTGGGTCTTTCACTTTCAAATCACCTCGCTTCGTTTAACATTTGCAACAGTTTTTTGTAATTTAAAAAATAAAATTTCTCAAACAAATAAAATCATTGATAATAAATTTTTAAAATATACATTATTATATTTATTTTTGTTAAAACAAATTTAATTTTAATTGTTTTTGTTATAAATTGAAATAAATATATTATTGGTTGCTTTTATCAAAGGTAATTTAAAATACAAAGTAATATGATAAATGTAATGAAATAAAATTTCATTGTATGACAACATATTATCATTATTATTATTATGAATTGTACACAAATAAAATACTCATATAATGACCGAAATGGAAACTTTGCAATTAAAATTCTTTATAAACGATTATCGACCACAATTAACTTCAACATAACCCGCAAGGCTTTCGTGATCAGTGCAAGATCCATTAAAGCTACTGTTGACATTTCCCTACTGTGTATATTTGAATTATTAATTTGTATCACCAGAGAGAATCAAATGCGCGACAGACGTATTCTACATTCTAGCAAAATTAGTAACGACTGAAACATTCACCAAGTCACTTGGAACATCATAGTACCATGACTTCTCATAAACCACGACAATCAAACAAAGAAAATTTTCCAGTTACTTGTTTGTCTACAATATTCGGTAGAATAAATTTATAAATACCAATTATAAAAACTTCAAGTGTTTAATAGTAAAACACTTAAAATTTCTAATAGCCGAACACCAAAATGTTTACAATGTTAAATGCAAAATACAAACTAGCATTTTAGTAAACGAGAAGAAGCGTTTAAAATTCGTCTACAAAATTTCCATAGTTTGTTAATGGCATTTAACAATGTAAACACTTTAAGTATTTGATTATTAGACAGTTGGATTTGCAGTGGATAAATAAAAAAAAAATTTTATTAATGAATATTTATTTGTTCTCTTTTAGGAATAAGACCTGCTAGATTATGTAAAACATTATGGATTGGTTATATCTACATGTTAATTGTTATAATATTGTATTATGTACTGTTTTACTCTACAATGGATTATGCAAAGGAACTTTATAATATTATGGAATGTGTTTCATTTACCGCAATTAGAGTGCGAAAAATAAGTACTATTTTTAATATATTCTTTTTGCCTCTGATGATAATTTCAAGTGCAATAAACTTCAATAAAGTCAGAAATTCACGTTTGGATTTAAATGAACTCGATCAAAAACTTCAACTATTCAATTCAAATATATATTGTGCAAAATCCATGTGGAAAAATAGCCTTTATGTATGTGGAATTTTGTTATTCACAAATATAATGGGATTGGCAGAATATTATAATTTAAAAAATGCAAACAGTAATTATATGTATAATTTGATGTGGCTTTCGAATATATTCCCTCAAATTGTCAATAGTGTTGCAATATCAGGATTTGTGGTGATCGTTGCTGATGTTACCAGACGATATCAGCTGATGAATGAAATTATTTTAGATCTAAGAGTAATAAAAAAAGAAGTTTCTGCTCTTTCACAAGACGTCAACAATGGTATTATTAGTTGATTTAATTAAAATTTATTTTTTATTATATCTTATAATTTATTTTTTATTTTCTCTTAATACAGTATTTCAGTTCAAACTTCTCAAACAATGCTACGTAATATTTAGCAATATTATTATAAAAATAAATGAAGCTTATGGATTTATTATATTACTGACAATAATAATATGTTGCTTTGGTATGTGTGCTCATCTTCTTGTTGTTGTTCAAACTTTTGGAGATAAGTCGTATCTAGTTGACTTCACTATCGATCTACTTTGGACATTTTTTTATTTCGGAAAGTTGGCATATATAGTCAATATTTGCCATCATTTTCAACTTGAGGTGAGTTTTAAATAAATAAACATACATATAACGTGACGGCAATAAAATATATATTTGATTTGATACTGAATTAATTAATTATTCAAAATTATTGGCAAACATTAAGTAATCTAAAAGTTCAATATTTCATGTTTCACACTAACATATTTTCTATTTAATATTTCATTGTTGAAATAAAATGTAAAAAAATTGTTACAACGTAAATAATACTTTATATCAACTATCTCCGTTATTTTGTAATCGATATTTACAAACATATAAATTTGTCGTGAAAATTTAATAATATTTTATCGCGAACACACTTTATGCGTGTTATTGTAACGCGGTTGTGAAATCTTGGGATTTGTAGGTTTTTTTTTCATGTACCTAAATTTGTCTTATCATCAACATAATTTTTTTTTTTAACATCTTGAGCAACAAAGTTTTAATATGTAAAAAAAAGTCTAAGATTTTTTAATTGATTTGAAAAAAAAAAAAAAAAATTGAATCGTTTAAAAGAATAAATAAAATGATAATAACAATAATGATAATATTGAAATGACGTTAAAATAATATTATTTGTCATGCGGGAGTAATTCGTGCGATGTTGATTCAAAAATGAAATAAATGAAAATGAAATGAATTAATTGAGTTAATTGATCTGAAATATAGTTGAATGTAAAATCCATTTAATCGTGGGCGAATTCATGATGATTTAAAAGGACATAGAATACGAATGTGTGTTCTCTCTTCCTTTTTCTCTTTTATTCTCTTTCTCGAAAAATCTATTCATCCGCCTAGGCGGTATAATATATAAAAATAAAAGCAATAGAGAGCACGCGATAGTATGGTGGTTGTATTATAAGACGCGACAAAGCTTTGACTCTTTTGTCGCACTGAAACTTGGGCAATTACACGACATTCACTTTGTCAACTATAAAATGAACGTGTCTGTAACAGGGAAAGCGTGCCAGCAAAATACTACACGAATACAAAGTGGACTCCGATAATCATTTGCTTAAGCAAGAGGTTAGTGCATCGCCATATTACATATATATGTATTATTATTAAGTACCATTGTTTCCTACCATCCTCATTTATCACCAATCATCATTTTTATTCTTTTTTTATTCTTCATGACATTCCTAATATTTTTCACTCTCTATAAATCTTTCACATTCCAGTCTGAGTCATTTGCACACCAAGTCCGAAATGTTGATGTTCAAATCACCGCTTGCAATTTCTTCAATATCGACTATCCACTACTGTGTAAGGTAAGATGATGGAATAAGACTCATCCTGTAACCTTGAGATTATTTTCAATCTTTCCCATTGAATCATGTTGTGTTACATTTCAGGTTGTCCTCGGTATGACGGCCTACGTCTTCTTCCTGTCGCAATTCACTCGTAGAACTCAATAAGATAAACACCAACGCTATCTTATAGTGTAGGTGAACAAAAGTCATCAAGAGTTATAGCAATCAATCCAACTGGATCATCAAGAATGCCATTGTTCAATAAATAAATTTTCAACATTTTAATTATGTAATTTCCAGTATGACCCGAATTATTTGCACGACAGTAGGACATTTGAGAAATTCAACTGATGAGTATTGTTGCCATTAAAATTATTTTTATCCTTCCTTATGTACACATTTAAGAATAATGTGTTTATTGCACGCGAGAACCTTTTAATTTCTCACTACCCACCAAATAATTTACCAAAAAAACCGGTCCGACGTGATATGTAAGTGACTTGAGCAATTTTTTTTCATGACAATGGGGAAAGGATTTTTTAGACGAAAAATATATATCGGTGCACAAAAATTCACAGTCAACAAGCGACAGCGGCGAGCCATCAAAAGACTCTACTTCTTTAACGAGTTCTCCTCACAAGATAAGAGATCTTAAACTAATAGCTCACTCTTTGCGTAATGGATACTCTCGTTTTCAACTTTTTCCCTTTACCACAAACATTAACAAATGAATATGCACTCTAAAGTTACTACTCGTATACTTTTTTATAAATGAACATTACTGTTATGTAAAAATTAAATAATTATCTATTACTTATCAATTGTTCATTCGTTTCAATAAAAACTCGAGTTTTATTCTCTTTGAAAATTTTCAATAGATATAAATTTATTACTTTTAAATGTAAAACTTGTCATTAAAATTATGATGTTAACAAAAACTATTATAAAATATAAATTTAATTTAATATTGTAATTATGGGTATATCAAATTAGATACAGTTTGAAACTTTATCTTGATAAAATCAGAGTAAAAAAAGTTCAATTATTTATATAGTTCTAGATAATTGACAATTCTATGGTTATTTGCATGTTGGTATTCCTAGCAATGCAATCTTTACAAATTACATTTTCCTTTTTTTTATTAGATAATATTTCTACATAAATAAATTTACATCAATATATCACAATTTTTTCATCAAAAATTTACTATCCACATAAATTATATAATCACTTAATAAACAAAAAATTCTAAACACATAAAGTGTTTTGAAATGGCGTCATCCATTTAATTAGCATTGTAATCCCTTTTTAAACACCTTCAAGGGTATTAAAAATGACTTCAACGTTAATCAAATACATGAGGCCACTTTAAAACACTTTAAGTGCATCAAAATAAAACACTTTCAAATTCGAGATTCGCCGTGTAAAAATAATATAACGGGGAGGACGAAAAAAATGTAACGATAAATGGAAAAAAAAAAAAAATAAAATGAATACTCTCATTAAAGTATAGTACGACACACATTAATCGATCCCACGGTAAACCTTTCATCTCTATAATACATATCACAGTCTTTTGTGCATCTCTTCCATCAAGAAGCGCGTTGAATTATGCAATCAAGAACATAGGGGAACGGCTCCTCTGAGGCTCGAACGAGCAGCCAAGTAAGTGCGGATGCAAAAAAAGCACGATTATGTAATAAGAGCTGTTTGAGGGAGTATATGAGTGTTTTAAATCCAACATCGTAATATGCGCCCTTCTGAACACATTATTCTTTATTATCTTTGTGTGCATTCACCTTTACTTATTCAAGTTTTTACTACTCGAATATTTTACGATGCCCGACTTTCTGAACTCAATCGAATTTTTTTATCATCATTAATGGAAAATCGTTTTATTGAATAAGAACTAATCGAAGTTAGGAGTAATAGAAGTATTGAAAAGTATTAGCTCATTAAGTTGATGTCAGAGAATGAACTCTATTTAAGCTGATAGAAACGAGGTTATAAAAGGTACTTAACATGAATATTTCTTTAATCCGTAATTAAAATTAATAGTTGAATAAGATCATGTTGGATTAACTAATATTAATAACTTTCAAACACACTATAGTACCATAAACTTCAAATTGAATGCACAGTGAAAGAAAAAAAAAACTTTTAAACTTTTGTATCCAAGTCATTTATTCTGCATTATTAAGAATAATATTTTCTTAATGTTTTCCTCAGGAAATTAATACTTTTTTTCCCTTCTATTTTATTATGATGATGAAAAAAGTATTTTATTATTTTATTAACATTGTATTGATCAGACAAAACATTATAAATGTTCTGGATTAAATAATAAATTCATGCGATGAAAAAAAAATGCCCCTATACAAAACAATGTTAATTTCATCGATAAAAGGAATTGGAATTATTTGCAATAAAAGATTTTATTAAAGTTAAAGAGATATATTTTGATATTTGATTCAAGATTATGATAATACAAGTGATATTAGATTTATTCTTCCATTCTGAGACACCATGGATCTTAAAAAAAATGATCAATTAAACATTAGAATAAACCAATACTTAGTTAATTTTATTTAAAACAATCAAGCACAATGTTTAAACGTAACAATATTATTGACACAACATATTAAATTAATTTTTGATTTTTTTTTTCGAGTAAAATTTAACTATTAAAAATATTGTTTTACTTTTTTATTTTTATCATATTTTATTCGAAATAATTTAGCAGAATGGAAATGGATTTTTCCAATGGATTATTTTTTTATTATTGTAATGAACAGAATCAGAATTTGATCCATAAAAATGTTACCATGTTAATATTCAAAAACACTTCATTGCGACTATTCATGATTTTGATTTTATCAATTAAAAAGAATATTATATGCTCACGATAAATTTTTTTCTCAATATATTTGAATGTTATAAAATTAAAAAAAAAATACATAAACGCCATTGAATAAAATATCTGATTAAAAATAATGGCAAATAAAAATCGAATAATAAAGTTACTGAAAGATAAACCCGAGATCTTTTTCGCTATCTAAAATTTCTAAACATTGGTACAAATTGATTAAATTGTTGATTGGATATGTGGCCAGTAGGGTGAAAACTATAAAACATATTGCAATCGGCGAGACTCTGATTTATGAGAATCGTGCCAAATGTTATGTGTGCAACTCATCGTCACGCACTGCGCGGTTCACTTGATATGCCACAAAAACCCACGTTCCATAGACTACCACTGTTATATTCTCGCGATTCATGGGCCACAACATATTAAGCTTGTCCCTGTATTCCTATGAATTCATAACGATTTATATGCCGCTACTCAACCCCCAACTCGAATTATTCATTCCTCTTTGTAACTAGTCGACGCTACATATAACAACCTCCATCTCTCACCAATATTAACCCTTTATTCATACAACCCTAGTATTCTTATCAATTATCCTCTCTTCTATTTTTTATACTCACTCAATCGTTTTAACTCTACTTTTTCCCTTTATCTCTAACATTCGATGAAATAAAAAAAATCATAAACTATTTTATAGAGGGTTGTTTTAAAAATTTTATTTATTTAAATTCAATCAATTCAAAAAGAAAAAAAAATTATTCCTCTTTATCATAACACTAGTGTAATTGTCTTCATTAAGTTATTGGTGCAATTATAAATGTGAATGATAAAACACATTTTGATATGCTTTCGATTAAATGTAGTACAAGGTTATATCAAAATCATCTCTAGTTTTATTAAATTTTTTATTCTAATCATTGCCATCCATTTAACATTTGGTGGAACAATCGAACATTTGTTGATCTGTTATGAATGATTAGAAAGCAAAAATAATGTTGAAACTATAAACTTAGTCATTTTACCATCAAAAATGTTTAATATTTATTCATATTACTTTTATATTTTTTTCATCCTTTTCGTATCCTTTCACTACGATAATTATATTCTATAGAATCCAACAGTGCGTATGACATCTTCATACACATGTACCTACGCATATAGATTGTAAGATTTAGAGCTACATTAATGTACCTTTATTCGTATTAATTTCCGAGCCATGTGCATATTTTTAAATATATGCAACTAAAGTTATTATTTTTTTTCTCTTTCGTCCTAAATGAAATCATAAATATTTATCTTGAATTACAGGGAGCATTAAAATTATTCTATCTAAATCAGTACAGTTACTTTTGTCCAAGATATTTTTTAATGTCATTCTTATAAACACAAAGCTAATTGTAAAACTTGATATTAACTTGAAATAATAAAATAAAGTGATGTACAGTTGGATAAAAAAATAATCTACTGTAAATTAAAATTATTAATTGAAATTGTTTTTTAGTAAGTAAAAGTATAAACACGGCAAATCATAGTGTTTTATTTCACTACACTTAAAGTGTTTTAAAATGACGTCATCTATTTGATTAGCATTAAAATTAACTATAATGTTAATCAAATGGATGATGTCATTTTAAAAAACTTTAAATACAGTGAAATAAAACACTTTTGATTTGAGATTTGCAGTAAGCAAAAAATGATAAGCTCGACAAAATATAATCATAAATTTATTGTTAGAATTAATGGCTTTGAATTAAAGCTAAATTTCACTCTAATTTAAATACTAAAATTGACTAAATAATTTTCTGATTTTTGAAAATGGAGCTAAACTAAACTAAAGGATAAAAGCCAACTAATAAATAGACGTTGGAGGGAAAATTACGATACACCCTCGATAAACTGACACGCTAATTTATTACTCAGTAACTCGTAACTCGCATTTATACTTTTCGATTGGTTGTTGTTTGGGGCCACTGGGTTACTCGAGATCGATTAGCGTAAAGTCGGTGTCTCAATTTCGATGGGTAAGAATTGCGTGATTAGAAAAAGTAAAGCATCGAGATGATGATCAAAGGTAATGTAATGAAGTTGGTGGGGATGAATGCGTATGTATAACGAGAATCATCCCCAAAAGATATGCGGTCCTCTTGTGTAAGAAAATCAGTGGCGCAATGGCCTTGCTCGTGATGTTACATATTGGAGAATGGAGGATGATCCTCGGGGGATCTCGCGAAAGTATAAAACCCGTCTAAAGAAGATGCTTCCTCACACTCAACACCATAGTCATCTCGCCATAAGCCACGCAGCAATATACTGCACGTCAACGAGTTGGCTAATCGTGTGTATCATCCGTGTACGAATTATTCTATTGATTATTCAATTATCGTGCCGTCACCACATATATCTATTTACCTAAAGGTAAGTTAATTATTTTATTTATTTCTTTCCCATCATATAATCATATATTTATTTGTCTTTTTTATTATTTAACATTACATGTGCATACTTTGGCAAAGGGTAGAATGATGTTGGGTGATTAATTGGCTAAGATAAACGGCTGTTTTATAACTAAATCTGTCAGAGGGAAAACATTTTCAATAGACATTTAAATTTGTAGAATTTAATCTGATTAGAAAGATGTGATTTTCATGACACATATTACGAAACGAAAACCGCAAAGACACGTATGGATATTCATAATTCATATTCAGGAGGCAGATAGAATGTAAGGAAGAGTAAGTATAAGCCTTGCGGCCGTTCTCAAGATCGAGAAGTACCTTGAAGATGCGTGATCGCATTACGCAAAACAACTCTATTGCGTTACAACAGATCTATCTTGAGCGCATCTTTTATAGTATTACGATCCTTACACTAGTATAATGTAACATTCTTTCGTACCGCTATACATTTTCTTTTTTTTTTTTTTGGTGAAATTATTTTTGCCAAAGTCATGTAATATTATTTTACAAATATTCTCTGAATTATTTAAATTTTCATGAATTATAATATAGTGAATATTAACTTGGAAATTAAATGAAAACTAACAATAATAATTAAATAATATAATTAATATTATTATGATAAATATTAACGTAATAACGCATTTAAATTCATCATAATCTTGAACCAAATATCAACATATATTTCATTAAATTCAATTAAATATTTTATTGAAAATATTTTATAATTTTTTTTGACTAATTAAAAATTGATATTAAAACTATCTATGACAAATTATTTTTTATCGAAGCTAGTGAAGTCTCAGTTGAGATTTATTCAAGTATACATAGAATATGTTTATTCTCCAAGAATAAATTCCATTGTTTTCATTTAATTCATCTATTTACATTTTGCTCAAAAACTAGACTTTTATATGACCGTGAAGCAGTATAAATTGACTACATATCCTGAAACGTCCAATAAAAAAGCCAAATTTATTTAATATTATTTCATAAAGTATTTAATATTCCATAAATTATAATAAAGTAAAATTTAACTTGAAAAATGAGTAATAATTAAGCATAATAAATAATGAGAACATAAAGATGTAAAGTAAAAGCATATACTGAAACATTAATAACACTTATAAATATTTGAGATTATTTTTAATAATTAAAAAATGTTCATGTTTGTGTAATAAAGTTATTATTGTACGGGGAAGTAGAATAATGTGCATAAATAATGCAAAAGATTTAGTAGTTTCTTCACGCCCAGGGGCGCATTATGCACGTACGACTTAGTGAGAAAGTTAATTATTATCAGGCCTCAGTATTAGACAGTGAAGGCGGTAGACCGTATAAAATCCTTACTCTTCCGTAACCTAATTCTAAGTATCTATACAGCAGATAGAATCATCCTGCTTAGGTGGATAGATGGATGCTGCTATAAACGTTAAGCCGCTTTGTCATAAACCTCTAATAACCAATTTTCATGTTCTTTATATACGTGACTGCACAAACTACGTTGCACAAAATATACCAAGCCATTAATCAGTATTCCAATTTACTGAGTGCCAAAATGTATCAAATGTGCTAATCAATAATGTGTAAATCGTAATATAAAAATATTTAACTATTACGACAGATGTTGGGAGTAACCGCGCTAACTCTACTACTGGCAACCGCAGTCTCGGCCAGACCGGAACCTCCTGTTGGGCAGTATCTACCGCCTGATCAGCAGTACGGTCCACCACGGAGAAACGGCTTCGGTGTTGGAGGGCAATCAAGTCAAAATGGTCCGGGTGGTACATTTGGAAATAATCAATATCTCCCGCCAAATCAGCAATATGGTGCACCAGGGGGTGCTTTCGGTGGATACAATGATGGATATAATGAGGTAAATGACTATTTATTATAATTATAACCTATATCACTTCTATTACTTACTATTTTTGATGGATTTTAGACTCCTGCCAAGTACGAATTTGAGTACATGGTGAATGACATTGAAAGTGAAAATGACTTTGGACATAAAGAAAGTCGTGATGGCGATGTGGCACGTGGTGTTTACTACGTTCTTTTACCAGATGGTCGACGTCAAACAGTTGAATATGTCGCGGACCAAAATGGTTTTCGACCAATCATCACTTATATGCAAGAAGGAACTGGTATTGGGAACGGTTACCGAAACGATGGTACCGGCTACCCAAGTGGAAACAATGGTTATCGTTATTAGTTTCGTAGACAGACTCAAGATGCCAACCTATTGTTATGTCGGTCGACAAACGCGTTTCAATCCACTACTCGTATTTCTTTTCAAAATATTTGTTTAATCTTACTTGGCCAATGACTTTTTGCTAATTATAATTTATAATTTCATTGTATTACATCGTTTCTTTTCAATGCTAAACTGTTTTTACAAAAAATAGAACCGTTTAAATTAAGGTTCTACTCCGATTCTCTACATATAAAGATCTCTGATAACTTCAAACTAACTCGACATTAGCATATTCCAATCAGCTCGATTGAAACTTTGCGGAATTATCAATCCACTTTACATATTATCGTAAAAAAATATATTTATATTGAACGTAATTAATTTGTGGTTGGCTGTAGTAATTCATTATAGTGAAATACTCAAAGTATTTTACATATATGTATCCTTGTAAAATAATAGCTCAATAGTTCTTCCTGAATAACTACAGAATATTTCATAATGGATTATTATTATTTGTTACTCCAATACACTCATCTATTGTATCAATTTTATGTATCATAAATTTTTTGATTAAATAATAAATGTATATAACCTACTTTACTTAAGATTTGTTATTTTATCATTTCAAAATAAAAATAATTAAAATAATATCAATTAACATAAGTTCAAAAAAATTATTGTTTATTAGATTAAATTACACAACTTTTAACTCTTATTCATTCTTCATGCACATATTCAACGATGAAAATGTTGCTTATGCACTCATAGTCTACTCTCTTATAAGCAGATATGCTCAGTTAAGCTATTATCTAAATATACAAAGTCAGGTATTTTATTTCATCATCCGTGAAATGTAAATGCATTATTTACAAGTATCTGAAAATGATTTGTATTATGTGAATACAATGTACTCTTGCTACAAACTTGGATAAACTCAATTTTACATAATATGAATTTTATGCACAAATTTGTAAGTTGCAAAACTTGACTTGACTTTTTGTCATGATCTTGAATGATCTGCTAAGCTAAATGGAATAATAGGTCTTAGGATATTGAAAGGGGTAAGTAAAGAGAGAGAGAGAGAGAGAGGAGAAAGCTCAGCCTACATTAAATAACGTATCTATCTTCAATCCTTGTTCGTTGTCTGTCCCCGCAGTTACAAATTTTAATACTGGTGAACTAATTTCACTCAGTGTCTTCCTCTTACGGTAATACGTAATATTATGATTTATGATCATAAGTTCAGTTGAATACAATAGTATTTCTCTACTGCCAAGTTTATTAATTATTACCACTGTGACTCACTGAGTGAAAGACAAAATGCAAAAAAAAGTCTTCTATTTCATAAATATAAATATATGTTTATTAGTATTGCGGTACAAAATTAATATTACTTATTTTTAAAAAAATTATCTCTAATAAATGCCAATGTTATCACCTATTATTAATTTATTATTACTGTCAATTAAATATGGCATGAATTTAAAACTACTAATACTGGTATCCAAGTTGTCCAGAAAGTGATCCTTCATAAGTAATTGTGGGTTTATAGCCATTACGATTAGCTACATAACGAACTATTTGCTTGCGACCATCAGGTAATAGCACTGTATATATTCCTTCAGTATTATCACCGCTTCTACTTTCTTTGTGGCTGTAATCGTTTCCCAAATCATCATTGATACGATACTCAAAATCGTATTTGGCAATGTTTGACTAAAAAATAATAATTATTTATTTATTTATCAACTTTATTAGAAAAAAAAAGGTCATAAATTGATTCATTCTTAAAGTAAAAGACCAAGGTCCAAAGAAGCTCCCTTTGTCCGTAGGGGATAATGTTAATAAAACCTATCACTTACTTGTTCACTGTTGTATCCAGTAAAGCTTTCAGGATAACCGCTAGAAGGATAATAGTGTCCAGCTGGCTGATTCAAGCTTGGATGGTTAGAGTGGCCAGTGTAACGATTCTGTGACAAGGATGAAAATCCAGACAATGAGCTCGAGAACTTGTTAGGCGTCAAATAGGTATTTGAGGGTGATACAACCGGGGTAGAAGGTTGATCGATTTCTCTAGGATATTGATTCTGCTTAGACGGAAGATAGCTTGAGCTTGGAATAGCCTGAGTAAATGTGTCGGGTCGTTGACTGGGTGGCAAATATTGCGACGAAATAGCATTTCTGTCAGGACTATGATGAAGTGTATTGACTGGTAGAGGACTTGGAGATGAAGTATGATCGGGTGATGAATTTTGTCCTACTCTAGTACGATGATGATGATGAAGCATACGTGGTAGAGGACGTAAAGAGGGTGGTACTTGCTGACTCGGTAAGTATTGCATGGGCGGCATAGCCACAACAGAACTGTGCGGAGTAGATGGACGGTGGTTGCTCGGTAAGTAGAGAGAATTTGGTATTACATTTTGGGATGAGCTCTGGTAACTTGCTGGAAGATAATAGGATTCTGGTGTTAGCGTTGGAGATAAACTATTCTGACTGGGTGGTAGGTAACGATCAGATTGGCTGTCAGAACCAGGTGGAGTATAACCTACTGGTTCTAAACTTGCTAAACTCACTGAGAAGACCGAAAAAATAATGACAATCTGAAAAGCAGTAAATACAAACTGATTATTTAAAGTGATTTAAACATTTTAAAAACAAGTTTTATAAATGTATTTAAATGAAGATGGTGTATAAAGATAAAATCGTTTTACCTTCATGTTTCTTCTAGGAGGGTACAAGTTGATTTGATTTAGCGAGGGGAAACTCTGCTTTTATATTGTACCGAGTTCTTTCGGATATTCGTGGTAGTCTTTGCATATAGCGCAAAAGTGAATGTTTCGTTGTCTGGTCATCCTTCCGAGCCTGCGTACTTGAAGCGTTATTCATCTTCCGCAGATGAGAGACGATGAGTGATGACCGCGACGTTAGCATTAGCCCAGGTTTCGTAACCCTCAACTGTAACATCGAGAGCAAGGCCAAAGTGGTGCGTAATACTTCACATGAGAATATAGATTGTCTACGTAAATATTATTTCTTTGCCCTATCGATCTCATCCTTGATTTTATAATTTCATCTCAAGGTTTCTCGCTAGTCATTCAGAACAAACTCCCTTACAGTCATGTCTCTATACAACATAATATTATTTAATAACCATTATATTAGAGAATTGTAGCCAACTGACTGTGCATTCTTTTTGATAAACACGTGGCACATTTTGATGAATGCTAAAGGAAATCTCACAATACCTTGTAGGAATGCCTTTGTGGTTGGTAAACTATAACAATCAAACATCTCTATCTCTGTTTATCTCTTTCTGATTATTCTCTAAAACTCTGTACATATGGTGAATAAAGTTGAGATGACCGGATCAAACATTCGTCTGAATCTCCATCGTACACAACCATTCCTAAATGGTAAATACAACTGTTTGAAGTGTAGTTCGCTATTTGAATCTCACAAATTTGCTTTACGAGCTTCCATTTGTTAACAATTAATATATTAAGGGCTTTTAGTAGCAGAGGAGATGGTAGTGTTAGAATTTTAATTAATGTAATTGAATAATAAATAATGTTGTACCATTCAGCCGGGTCTAGATAAGAAATGGTGAGAGGTTATTTATTTAATTAGGTATCTTTAAAAAATAAATATTACACTTACAGAAGCACTTTTTCCAGGTGTGGACGATAAATATGTATGGACTGTTGTTAAGAATATTAGCATACGCCCACGTAAAGTTGATTCACCTAATATTCTCATTAGCATAGATACGTAGGTCAAGATTGCATTTACCCTTCATATCCACGCTAACTCACATCCTCTTGTGGATCGTATTTCGCTAGCGTGACCTCGTGTCTCGCGAATAGCCTCGCGTTTTCGGCCTGGCACAGATTATGAATTGATAGTGATGTCGAAATTCTAACGAGTCTTTACGTACCAGGTCAAATGTTATCGACCGATGGTCTTTTTTAATTTTAATTAAACACTCAAGTACACATAAACAAAAAAATCATATCCACATGTTATAAACACGGTGATGATGTATTTATTGGAGTCACAACCGTTGTTACATTTATATTGTTTATATATGAATTCGAAAAAGTTTAACTGTTGCGCAAGTTTCAATTAGGGATCAATTAATGTCATGAAGATCCAAAAATAGCAACTATGTTGACAGCGGATCTTTCATCTCAAGTTTTCGGTAAACGAATTCGATCGTTGCAAACTTGAAAGTTTGCTTTTCAATTTATCGACTTTATTCGTCGGAAACGAGCGATTAAAACTTTTTCCGACTTGTCTGTTGAATAGATTGTTAAATTCTGACTCTAAAAACTATGTTCATGAATACAAAAGAATGTAATTTGGCATTCAGGAAACTACGAGGAACAAAAAAAAACAAATAAAAAAAGTTGATTCTATTTCCTCACATTCACAAATTATTCAACTTAATAATAAAAGCAATAAAAAAAATATTGCCCTGTAATTTCAAAACAGATGTGGATTAGTACTTTGAGTAAAAATATCATTTCACTAAAAAGTTGCTGTTTAATTAAAACTCAGAAGGAAATAAATTTTAGTGTAATCATTTTTCATTTGCATTTACATATATCTACATATTTAAATACCTCATATCTGATAAAATTTATAATTGAAAGGTTGAATTATTTTAAGGTTAATAAACATTCTACTAAATAATTGTCATAGATTGATAATTATGTCAGGTTAATTTTATTTGCAAAAATATTCCATTGCTATTTAGCAATACATAAAGGTATGTATGATTTATGATGAAAATTTATTTTCCATTTATAAAATAAAAAACAAAAAAAATATTTAATGTATTTAAAATTCAATCATATAATACTTTTGATTTATTCTTTATTTAAACTGTAAATTATTAACATTAATAAATTTTTATATTCATGTGTTTCAGTGAATTTAAAGTTCTACTGTATTTTTTATGACCATAAGTTCATTTATCAATGATAAAATACTTTCTATGATCCTTATAATTTCACTCAAATTACTCATTCAATAATAATGGAGCATTTGACCACTCTGATGGTGTAGAGATGTTCAAAAAATTCAATGTAGTGAAAGAATGCAGTTACTAAATGAAGTAGAAGAGAAACCAAATAAATTTTTTCACAAGCAGATAAACTAATGAGAGATGCAATTATACAACTATAACAGCAATAGATGGGAAATAATTTTAATGAGGATTTAAATTTAACATTTCTGATAATTAACATATCAACTACGAATAAAAAAAATGGTTCTTATCAGCTATCAATATTGATGATAATGAAACTTAATTATAATGACAAAACATTCTGAAAATATCTCTTTTGATGATTTCTGCTGATAATTAATCATAAAAAAGTATTGAAAAGTAAATTTGATTCATTATTTTGTTCTAAATGAGAATATTTACGTACTTATTTGAGTGAATTGTTTATCCAAGGACTTGGAATGAAAATGTGATTGAACGAACAATAGAAAATACGAAAGATAGTTAAAATAAGATTGATGTGGATTCAGTTACTTCATTGAAAAACATTTTTATTTTAATTCATATTTGATTGAAAAATCTCTATACGAGTCTTCATTGTTTTCATGCTTATTATTTCTATAAAACCTTGAACTTTATTTCAAAGTAGGTTGGAATAGAAGTAATCAAGAATCATGTAGAATTTCTAACTGTAATTAATATTATTTATTTTTTATTATTATTATTAAAGACCCAACAGTATGAGCTAATTACAGAGTCACACAAGTCATTTAGCAGAGTAAATAAAAAAAATATTAAAATAAAACTACAAGTGGTGGGGTAATTAAACAACAAATAAAAATATAACAAAATAATTAATATGGGAAAAATTTAAAGTAAAATAATTATACGATATATCACAAAATGATTCTAATTGTCTATTCTAAATCATAAAAATATTTTTAATAATTTATAAACAATAAATGTCATTAGTATTCAATAATAATGATAATTATTATTATTATTTTAAAGTAGAAATGAATTGATGAAATTATTATATTATATTTTATATTAATTCAAACAATAACAGAGATAAAGCAACGTCGTCATTCAGTTACAGTATTTAATCAACAATATCCTGCCACGTATGTTCATATTGTATGTTACATTACTTGTATTGGAATAATTTTATGACGTGTACCAGAAGATTGCTGTGTAGCAGACAGTGTGCCTTCACGCAATGTGCAATACACTACTTTAAGCTTTGATAATTTATCGTTTACGCAAATCTTTGCTTTTCTCTTATTTGGATAGTATCTCACAGGCAATCGAGCCAGATAAACGTGTATTGTAGTAGTTCGTTTTGTATTCAGAATAATAAAATACATTGTACATTTCGATATCGATTGAAAATAAATAATCACCAACAAATGATAGAGAGTAAAAAACAAAGTAAAGTTCAAGTGAATTTTTTTATTTGTTAAAGTGACTTTTAAACATCAAATCATTGTTAATAATAAGGAAAATTATTATTATTATTTTAACAAAATAATAAATTGAACAGTGAATGTGTGATTATTGGCATAAATGGATAAAAAATGTCTTCTTAATTAGATTGGCATGGATTATGTAGATTTAATAAAAGATTTGAGTGGTTTCCAATTTCAATATCAGAAGTTTTAAAGAGTGATTCATTAGTTAATGGAATAAATGCAATTGGTGATATTGCATTGTATAATAAAGATTAAATGAATACATTTGATTATACGTAGTACAATATAACTACACATTGAAGGATTATAAACTTAATCAGAAATGGCATCTCAAATATTGATTCAGCGATTTAACAATTTATCAAAACATTCTAGTACCATTAAAAGGTTTGTAAATACCGTGACTTATCCAACTTCTGCCAATGATAAAACTCAAAATGAGGAACTGCAATGGGATGATGCTAAACCATTTGAAGAAATTCCAGGACCTAAATCTTTTCCTATAATTGGCAATATTTTAAGATTTTTTCCAGTTATTGGTACGAATGTGTACTTTTTTTATTATCAGTGTACTCGTTAGTGGATAAATTTAAATTCTATACAATAAAATTAGGTAAATATGGAAATATGCCTCTTATGGATCAAATGAAATCCCTCAATGATGAGTATGGAGATATTGTTAAACTAGATGGAATTATGGGCAGAAGACCATCTATTTTCATTTATGATCCAGTCAAATGTGAAAAAATGTATCGCTCAGAGGGACCTTGGCCACTGAGAATTGCTATTGAAACAATGAAAAAATATCGAGAAATAAATTCTGATACTATTTATAAAAATCAACTAGGACTCATAGCAAGGTATGATATTGTTTATTTTTCATCTCTATTATAGTGATACATGACTGATAATTATATTTGTTTATTTCTCTATTTTTAGCCAAGGTAAAGCGTGGCATGACTTTAGAAAAAATGTGAATCAGCACATGATGCAACCAAGATGTATCAAACCCCACGTGACACAAGTTGATGAAGTTACCAACGACTTTATCACAAGAATACGAAAACTTCGCGATAAAGAAACTTTAAAATTACCACCTACGTTCAACAATGAAATGAATAAGTGGGCTCTTGAGTGTAAGTATATGTAAGAATAGTCAATGATTCTATTCTTATTCATCACTTTGATTGTATCAAAATTGTCATTAATTATTATCATTACACAGTCCTGTTCTCCTATATAATTTGTATTCACAACAAAACCAGTTTTTCTGACAATCAAAATACATGCATAATCATATCCTTGATGCAATAACATTTATGGAATGTCTGGAATGATAATTTCAAATTGAATTTTCGATATTAATTTTAAAAACAATTATATCCAGACGATACTCTAGAAACCTAATTGCCATTGACAATACAATACAACCTGTTCGCTATTAAGGTAGCCGTCTAAAGATTATAAGCTAGCTTAGCGACTGTTGAAATTATAGTCAAGTCATGATATTGGAATCTACAAAGCATAATTCATTAGAAACCATGGAATTGATTTCTGCACTGTTTGCATTTAGAATTCACTGATTCAAGTTTATATCAGTTATTAAAAAATGTATTATCCATATGATTATTATTTTTCTATAACACTCCAAGAGTAACTTTTATCAATATTTTTCGTTTTTTATTAGCAATATGTATGATTGCAATGGACCATCGGCTTGGATGCCTCGACTCAGATTTACCACCTGACTCAGAGCCACAGCAAATGATTGATGCCGTACACGAAATGTTTGAATTATTTTATCAACTTGAAGTTTTGCCTTCAATGTGGAAAATTTATAATACATCCAAGCTTAAAAAATTGTTTCGCACTTTAGATCGAATAAACAGGTTTATATATATATTATGTAAATTATTCACATCAATTATTCCAATTGACAGTCCATTCATAATGAAATAAAATTAATTGTCGATGACTTTTTTATCAAGAAACAAATAAAAAAGATAGGAAATAATTTTTCCTGTGCTTTTGCAGAAAGTTTACTTCTCCGTTGGAGATGAGTAGAACTTTTTGCACAAGTATGACAAGAAATATGGCCAATTCATCGGCCTACTTTCCCTCTCAAAAAGGGAGATAAACTATTTCCTAAATAAAAGCTATCTATCTGTGAATAAATATCATTTATTATTCATGACATTATTAGTCGATTTGTTAACTAAAAAATTATTTTATGTCATTTATTTGTCTTAGCATTGCTGGTAAACATATAGATAATGCAAAGATAAAATTTGCTAAAAACCCAAAGGATAAAACTGCAGACCGTAGCGTGCTAGAGAGTCTATTAAGTATTGATGAACAAACCGCACATGTAATGGCTCTTGACATGCTAACAGCTGGAATCGATACTGTATAAATGTTTAAATATATTTAATAAATATAGTAATTGTGAAATTCACTATAATAAACTAATCAATTATTGTTCTAGACAGGAAATGCTGCTGGTATGTTATTATATCACATAGCTAGACACCCAAGAGTACAAGAAAAACTACGAGAAGAAATTGTTAGCTTATTACCTTCCAAAACATCTCCAATAACATTCGATGTTCTTAATAATATACCATACCTCAAGGCTTGTATTAAAGAATCATTACGAATAACACCAATAGCTATTGGTAATCTTCGAACAATGCAAACGGATATTGTTTTATCAGGATATAAAATTCCAAAAGGGGTAAGATATTTTATAAATTGTTAAATTAAACTCTAATTAATTTTATTTAATTTAATGACCTTATTTATTAATTATTTATTTCTAGACAGATGTAGTAGCTTGTCACAGCGTTCTCTCGATGGACCCTAATCATTTTCCAGAACCAAAAAATTATATACCTGAAAGATGGTTGAGAAATAGTACTATGATAAAATCTTATAAAGAAGCACATCCTTTCGCATACATGCCTTTTGGCTTTGGTCCTCGAACTTGCATTGGCAGAAGATTTGCAGAACTTGAGATGGAAATTCTTGTGCTCAAGGTATTAAGCTTTAATCTATTCAATCATACTTATTAGAAATTTTGCATTTACAATAGAAGTAATTTTTTTTTCTTTTTAGATGCTGCAAAATTTCTACATTGAATGGCCAAATGAATGGCCTCTTGTAGTAAAAAGTCAATTTATTAACACAATGGGCTCCCCGTTGCAATTAAAACTTACGGATATTTGATGGTAAAAATCATTATGAAAGGATAAAAAAAGGTAGAACGAAAATAATAAATTTTATATTGCTTTTATCTTGATTTGTGTTTTTATTGTGAAGATAACTTATCGAACAATAATATAGATAAACAAATATGTATAAAAATGTAATATATATTTTTATATTGACGTTTTAATAAAATGATTTATTTAATGATTGATATTATCGTTTGATTTGGTCAACTTTTGTTTTCTTAAAGTCCAGGCTTGATGAATAGCCCAAATAGCTAAGGGTCTCATATAGCCAATAGATCTGTAGGCATCATTTTCATAAAGTGCTTCGGGTGTTTCAAAGGCCATACCGATTTTCTCCCACACTGTACGATAAACACCTTCTGCAGTACGAAAACCTTCCTCAATCATGCCCTGCACGCAAATGTAAATATTGAGACTATTAAAATCTCACGATGATTAATTGGCATTAACCTCGCAAATACCTCATGTATCATCAGTGCTGCTAGTCCATAACTAACTCCAGTCCACATTTCCTCACTTTGTACAGTCATAGTATCTACTCGGCCATTAGGAAGGAAACCATTCACTGCACCCTGATTTCCATTCTTATATTTCATCACGTTATTTTCGAAAATAGTTTTTAAAGCTGATTTAACTCTATTTTCAGGGAAAACCTATTAAATAAACGATTTTAAATAAATGTTTTGAAAACAAAAAATACAAATAAAAAAATATATTGGCAATTCAATTGCTTGCTTCTATATGCAAGTATATATAGATTTTTAATCTTTCTACAAACTTCGTTCTCGAATCCACAGGCTTTAAGAAATAATTGGCCGCAAAGTTGGTCACTCATAATACATTTTCTGTGATCCGATTTGCTACTATCAAAGTTGTAATAACGTCCTGAAAGTAATAAGTAAGTTTAAAAGCACAATAATCATATTATGAAAGTTGAATATATCAATTAGCTTGCCATTCCACAACTTTTCTTGAAACGAAACCTTTCCCTTCTCCAATACTTCTGAATACTTATTTCCAATTTTAATATCTCCAATAATTTTGCTAATTTCAATAGCACAACGAAGTGCTGCTAACCATAGACTACTGCAATAAGCACTGAAAAAAAAAACTTGAACAAATTCACTTCATTTCCAATAAAGACAATATTAATTAAATTTACCTTGGACCCTCCATTATCCAAGTATCGTAAGTTTGATCAGGAAATCCAGTATTTTCTATGAGACCATCATTATCAGTATCCCATTTAAGACTGTTCGATAAAATCTAGATGTAAATAAAAAGTCTTTCAATAGTATTTTAATAAATAAAGTTAACATCATAGTTAAAGAGTACTATTTAATTTTCAGTGAAGCATAATATTAAAACCAACTGATGGATCATCAACTATATACAAATAAATGTAATTTCTACCTCTTGGATATTCGACCAAACATCTTGAAGAAATTCTTTCCTACCAGAAATACAATAATCTCTGTAACAACTTAGAATGTACTTGGAATTTAAATCTTTCCAACGCGCAACATCATGAATGGGATATGCATTTATTAATTTAAATGCTTCTTCATCTATTAATTAAATAATGAAATGACATTAAAGATCGTAAAGCAATTAGCTAAAATATATAAATAAATAATTTTATAATTAACCTGGATCTCCAATATCGTGAGGCACGAAACCTTTGGATTTTCGTTCACAATATATTCCCTCATATAAAATTAATCGTAGAGAAGAATCTTCAAATTGGATTGCATCTCTAATTTCGTATTGTACACTCGCTTGTAAATTTGGCCACAGCTGTGCCAAAGCAAATGCAGCATAAAAATGAACATCATAAGTATTATACATTCTATACTCATGACCTTCTAAATATGCAAACCGCCCATATTCATTTCTAATTTAATTAAAATAATAATTAATCATTTATTAAGGATTTTTCAATAAATGTTTTAGAAGTATTTATTATTTATATTTAATTCACCTTGGATCGGTATTTGAAAATTGGTCATTATCATCCTTTCTTAACCAAACAGTACCTCCGTCTGCTACATAATATAGTTCATTGAACAACGCGCTTTTATACCAGTCAGGTAAATCAATATCTTCCAATACAGGTCGTTGCCAATTGTATATATCAGATTCCCAGGCATTGTAATGCATTAAAGTGTAATAACAGAGATCCGGTGCTACAGATTGCTTATCATTATAAAAATATTTGGTATAATATCTAAAATATTAAATATAATAATAATAAAATAATTGTTTTATATTTTTTAAGTCCATCAAAAAATAATTAATTCTTTTAACCGTAAATATTCTTTTAGTCCATTATGAAATCGTATTTTTGGCATATCCCAAACTAAACTAAACTCTATCTCACGCGACTTGTTTGACTGGACACGTACAAATGCACAAACAGCACAAGCGACATGATTTTCTGTAAGATGAATTAACTCCTTTGATAAGTTTCTAAGCTGGTTTATAGAATGCTTAATCCTGCTATAAATACTAACTGAAGTTTCTGATTAAGGCGAATTCAAGTTTGAGAATATTCTAATTTAATCAATTATTTTGTTCAAATTCAACACGCTTTCATGATTAAAATGATTAATCAAGTTTTCAAATCTATCATTGATGGCCAAAAAGCTTAAAGACAAATTGGCAACTTATCAAGTGTAACTTGATCGAAGATAAGACCTTACAATAAATATAGAAGATGCCTAACTGTCAGCTTCGTAGAGGCCATATCTTATCGATCAAATAATCCTGACCATCCAACTTGTGTGAGGTATTCGTTACCAACTGAAACCTCTATTGTTGAAACATTTATGCACAAAAGATCTTTACTAACTTTAATAAAATAAAAAATAAATCAAACACAATCAAGATATTAAATGTTATTGCGTCCGAAGATAATAAATATGAAATCTTATTAATATTTATAGTAGGATGTCAGTAAAATTTTATGCTAAATGTACTATACTTGTTGGAGCAGATTTTTCTTGACGATCAATACCAAGTTTGCCTGAACGTTCAAGAGACTCCCACAAGTCTCGACCATCGCCAAAGGGATTGAATACCAACATTCGTGAAATGTCAACGTCTACACTAGCTTTTGACGCTATACCATACGTGCAAGGCATACCCTTCAATTCTTGATGTATCATCACCCCCATAACTTTATTCTTAGATTCAAAATACTCTGTCCATTTTTCATCTAAAATAAATATCATAATAGCAAGATTCCACACATATTTTGACTTCATTTTTCTTTCGTTATTTTACCTGAACTCGCTGAACTACCCGTTCCACTTTGAAATGTAAAAGTTATACTAACATCTAAATCCACTTTATCTTCATTTATGATTTCCCAAATAAAAGCAGCACAAGGTAACGAGCTGTCTTTGTAATTATTTGGTATTATTGGAGATATTTGTCGACAAATAAGTTTAATGCCAACTTCAATTATGTTATATTCTGTCCATGATCGTGGATACAATGCAGTATACTTAGCATTTTTTCCGTTAAATCCCCATTTCCATGACGATAAATATTTGCCTTTTCTATTTCAATTTACATATCAGAATGATATTCAGTTCTATTATTTTATTAAGCAACAATAGAATATATATTTTGTTTCAATATAAAAGTCTTACGGTGCTGGCGATAATACTTGATGATATATAGTCTTTCCATTAGTATCACGAATAGTAACAATAAATTGATTAGTAAACACTGTATCATACTGATAAATCCCCGGAATTAATGAATATCTACAAAACTCTCCTTTAAATCCACGGCCGATTGTTCCAGCTCCAAGTCCACCTATTGGTGCACCTTTAAAAGTTGATAGGTATTTTTGTTGGAAATATGAAAAAAATGTTCAATTTATTACAGTCAATTCATCTACTTTGATTCATAAAAGTTTGTTAAAATTTCTTAAATTATTTAATTGAAAAAAATAAATATATTATGACTGAAAGCCTTTAAGCGATGGCTGATTGTAACCTGAAGATACTTTTCAGGTGATACTCAATCGCATTTCAAACAATTAAAAGTAGTTGATATCATTTCTTTCTTGATTTACTATTATCCTCATGTTTGATAATTAAAGAATTTAAATTTAAATATTACCATAAATCTGTTGGCCATTTAAAGGACTCAAAAAATCCATTAACACCATGCGTCCTTGTCGAGTTATCTGCCAGTAATAATACCAATACCTATAAAGTGACCATAAAAGCAAACTCAGCGCAATCATATAGATATTTCAGTATTTACTCACCGTAATGCTAACGGTATCATTCGAAAAAATTCTCTCCATCGCACTCGTAATGTTTGCTTCCATTTTTCTGGATATTTGTGGTTTAATGGCACAATGAAACCATAATGAGAAATTTGTTTAACATTCTTATCATTATTATCAGTCATTGGATCCATTGTTAACTAATATTGTTGTTAAAAAAATTGAATTAATTTCACTACTTTATTTCAATAATCAACATGCCACTGTCACACCGAAAAATTTCTATTCCAATGTAATTCAATTACTTTTAGTCATACTTTAGTATAAATGAGTTATATCATGGTTATAAATAGTTTTCAGCTTTTTAAACTAGTCATTCCGATTGATAGTATTTTCAGGACTACAAATTATCATTATGATAATTCTAATGTTAAATTTAAAAAAATAATAAAACGCGTCAAGTATCAATAAATATATTATTTAATGTAATATCGTATTGATATTGAAATGATAACCTTTAAATTCATTAAAACTTAAAATCCCAGAATATTTTAAAACAAAACATTTGATAATTATTTCGAATTATCAATTATTTTGAATATGAATTAATTAAAATACAAAAATTATGTTTACATACACTATGTAAATAAAGAATTTTGATTGAAAGAATAGTGTGTTTTATTCGAAGATAACCATGTGATTATTCTCAAATAATTGATATTGATTTTGTTATTTACAAAAACTATCGAATACACTTATTACAAACGCTTAATCCATCTTAGTTTAGTTATTTTACATGTAATTATAAAGATATTTTTGTAATTTCAAAAAGTTCATCGTACACATAACCATCAAAATTACTGATTTCATAATTCGCCACTACGTGGCGTGGTTTACAACACAGTCGAGTACGCATGCGTCGAATGTTAAATAAAAAATAGCGTTTTATTGAAAAAAACAGTGTATACTTGATTGAATAAAAAAACAGTAAAGTAATAGCATGTATGAAATGCGAATTACTTGCGTAATTCGTCGATGAGTGAACGTTATTATGGATATTTTAATTCGATTAAATAATGAAACTGTCGGTAGAGACAAAATAATAAGGTTAGATTATTGAGAAGTAAATAAATAAAGTTGAATGACTTGTATATTTTGAATCATAATCGCGGATATCGTCTTATAAAATTTATTTTTCAGATTATTTCAGTATGGAAGTCGAGCTGGATGGTACTATACGCAAGATTCTGTTGTTCATACTACTTCAAATGATATTTTGAAGAGTTTGGAGTACACATTTAGCTCATTTCGAAAATGTAAATATCGTATTATCAATTTAATAATTAGTTACTTTTATCATATATTAATAATGAAAATTAAATGAATATATATTTTATCAATACTTTGTATTTTTCAGTGTTAAGACTTGGAAGATGTCTAGACAGCCTTTATTCCGCCCTTCATACGATGAAGTACCCCGATTTAACAATCCGTTTGACATTGACCCTATCGAAAATAACTCACGCATTATTTTTACTTGCTGATCACATCATATGGACCGGAAGAGTTGGATTATTTAAAGTAAATCTTGAGAAATGGAACACAATTGCCAATAAATATTGGCTATTGACAATAATAATGAATTTAACAAGAGATATATATGAAATAGTACAGATAATAAAAAACAAAAATTTATCAAGTTTACTAAAAACTCGTTTACAATCGAAAAATTTTCATCAAAATAAATATCGAGCATTCACTGATATGACATCTCATAAAGATGTATTTTTAGATACTCTAAAAAATACTTGTGATTTTTTTATTCCATTAACTACACTGGGATACACTAAATTAAGTCCTGGAATGGTTGGAGTACTAGGATTTATTTCATCTGCAATAGGAATTTATTGTTTAATAGATCCTCTTGCAAAATTAACTCCAGCCTGATAAAGAATTCAACATGTTGTTTATTAAATTTTTGTTTCAATTATTTTTTAACGTCAATACAAAAGATAATAAATACTAACTAATCTAGCATTTAATTGTATATAAAAGTTTGATAAATTTGTAAAAATATAAAATATATTTTCTTATAACGATAAATTGTTAAATAATTGGTTTTTATAGTTATACTTGAATAATTTGTGTCGTTATAAAATCTTGATCTCTATTCCATAACATTCTACAGATGGAATTTAGTTGATACGAACAATCAAATATTTCTGGTCTTGCAGAAGTTTTATTTACATCCATCTTTATGACTTTCATATTCCATTTTCTTTCAAATTCTTTAACCTGGGATTCGGACACTGGTAATGATGACCAAGGTTTATATTTCGTACCAATTACAATATTTGCAGGCCTTTCTTTCATGTTAATCATTGAATTTATCAGATGAGGAATATCAGAAAAACTAGAATGATCTTCAAATGAAAATACTGCACAAATTGCATCCACTTTGTCTTTGCACGCCTAAAAGGACATTAAATTCAATAAAAATTATATAAATATAATTATGTAATTAATTTTTCTTACAGGTAAGATATGACTGTATTTTTTGATACTATTTTCCGAAGTATCCCAAAAATTGAGTTTAAATAAAACTACTTTATCCCAAATTTTTACAGGCCAGTAGATCATTGTTTTTCTGATCCCATTGAGTTCAGAATTCGTATAATTTTCTCCATTGGTTCCAGAAAAACGAGCAATAACAGATGACTTTCCAACACCAGGTCTTCCAATAACAAAAATTTTATAAGTTACTTCTTCAATGAAAGATGGAACTGCTGGTCGCTCTAAAATACCTAAAACAGTCAAATTAATGAAATAAAGAAATAACGAAAAAAAGATAACATAAATTTTGTTATTTTGAACTTTATGGAGCCAATCTTGGATCTCATTACCATAGTGTCTTCGTTTTTTTAAATTATGATCATAAAAATAAGGCAGCAATGATTCTCCTTCTACTGAATTCAACCAATTCATATTTATTGGACCACTCATTTTTTATATATCAATAATAATAATTATTTAAATATTGATAGAAAAGTTTGATTTAGTAAAAGTCATAAAATTAAAAAAAACTGTTATCACTTCACTAGTATCATTATGCAAAAGTATTCATCCTAGTAGAAAATATAAAAGTGATATAAAATTGTTTAATTAAGTACTTTGATGGATATGTATTGTATAATATTTATATTAGAATTTTCTTTAGACTGATAATCAGTCCCAATGTAAACAGCTTCTTACAAAATCCATTTGGTAGACTGTAGCGCTATATAAAAAATCTCAGCTGTTTCTAGGTAAACGCTTTTCTGCGATTGGATAAACTTTTGGAGTTCAGACTTCTATGCTATGGTGGTATTTTATGCCAGAAGTGGGGTTGTGACAGTTGTAGATGTCGTGATCATCACCAGATGATAAAGACGTACATTTATACTTCTCTTATTATTTTTATTTTTTGCAATTATTCAAGGCAAAAAATCTCATGCTAATTGATAAATTTATTATTATTACTGTTTAATTAAATTTCTATAATAATTAACTTCTTTTTTCATATATTTTTATGTCTATTTCATGTAATATTCATTTCTGCACATGTGAAATTCGACTGGTGAACAAGTTTAAATCACCAACACAGATCTATCATAAAGCCCACGTTGTGATGTATTGTTATTTTTTTGTGCTTTTTTTCTACATATGTTCGAACATAGTATTGAGCATACGATTAATTGAATATATTCAATGTTAGTTTAGCATTTTCTTTTATACATCAAATCAATGGCAACTCCAAAGATCAATGAGAAACTGTGCGAAGTGTTGGAGTTATTTCTTTTACCGAATTATGTTGTTGCTTCAACTACGTATTTGGATCTTTTACTGTCACATATTTCCAATTCAATCTCACAATGTAATTAGCATGTTCTATAAATATTATTCTATTAACATAATTAATTTTACAAATGAAGTATCAACATTCAATGAACATTTTGAATATGAAACTTTCAGCTAACACTAAAAATGATGAACTATCTTGGATTGTTAAGGAATGGTTATTAAAAGCTTCAGATACATGGAATACCGAATTTAAACCTTGCCAAGCAGTGATTGTTTTTACTCTAAAACTTGCAGGAACAATAGGAAAAAATAGCGATGATTTTGTTTATTTACAAAAAGACAGGGTATTTGATAAATTACTGGAAATATTTAATCTCGAAGAAAATAATTTACCAGCATCTATTAAGATGGCATATACAAGTATGTTATTAGATATTGTTGGATATGAAGAAGGAAGAAAGTGGATAAAAACATCCGGTATGATTTATTTAAATATGGTTTTTACTTTGTGAAAACATTCATTTTTTATTTAGCCAAATCTATAATTAAAATGATTTTATTTCTAAAGCTAATTCTACATTAGCTTTTCTCCGCAAAAATCCGAGAAATCATAAAAAAATACTTACTCCTCTTTATTTATTATTCTATAATTATTTACAGGTGTTTGGAAGGATATTGTAAAATTCTCACATTTGAATCATACAATGTATGTGACTCGAGAGAGCCACAAGTTTATTACAGAATTACTTATCAATGATTCTCAAAATATTCAATTTTGTACAGAAGTACTACAAGCAGTATGTGAACCAATTATCAACAATACTTTTAATCCTCAAATTCACACAACATTAGAGGACATTTATTTAGATCAAACTAGAGTACTTTCCACTACTTTAGAAATAATAACAAGTATATTAGAGAATACTCTATTTTTCAGTACAGATAATACTATTCCTAAATTATTAGTAGAGCTGATAGATTTGGAAGCTCGAGTAAAAGCTCTTCTAGAAGCTTGTATCAGCACGAAATTTCTATCGAACATTCAAAAGTTGTGGATTCTTTTAATTTTATATAATGTTAAATGTGGTTGGGAAACCAACAATGAAGGTAAAACTATTGTCAACCAAGAGCACTGGGACAAATTTCGCTTGGGTTACTGTTACATGCAAACATTGTTTATATCTAAGAAATACATAATTGAGGTAGCACGAACCAATAAATATGCATTAATTTATTGGAAAAAGTTAACAGATCTCAAACATTTTAGTTTACCTCATAAAGATCATCAATTTGAACATCAAGTGGTAGCATTGATGGTAAGTCATCGAAATATATTGTTTATTAACTCTAATAACTATTTGAATATTACCATATTTACAGATAACACCACTACTAGTATGTTTGAGAAAAGGGTATAAACACGATTTATTTGAAATTTTTATGGATAAAATGTTCAATATAACTTGTTTACCTATTTTAAGACTTACTTATGAAGTAAGAGATGTTATGCTTAGGGAAGATTTACCAGTAGAATTAATTTCTAAATCTTGCGTCGAAATGTTATTGGAAATAATTGATATTATGGATAGAGTATGTATATAGATATTTATTAATAAATTTTAAATAATAAATATAACTAGTGATAATGATGAAATTATTGTTTTTCAGGAAACGGCAGTAATTGCTTTTCAAAGTATGTGTCACGTTTTAAAAAATTACGTTTCAACCGAAAGTTATAGTAACTCCACTACTTTACAAAATCATAATTCTAACAATTGCTACAATAATTTGTCGCCGGAATTAATGATAGATGATACAACTGCTGAAAGCCCTATTTTACTTTCAGCTTTAATTCATGGATGTAATAATCATCATGAAGAATACTGTTCTAGACCAGCAAGTTATCAAAAAAATGATCTACCCAAATCTATACTTGATGGTGATCCTATTGTAGAAAATCCAGTATTACTATCAACGTTGCTACATGGAGTTGCTATAATGACGGAAAAATTTCAATTCAAATGGCGTGATTGTGTTGAAACAATTTGTGTTTTATTTCTCGCTCAAGGGATTTTAAATCATAGTGGAACGTTACCCAATGTAAGTTTTAATTATTTCTCAAATATAAGAGTTAAAATAAAATAGATTGATTAATTTTATTATAACATTTTTAGATTTGTGTTAAAGCTTTAAAATTATGCAAACTCGCTATAGAAAACTTCATGCCACCAAATTTAGCTTTATTAGTAAATAGTGAGAGTCATATGAATAATATTGGACCGACGTTATATAAAAGATTACATGATCCAAACTGGGAAGTTCGTGATAGTGCATTAGAAGTTCTTCATGTTATTGCAGACATTTCAGAAAATAGTATAGTACAATATTGTTAATTGATTGTTATTTTTTTATCACATGCTTTACCTACTTTTAATCTTATTACAGCATACCCAGCTTTTCAGGAACTTCTCCTTACCAATCAACTCATTCCATTAATAACTGATATGGCAATGAAAGATGGAGAGAGTTACGTTCGAGCTTCAGCATTGAAATTTATTGCTATCACAACACGAATAAATAATTTATGGGATCGAGAGTTATCTAGGCTAGATTTACTTGTACGAATTTTTCATGGGATAATATTTATATGACATAAATATTTTTAAACATATTTAATTGTTATTAATTTTATCTTTTGCAGGAGAAAACATCAGAGTTATTTAAAAATGAAAGTGAAGCCATTGTTCGAAAAGAAGCAATTGCATTAATTAAAGAATTATATGTCCACAGAAAATGGCCGTAAGTTAAAATATATACATATATTGAAAATTATAAGAATATATTATTAATAAAGTATTTTTTTATTGAATAGAAAAGCAACATTGAAAGCTATTAATGATATCATGGTTGAAGCAGCAATATTGGATCTTCATTGGGAAGTTAAAATAAATGCACTTAAATATTGGCGTCATCTTATGACTGTTGATCTCAATGATCAAGGAATGCTCGATGGGGAATTTCCAAATGTAACATTTTCTAAGGAGCATCGAAAAATAGTTACACTTGATGAAAGAGAAATTAAAAATTTGATCAATAAAGCAATGGATACTATGGCAAAACAAAATTGTCTTGGGGTAATAAAATAAGATTTATACTTTTCAAAAGTTTAATTTATTATGAATTTAAAAAATTTATAAATATATATATTTATCAACATAAAGGTACTTCTTCTTACATTGGAAGATGAAAGTGATTTTGAAGTATCTAAAAATGCAGCTAATATTATCCAAGAACTCAAAGGACTACTACTTAAATATAATGTTCATAAAGTTGGCGTAGATGAAAATATATTTGAAATAAACAATTCTACGCTTGACACAGTTTATGTTAATCAACCTTCTAATTCAACAAACTATCAAGAGAGTAATTCTTCAAATGATTTATCGCGGGTCATCGATGACATTATTGATTCAAATGATGCAAGTTTGTTGGCATCAATATATAAAAATGTCATGAAAATGGATGAAGATAGTGGGAATAGAAAACAAGAGATTTTAGAACGAATATCAAAAATTACGAGAGAACAATTCTTATCGACAATACTTAATTCAGATATTAATGCTTATATTGAAGAAAGATGTAGATGGTTAAATACTTATACAGTTTCATTTGATTCTGTCTTGGAGGATATTTTAACAGTATATCAACAAAAAGATATCAACACTATGGATTGCTATTAAAAGATTTGAAATAGATGTACATATAAATATATTTTTAATATTTTATTTCAATAAATGTGTGGTTTTTTATCCAAAAAATTATATTTCAGACTTGGAATGTAAAATGTACTTTAATTTTATTATTACTCTATGTTACATTTAATTGTTGCCGGGATCAAAAGTAAACAAGTAGCGACCTCTTATTCTCAGAATTTATACTGAGGGCTAGAAAAAAGGGAATCCAGTCTATTTGAAGTTCTCAGTGACTCAGTATATTCTTCGAAAGAAGAGTGTTATCTTCTGTCGAAAAGTACTTACTATAATGACGATAAGTACTTGCGCATGCAAGTGTACTAAGTATACGCTCTTACACTTGTATGTAGACTTGAATAATAATTTCACGTAGATTGGCGCGAGGCTTCAGTTACTGTTCACGACATGATAGTGTTGGATCTTATCATTCATCTAAGTTAAATTTTAAATAATTAAAGTGTTCAATTCTTCATAACTTGTACAACATTTGTACCAAATAAATTTATATTAGATGAAAAGTCTTCAAGAATTTGTATATTAAATATAAAAAATAGTATATAATATATAATAAAGTATAAAATAGTGAATGTATTTATACGAGTGAATGTGCATAACTAAGTTTATTTGAAATGTCACATTTTTTCCGTGAAAACCCAAGTTTCCGCGACAAATTTCAAGGAAACTCAGAAGACGATTTTCTTCAAAAATTTAGACAACATTTTGATGATAAAGTTTTTGATCCAATTTCAAGAAATTCACGAGACTCAAAAGGATTTAATGATAAATTAAAAGACCATTTTGACGATAACTTTCTTTCTAAATTAAAACAACACTTCGACGACGATAAAAATTTTGAATCGATTCCAAAGAACGCGCGAGATCCATTCGAACGACATTCAACTTTTTCTAAGGTAAACAGCACACATATTATATGATTTATTATTTAATTAGCTTAATAATTAACTTCTCATATACATAGATTTCTTCTAAATCTTATTGATCACTACATTGATCAATTAATATTATAATTTTTATCTATCACTAATCAATTTCGTGAATATCTATTAGAAAATCTGAAAACATCACTATGATTAAATTGTGTTATTTGCTGGAGATAATTTTAATTATTCGAATTATATTTAATTTTTTATTTTTTCAAGAAGTTCACTGATTGCTGTTCATTTTATATTGCTTATAATTATCATTATACATCCCATTAGTGCATAATTATTTTTTTATGATGATACTAGCTATTAAATATAAATTATTAAATGTTAGTCGTGCATTTATGTGGCATTTAATTAACTATAAAAGTCATTGTACTTCTTCCCTCTACAACTTTATAGTTTTCAACAGACAATAAGTAATGGAATTTTTTCCATCCCTCGGATTAAATAGTATTTCTTATTTGATACAATTCTTCATTTAAAAGTGAATTAGAAATAAACAATTTTTAATCACACTTGGAATAACTTAGATGATCACTGAAGAAAATTAGATATTACATTTAAACAAAAAATTTCTATCAGATTATTCAATTTTAATTTATCATTTTTGTTCTTGAGTTGTTGAATATTTTTTTCTTTTAAATGTCAATAGAATAAAACTAATATAAAATACAAATGTAACATTAATATGACATGACTCGACTAAAACAATGAGCTAATTTTATTGAGATTGAATAGTATTGCTCAAGCGGGGGCTGTTTCAAGAGTCCGTTGGCCAACAGAAGAACCGCAAAGAACGTTCTCGGCAGCTCGAGAGATCTCTCAAAATAACCACCATTGATCCTCTCTTCATTCCAGTATAAAAAAGTTCGATCCAAAATAATTTCAATATTTTATTCTCCCCTCTTATATTATATTGCACATACCACTATTTACCTACGACATACAGTTATCGATAACAAAAATTCACAGTAATCATCTGCTTCTTCGTATTGTAATATTATTCTAATTTAAGACTATTTAAACTACAACTCCAATCGTTTTTTTGTCATATTTTAGAACCAACGGTGACGAAAAATCTTTATTTTTATAAAAGAATGTGCTCAGAAAAAGAAAAAGTAATTTCAGGCTTAAGCTTTCTAGTTAATATTGACTTTTCCACTCTATCATTCACATCTTCTCTTCTTCTTTTCCTTATGAGTGTTGGAATTTTTATTCACATAAAGTTCAATCTCTTCTTTGTTGCTAAAGCTTAGAGCATTTTTTATAATAAATTATTTTGGTATTATATTTCAAAAAAGATTGAACAGTCATGATTTTCTACGGGTAATTGGCGCCACTAAGATCCATGTATATGTTCTGTTTCTCGTTTTGTTTCTTTACCAGTCTCTTCCTCCGACTGTGGCATGAGTTCAAGAACCTTGCGACACAAATGTTAAAAATTCTTAAATTGAAAACTCTATCAAAGAAAAGAGAAAAAAACTTGAAGAAAAAATATTTTAAATTCCTCTTTTCTAGACATGATAAATTAGTGTTATTACACATATCATTTAAAGTATTATTTTGTTAATATGCATGAAAGTGAAAATACTGTCATACTACTGGAATAACAATAATAGAATAACTTGGCAATGACTAACAATTAATCTGATGGGTGTGGCACAGTATAAATGATCACACCACTGTTAATCGATGTTAAAGATCCTAATATCTATGTTTATATATAAAATATCTAAATATCATTAAACTAATTCATAAAGTGCTAATATTTTCCTGAATTCATTACTTAACATCCATACTACTGATGACAGTAATTGCAAAAATGTTTTTAGTTAAACTATTCAATCACCTTGAAGTCAATATGTAATTATCAGTTTTTCCAACAATTAACAACTTGTTGCTAATTATATACTCTCGGCACCAAACGTCGACGACATCAAAGATTAAGATGTAATCGTCTCTTCAAAGACATTTGATTGTTTAGTTACATTTTTTATTATTACTGCATACCATTTATTCAATTGCCATAAGTATGTTGGTTATTTTTTATCACATAGTATTCTATTAATCTATTAATACTATCTGTTATTTCATTCAGTAAAATAATTCTATACATTATATTTTATCGTTAATCTTTTATCTATCAATTAAGCAATCATTACATGCTGAAGCGATGAGTTTTTACATATTGGTCCATCTCCATTCTTCGTAGTTACAATTAACACAATTCCTGCAACATAATTTTCCTGTTTTAATTGTGAAATATATAATATGATCTTAAAATTAAAGTGATTATAGTATATACCTAATTAAAATAGTACATGCAGTAAAATAAATTTTAGAAATAGAAAGTATAGAAAGAGAATAGTATAGCAAATAATACATTACATATAACGGAATGATCGCTCAGCCATCCAAGGTAAGAAACCTGTCTCTGGTGTTAGAATGACGTCATGTAATATTTAAACCGAGTGTAATATCGATGCTGACTAAATAGTATAGGTTTAGTCAACAAATACTCCTTCAGTTTGTTGGATTCCTGATAGCTCTATCGATCACTGTAGATCATTGATCGTCATCGAAGATGATTATGATCATGATTGCCATAAAATTTTTATCTCATTTGCATATGGGTATTAAACTTTGTTTACATTATATTGTTATGACTCATAAGTATTCAAGTTCAATATTATATTGATATGATCAAAATATAACAATGAAGATTTTAATGTGATAAGACGTCATTAGTGATGATCTAATCACATTCATTTTTAAATAGTCATTTATTGAAAAATATAAAGTTATGCAGCCAATTTTCTATTCGATTTTGATAAAGCAGTTATCAACATTAGTATTAGTTATTATTGAATAATTTACTAATATATAATGAAAATAAAAGGTTAAAAATTTAAAAAATGAACAACTACCTTAATGAGTAGACCTACATCTGATTAGTCTTGCTTAAATGTGCTTTTAATATTCGTCAGGTGAAAAATTTATCTACAAAAACCCAATCAGACTTTTCAATTAAGAATTGTTACAAATCTATTACATTTGGAATGGTGCCAACCTATGTGTGCTAATTTTCGTGGTACTTATTTAAAAGAGTATGTACTCATGACATGATTTTGGAATTAAAATTTTAGTCAGCTCATAAACCTTCATGACCAGCTACTAATATGTTTTTAATTAATATTCTGAAATATTTCCAATTCCGTCCATATTGGAATCTATAAAATTATATAAAGGACTCCTATTATTACTCCAAAATTAAATAATTCTAATTTTTTCATGTACTAAAATATATTGAACATATTTTATTTTTCTGATTAAAATATTTTTTTTTTATCTTTTTCTTACTACATATATATATATATATATATATATACAACTCTAGCGATCAATCTGTTTATACATAGATTACTTACAAAAACTTCAAGAAGTTTCTAGCAAATTCGCGCTTCTTCCACGCGCTCAATCATGTTTATACGCATTCACTCTGCGCATCTATATATACACCATGTTGTCCAATTACTAGCGCCATCTGTACGGATATATCAACTCAATATGAGTACTTTCAACTGTCAGTATCGAAATCGACTTGGTGTGACTTGTAATTGTCTCAACTTCACACTATTTATATAAATTTCTACCTAACAAATAGATAAATCGTGATACATAACTTATCATTAATCCATATTTAAAAAATTAAAAAAAGATTAAAGTGTTAATTGTTTCAATCGGAGTAAAACTTCAAATTTAATTGTGTGTTCACGTGTATTACGTAACAATAGATTATAAGGGAGAGAAAGTGAGAGAGAAAGAAAGAGGTGAAGTCAACGGTAAAATTCAACAGAATCATACAGAAGGCTACACAACTTTTGCCGGTAACTCTTGAAATATTGAAATATATGAGTGTGTCGCATACATCCCAGATTTAACAAAAACTGGCATTTTATACGCTTCTTTTGACAGCAAAAAGGACCGAACGAATATTAATCGCGAGAGGGGGGTGTCGTCTTGAAACTCTTCACACGTGCAACAGAAAATTCGCGTATCCAATCCATTAAATATGGACTCTCCTGTCATCGTGGATACAGCATCCAAATTCGGCCGAGATCTGGACCCTGTAAGTGTTTTTTTTTAATCCCCTTCGACATCATCTTTCTAATTATGTATACCAGAATTCAATTTATTTTCCCGTAGGTATAAAAAATTTTTGATTATCAGCTCTCTACCTTACTGATATAAAGGATTTATTGGAAAATGATACATCCAAATTTTTCCATTTAAACAAATTTTATTGATGACTGTTTTGTTTTCTTTTTACACAAACCGGACGGCCTTGTTTTGGACAACGTTTCGTACATAACTGGCCTCGACGCAGGCGTCGTCATTGATCAATGCGACCTATCAAGGTTGAGAAAACGAGATTATTCCAGAATTTTCGCGTAAAAGGTCATTCCTTGTCTGGATAATTTCCAGAATGCATCTCCCTCTACGATTAAATTCGTTTTAATACAATTATTTTGACTCAAACCGTTTGAAATCTACTAGCATATTGGTTTACAAGAAATGTAGTTTTTTTTTTCAACTTCGTAGAAGTTAACAAGCATTTCCATTATTAGAAAACATTTCATCGCTTCTTGTTACTCTTTACCGCTAATTCGAACAGCTCAAATTTATGCAAACATTAATTTTTTAAACTCTCCATATGTACGATCATAAATAATCCTTTTAACGATAATTCTTTTTGTTCAAATTTCGGCTAAATTTGATTTTAACGAAATATTTATGAATCTTGTCTTGTCTAATAATATCCCAAACGCGCAGTAATATATAGTCGTCATCGTCGAATCTAAGCACACTATACTAACCAATTCTGAAAGAATAGACCTGATATGAACAACGATTCTAAGATATTGAAAACTAGGTTAATAATCAATGGTTTAATTCACAAAACATTAAAGTAAAAAAGTTTAATTGTTCAAACGATTTATTCTTTATTTTTATTCATTACGGATCGACTCAAATTTTCTAATACTTGAAAATATTTCAGTAATTTCGTGACGTTTTTTTCTTATCGTATACTACGTTGAATGGTATTTTTAAAGAGAATTATTTAACGGGAAAATAAGGGAATATTACAACATTAAATTGCCTAACGTGTTTATAGGTGCATATTGCAAATAATCTTGATTCAAGTTTTCTGTACACCATAATAGTTCACATCTTACTCTTACATAATGCTATACTCTCAGTGAAACAAGATTTCATGAACTTAAGAATTGATATTAGTACTTTTACTTATGAGAACAACGATTATTTTACTATTACATTACATATCTTTTCAAGATAATAAGGAACTTGGAAAAAATAAAGTTTTTTTAAAATTACATATATAAAGTTAAAGAAAAATTAAAGGTGAAGCAAATATTGAATAATAAGTTACGTGAACTATTGCAATTCTTCTTATATTCATATATCCATCCCACGCATTTCTTTTGGACTTGACGTCATCATTAAACGTTATAACAAAGTTTTTATCGTACAAGCAAGAGAAATCGAAAAGATCATAAAAGGTAGAGATTGTAAGCAATCATGTTTCAACGTGAGAAGCTTGAGCTTGTTGATGTATTTAAAAAATACATACAGACAATTCCTATTCAATAAATCTTTTATATTACATAAAACATTAGACTTTATTATCAGTTAAATACTGCTACATAATATTCATAATAAATAATTTATTTTATTCAATAAAAATAAAAAATGATGATTCAGTTAAATATAACAAAACTAGTACAAATTGTATCAACATAACATCAAGAAGGCAAAGTCATAATTGCACGTGTTTTTTAATACGTAATCCAATGATTCATTCACAGTTTACCAACACAATTAAAAAGTATTTATATCAATTCAATGAATTATTAATAATGAATTAGGAATTAATTATAATCAACTATGTAATCGAACCAATTCGATTGTTATATTAGGGTTTATTTCGATTATTTAAAGATAATTAATATTTAAATTTGTTTTTAGTATGTAGTTATTGTTTTATCTCGTCTTTTATACTCTTTTTCCTCTCTGAATTTGTCACGCTGCACAAAAGGTATTATGATTAAAGTGTACTCGTCTCATTGCAGCTGTTTTTATTTTGCTTTATTATCTTTTTTTTTTTGCAAACATACATACTATTGTCATTACATTCGTGAAACATTGCCGAGTAGAAATGAAAATAAATGCTCTGTTATACAGTTATTGAATGACAAATGCACAAATATTAGTAATTAATTAAATTTTAAAGACAAACAGACTCGATATAAGGTTATTAAAAATATGTATTAAGAAAAACAGAAACCTGTGAATCATAGCTAAACCTCCGCATTAAACGCCGGAACCTGAGGTGCAAGTTTAGAGATCTTTAAATGGACACGAATGGAAATTCATTCTTTTTGTTACCAACTTGATGGAAAAAATACTTGGACGTCCTTGGTTGACTAGAGAATCAAATTATAAGAAATATGTATTATAATATAAAGTATGTTACATAGTGAAAGCCTAGATTCTAGATGCTAATCAGGCTAATATATAAAGGTGTGTGATTTCCGTGACGTTGCTTGAATTACACGTCCGAGGTCATGACGACAGTGAAGCGTGTCACCTACGCGTATATACGAATAAACACGATGAGTGGCTCTTTAGTATTTTTTTCCAGCACATGTTAAAAGTCGAGTTTCGTCTCCAGTATTTTAATTTAAGATAAAACTCGATGAGAATAATCCATTCTTAGATAAAATATTCTAAAATTAATAGTAGGATTTAAAATTCTAATAATTCAAATTAAAATAACTAATTATAATGAATTAATTATTCTATTTTACTTATAGGGTTTTCCATTTGATGACGAAGGTTTTAGCCGGAGGAGTGACATAAGGTCTCATTTAGACGACTTGGCAGCTCGACATCCAGAATTTGCTGAACATTTATTGGGTCCACCTTGGGGTGATATTCCTTTTCACGGTACATTGAGAAATCGTAGACGTGGCTCCAGTAGCAATTCCCACCAGGGTCATACAGACGACGATACGCGTAGTCAAGCAAGTGGAAGCAGTGCAGCAAGTGTAGCAAGTGGCGCCAGTGGTGTGAGTTCCCACGGAGAGCCTGATCATACTTACCAACAAGATACATCTACTAAAATTCCTCAGTACGGTTTACGCAATACTGTAGACATTGGTCAACATCATCACAATATGGAAAACGTTGAAAAAGGAGATCGAAGTCAAAGGTCAATGTCTGCTCCACCAGAAAATCGACAACAACCACAAGAACAATCACAACAACCATCTCAAGGTCAGAATCAACGATATATTAGTAGGGTAGACATCACGCCTCAATATATCGGTCAAAAAACTGATGATAAAAATTTCAATACAGCTAAACAACAACAATCATCACAACAAGCTCAACAACAAAAAAATCAAACACAAGGTAACGTCAGGCATATTCCAATATTTGTAGAAGGACGTGATGAACCTGTTATTCCTAAGAATATTGATGATCAACCAACATATACTAGACATCAATCACCTTCACGATTTTATCAGCAATCAAACTTTGATGCTCCACAAAATTTTCGAAATAATTCACATAAATCTTCACAATTTAATGACTTTTTTAATAAAAGGCATAGAGACTGGCCTTCACAATTTCAAGATCCTTTTCAGGATACTTTCGATCATCCAGAAACACGTAGAACCCATCAACAATCACGATCACCATTTAGACAACAAACAACTGAGAAACAGCGAGTGCCTCAACGTGATGAAAGTCCTATCCCAGTACCAGTACAAAAACAACAACAACATCAAGAGACAGAGTCTAAACAAAGGCCTACTCCTAAAACATCTTTAGAAAAAGTAGCTGCAGTTCAGAAAGAGGTAGATTCATTGACAGAGCAAGTTAAACAATGGAATGGGAATTCGCGGAAAGATAAACAGTATATTTATCTTGATGAAATGTTAACTCGAGAATTGATCAAGTTAGATGATATAGAGACTGAAGGTAAAGAAAATGTTAGGCAAGCGCGAAAGAATGCCATCAAAAGTATACAAGATTCTATCAGTTTATTAGAATCTAAAGCACCTCTTCCAGCACAAAACAATGAAACAATCGTTGATCAATCAATAACTGAGAATCAAACAGAAAAGCAACAAGACTCTGTTGAAAGTCAACAAATTATGAGTAGTAACGAAGAACAGGAAAATAAAGAGGTTATTCCTTTACCTATGTTATCAACAGATTCTTCATCAGAAGCTGTCGAGGGATCTGAAACACAAAAAGGTGCAACTCCTACTGAAGAAAAATTATCAGAAGATCAAAGTCTTCCTCAAAGTGATGTAGCTAGTGCTCCAATAGAAAATGTTTCAGTAAAAGATTCTAATGAAACTGAAGTTCAACCAAATTCGGAAGCTCAAAAAGTGTCAGAAAATGAACAAGTTAATCTCAAATCATCTAAAGATTCTACAGAAAGAAAGGATCATCAGAATACTCTTCAAAAAAAGTCACCAAAGAAATTAAAAAAAGCAAATCAACCAACACCAATCTCCTTAGAGCCAATTCCTTTGCCGGCATCGGAAAAGCAAAGTTAAGATGCTAAAAGCTTAATTAAGAAAAAAATTTGATAGAATTTCATCATAACAATATGCTGATATTGTTGAGGATCAACAGACAACTTATTTATTTGTATTTTAGGAGACTGATTTTCCTCTTGATTGCAGCTTGTGATTTCTCATGTTACGTTAGTACTTTAGATAATATAATATTTATTATTTGTAATCAGGATAAAAAGTTTACAAAATTTACTTTCATTAATAATAAATTGCAGTCAAGTTTAATTTACTAAGAACTGCACATTATAAAAAATATATTCAAATATTTAATTAAAAAACATTTTTATTGTATTTATGATTCACCTATGATACAAAATAATAAAAACATAAGAAAATGCAAAGCTATAATAAAAATTTAAAATTTTATCAAAGTACACATATTATTTCAATTATTATTCAATATCTCTTAATTTATTATTATTTTTTAATATATTTGAGTGTAAAGCGTTCATAATTAATAAAATATTCTACACTTTTTACTTATTGTTATAGTGAGTATTTAATTATTAATAAATTAATAGCAGAATAGAAAATACAATTTATTTGATTGAATATTTTGTATAAAACTGTTATTTATATTAAATTCTACCATTATATGATAAATTTAGATTTAAAAAAAATTTTTAATTTAATTTACGTTGAGTGGTAGTCTCAATGACATATTGTTTTTTTGTAAATAAATCGTAAAATATGAAACCTGCCAGATTGTTACATATTACTATCTGTTTACATTAATTTATTAGATCTTTAAGTAGAAAATATTTTTATTGTTCCTACTTCATTCATCTGCTATCATTTCCTCTACTCGTGGCCGTATACTAAGATAGGTAGAACATTTTCTAATAAGTACAGAGTGAAATAGGAACAGTAGTCTTATTCACTGAAAGATGAAAGAAATATTCAGAAATAAGCAAGCTATAGAAAGTTGTCATCATTCATGTAATGGATGCTTTAACATGAAATTATTTCATTTTTATAAGAATGATAAAAAATTTCTGCATTAATAATAATTCATGTTCATTAATAATTTAACTTACAAAAAGGAAGAAGGTAAATAATTTAACAAGTTGAATAAAAAATGAAAATTGGCAGCAGACAATGTGTAAGTATTTATAAATAGGTCTATCACTACAATTGCAGAGAAAACGTTTTGCGCTGTAATATTGTACAGAATATCAAGGTCATAAATGTATCATAAACAAAATTATTTGGCAAATCATTTTTTGCCACAAAAATTCAACTATTGTATCTAGATTACAAAATAAGATAAAAAATAATTAGAATAAAATAAGATATTTATTGTTAACATTACAATATTTAAGCAATAATTTTCTTATGCGTTTGGAGCTCAAATTCATCATGATTTTCATCAAAGCATTTTGAACAATAAAAATCGTTGTAACATCCACTACATTTAACTAGATCCTTTGTTTCTTCACACATTACACAGCTATTTTCCTCATCAGATTCTCGATCAACCTATTGAAAAAAAAATAAAATCATTAATATATCTTTAAGAAAGAACTTATAAAAGAAATTTCAATACAATTCTGTATGAAATATTTATAAATACATTTGTGCCTTCAATTTCCATATTTTCTATTTCATCTTCTGTGTTGAATTTTTTCTCTAAAGCAGCCTCTGCTAAAGCTTTTTCAATTAATTTTTTTGTCACATTTTTTTCGTCATACTCAGACGAATTGAGGTTTGACGATGACTTGGACGGATCTATTTCTTTCAAAGCATTTAATCGTTGTTCAATACTTTCTGTTGAATCTTTTGTTGGTGATAGTTGAAGTGTTTCTAAATATTCTTGTATTAAATCTTCTGTTTTTTCTTGATCTGATCTTGTATCTATTTTATAAATCTTTAAAAAAAATCCACTGTTATAAATAATAATTAAAAATAAATTAAATAAATGTATTTTAAAATATTCTTACATTTGTATGAGCTTGATCAGGATCTTGATCTTTGAGTAAGGCTAATCGTCTACGAATTTCATCAGTAGTTGGAGGTGGGTATTGTTTATCTTCTTCTTTTAATTTTCTTAATCTGTCAACAAGTGCTTGATCCACAGGATCTAAGCCGGACTTAAATTTATCCCATCGTCCTTGCTTATACATGACAATTGGTGGTCTCACTGGATTATCCAATGACTCTAATCTGTAGTTGAAAAAAATATTGTGCTCATAATAATACTAATTATGATCTAATTTTGATAATTTTTCGGTGTAGTAATAAGTCACGTACTTTTTTTCGACATCTATTGGAGCAAGAATTTCATGATGTTTTTCAATACTTGAAGTACTAGGTAATAATTGATCGTTTGTTGATTTATAATTATTATCCATTTTATTTGCTGCTAATCTATTATAACAAGGCCCACAAATTTTTTGCATAGGTTCACTAGATAATTGCCATTTGTACTTTAGACATTTATTGCAGTAAGAAAATCCACAACTAGGACATCCATGCTGAAAAAAATATTGAATGGTTTATTTGAAAATGATTTGTCATAAGATAACGTGAAAATAAAATTTTAGGATAAATACTTCTCTTGTAAAAAATGAAAATTTAGATTGACATGTAGAGCAAGCCATATTTTCATATAAATAAATATATTAAATTTGTAATTTGATTATAACTTTAGCTATTAAATTCCTATTAATAAATAAATTTCAAACTTGAATCACAGAAAATTTCCATTAGTGTTTTTGCGTGACGTAAAGTACACAATAAATTGCGTTGATTTTGTTGAGGTTATGTAGATGGTGGAAGATTGAGGTTGTGTTTGAATTTTATACCTCTTTGGCCAGTGTATATATGTATAGATTTATAGACGTAAATATTTAAATGTTCATTGTTATTTACCCATTTTTTAAAAGAATTTTATAAAAATGTCAGAATATGAAAAAGTGCGAACTGGAAAGCTTAAACTTAAAGGTGAAAAAAAGAAGTGAGTTTTTAAAATTGTTTTTAGTTGACTAACTCATGTTTGTTTATTCTCTGTATAATACTTATTGTTATTATTGTTGATTAAATTAGATCCAAAAAACGGAAACATAAACAACAATCTCAAGATGATAAAAATTTGGAAATCAAAGATGATGATTCAGCTCAACATGGTATGCTACTGGTATCTGTTAAATTAAAAAATATAATAGTTTTTATTTTGTTTAAGTACCTACATTTGCCATAACCTTTCAGTTGTTTAAATAACATGGTACCATTTATTCAGGTGGATGGTGGAAAATTAATAATTTTGGTGATATAACTGGAACAGTAGCTATTCAATTTGGTAATCAAACTTACATTAAGGCATTAGACAATGGTTTATTTACTCTTGGAGCACCACACGACGAAGGAGATGGCCCATCACCTGAAGAAATTCTCACTGCATTCCGAATTAACGATACGAAAATTGCACTAAAATCTGGCTACGGAAAATATATTGGAGTTGATAAAAGAGGTATGGTTATTGGTAGAAATGATGCTGTTGGAGCTATGGAACAATGGGAACCAATTTTTCAAGTAAGATTTACTTTTTTAAATTTTATTTCCAAATGAAAACATCTCTTGTATTTGATGTATTTAAATCTATTTTAGGATGGAAAGCTTGCTATTCTAGGGAATAATAACTGTTTTATGTCAATAACTGAAGAAGACGATGTAGTATGTACAAGTAAGACTGCTGGGTCTACAGAGTTTCTGTGTATTAGAAGCATAATTCAACGAATCGATGATCCGAACAAAGGAATACCAATAGAAGAGCAAGGATCAGTTGCAGAAGTTGAAGTTAATTATGTGTAAGAATATTTAATTAATTTTAATCATAGTTTAATACTCATTTGAGTGATAAAAAAATTTGTGATGTATAAAATATATAAATTTTTTCAGACGAAAATTTCAAAAATTTCAAGATAAAAAATTACGAATAAATAATGAAGACCGAGGAAAATTAGAAACAGCAAAGGCAGAAGGAAATCTACATGAAACTTTACTTGACAGAAGAAGTAAAATGAAAGCTGATCGATATTGTAAATAATATAAAAAAATAACTACCAATTGTTCATAAATTCACCATAATATGATATAATACACAGTAAAATTGGCACTTAACATTTTATTTTACTCAACTTGGAAATGTCAATTTATGTTGATGAACAATGATATAAAAAAATGTCCATTAGGTATCAATGTGTATGATAAAGTACAGATGTTTCTCATAAGTGAAATAAAACTTTTTTGCAAAAATCAAAAACTACAATTGTAAAATTAATTGAGCAACTTACGATATTTATAAAATCAGTTCTTGACTATAGAATTATTGAATACTAAAATTAGCAATTGATTGCTTATTCTATTTTCAAAAAGGTAATTTAATATTACATTTGATTACTTGTAATTTGTTTGCTTTTTTTTTTACAATTTACGGGATAATTAAAACTAGAATAGTAAAAAATATCCACGATCAATTAGAGCGAGAGTAAATTAATTTATTTAACTATTTAGAATCCACATCAATTGGGTCTTTTGTTTTGAGCATAGGCGAAGGTAAGCCCTAAAACCTGCGCACGTTGCACAAAATTTACTGATTGCTTTATGATAATAACGTAATCAATTCCGTATACTAATACTAATGTCAAGTCGTTATCAGTTAATACGCCGTTATTTACATGATTGTGCTCAAAATAGAGCAATAAATCCAGTAATTCACATATCCATCCAACTAAATATTATTTAAATATAACAGATTTGTTGGACGGTTTACATTTTTACATTTCTATCATGATAATGGTTATAAATAAATAACTAAAAATATTGATAACATCTTATAAGGCTGTTAATGCTTGAAAAATGGAATTTATAAGCACAACCATATATAGAATACACGGCGATACTAATCTCATTAAACTATGGGCTAGTACACTATTTAAACGAAATATTGGTATAATTATTCGTTCATTTGACCAAAAATATTTTTCATCATTTGATTTAAAGAAATTTTTTATGCAAATAATATTCTACTACAAATTTTAGATATAACTGAACATTCGATGCAACTAATTAATTATTACCATGATCGCATAGATGATTTAAAAAAGAACCGTAGTTTTTGGATAGAAGAGAAGGCATAAAATTATTGATTATAAGAGAGAAATAGATGTTGAATTAGGCGGGTATTTTTCGTAAAATAAAATTAATTTTAATGTGATTTTTCAGCTGCCTCGTACTCCTATTGATGTTACTTCACCTCGTTGGGCTTTTAACCATTCAACAAATTCATCAAGCATTACTGGCCCTGTAAAATAAATTATATTATTTTTAAAATTGTTTAATAATTAAACCATTGTATGGTTAAAATGTTTATACTAACACGCTCCATCTAAATCATAATTTGTTAAATCATGATTAATCGTTCGGGAAAATTCCAAGATGTTACACCACTGATCTTTATTGATAACTTTGTACTTGGATTGATCTAAAAATTGTGCAAATTGTGAAAATAAAGGCCAGTGTTTTCCTAATAATAACTGAAGCATTACTCGGGCAGTCTCCATATCCATACTACGTTGATCTTTATCCTAAACATAAATAATTATTTTTAAATCCAAAAATTTATTAAACAATCTCAAAAAATAATAATTAAATTATATTTTTACTCTAGCAAAATCGTAGGCATATCTGTAAATTCCTTTGAATGTGTGAGGATCATTGAGTAAATTTCTTAGATATTCAAGCTTCTGTTGTAATTTATTTATGGAATCACATTGAAGTTCCGACAGACCTTTTAACCATTCGCTAAGTGTAAAAAAACCCATTTGACGAGCGTTCATTTTGTATGCAAGTACAAGCATCACAACGTTTTCTGGTTCAACAGCGATATCTTCACAGAATTTTTCCATTCCCTCAGGGCCAAGAGTATCAGGATCATCTGGGACTGTATATTCTCGAAACCAGGCAATACATCTTTTTTGAGAGAATGACGATGCACTTGGAACATCTTCTGTCTTTGCACATCGCCTAGCACTGAAAGAAATAAGAAAAAAACATTTTCACCATCCATTTAATATAAATAACTTTCCATTTATTATTTTATTATCCAACATATTCGTTAATGAATTGTTACACACCCGTTGTCATCCATACACTGTCAAATACTATATAAAACTTTAATAAATACAAGAGTTTTCAAATTGATGTGACGAAAAAAAATATTTCATATGTCATATTATGATGATTATGTAATAAAAAAGAAAAATTAGTATTTTTTTTTTGTTAAATATTGTATAAATATTTAAAGAAAGCTTGAAAATTGAACTAACTACAGTGTCAAGGAAGGGCAAACTAAAATTGTGGACAGTCTATTTTAAACTAACTTCTATATCTACTTAGAATCAGTGGGTGCATCCAAAGAATAACCAACTTAAAATGTCTACCAACATTTTATCAAGTTGTTAACTACATAAAAATAAACTTATAAACATTAATGAAGATAGTGAAGAATTTTTTGAATTCTCTTGTCATAAATTCTCTAACTTATTACACTATCATAATGATTCTTTACAATTTTTTCTAATTCAATGGTCTCGTCTTGAATTATTCCATTGAATAATATTTAATGAATTTGTTTATTTACATCTAATAAATTCATTTCAAGAATGAAAATAATACTTAGTTAAAAGAAAATTACTTGGCTGTGTGTCTAAGCCTTTTGGAAGGATGTCTAGGCAATCCATCTTCATGGGCACTTGGTGACATGTCAGTAGATGCGTGATGATGATGGTGATTCGTACTGGAGGGCGCTCGGCGCTTACTGCGAGGCATCCCTCCACTACCCAAACCCGATTTCTTGTGTTTGCTGGAGCTTCCTGAGCTTATCTGATTCTCAAGGAATTGGCGTTTAACGTCTGAATGTTCGTAATCTTGACCTTGAATCAGTTCCGCTTTTCTGTCTTTCTTCCACCCGCTCTGAAAAATGTTCAAATATTAGAATAAATATTTAATATGAAAATAAACTAACCTTGACATCATTTGCAATTTCAAAAAATACAATCAATAAACAATTAATAAGTTCATTAGCAAAATATGATATTCATGAAACATCTCATTTACCTTGTAGTATTGGCCACTATTGGAAAAATTGAATAAACTCAATTGATCAGTAATATATTGAGTTTCACAATGAATATCCCTTTTTTTTGCCGTTGTTTCCACGTTGGATGAAGTCGAGGTTAAGTTCATCAATACATTAGAAGCTTATGAATTTTTAAACAGTTTCGGTTGCTTAATAACTAATATACAGATTGTTTGCCACGTTTTTTGATGAATCTTCAATAGATACTGCGTGAAATGATTATAAAAATAATTTATTTATACAAGACAGATGATGAAAAATGATATATCAATGTCTAATAATGTGACGGTTGGCATAAAGTCTAGAGGGGAAAAGAGAGTAAAGGGAGACGGTAATAAGGTTGAATAACTTTAAGCAGGAAATTGTACGTTAAAAAAAAATGATTAACAGACAATTTGTCATCCCTACCAAGACAAAAAGAGAACACAGTTCGATGCAAAGAGTATCCTAAAATTTTGAACAATTGCGTTTAAACATCGCAACCAACCTTGTCTACTTTGCCAAAAAAACTTCTAGCATCCTTACTCACTGTATCATAAAATGATTGAATTCATTATAAACAACGTATCTATACTACCTAAATTCTTATAATTATTTAATTCCATATAAAATTATCCACTAAACGACAATTTATCCAATAGTCTTTACTCTAAAACAGAGAAAAGACTGAGAAAATTTTGATACCAAAATATTTATTAATCATTCCTTTTTACGCCACCTGTTCTATCTTTTCATTGAGTATCCATTAATTCGCGAATCTTATTAATAAACTTTAAAGGTTATACCTTTGCACTGAAGATGTCATTCCACGGTTTCGCCAAGCCGTACACAAATAAATCATAAGTATTAATATTATAACCGGCAATAAAATATTGAACATTAAGTAAAAATATATTTAAATCATTTCATATAAAAGATGGCTTTAAATTATATTAATCAAATTAGGTCTATAATATTTCAATCTATCAACAGAAATTCATTGAGGTAAGTTTTATTGCATTATTGCTTACTAAATTTCATCATTTAAATTTTCAAATTAATATATCTGTTTTTAGGAATACTAGTCGAATTAATAGATGTACATTCAAAACCAAAAGTCAAACAGATGTTGATGATGAAGAAAATGAAGATCAACCTATAAAATATTCAACATCTCCAGCTGCTCAATGGGCAGCACGTTACAGTCAGGCTGGTGCGAATACTGATGATGAACCTTGGTATCAACCGCACATAGTTATTTGGAGTACAGTTAGTGTCCTTGTTTATTTTGGTCTCTTCAGAGAACCGAATGATTTAGATGAAGCATTTGATAGGGAATTAGGAGATTATTTTCCTCAATTAACTGAAGAAGAATTAGAAAAAAAATTTGGTAAACACTTTGTGGGGAAAGAATAATCCAACAAGTAACGAGCAATAGAATTTAATTAAAATAGTTTGATAATGTTTTTCGGTCTGATTTTTCAATAAAAAAATTTATTAATAATTTAATATACTTGAATCTTTATTATAAGGGGTATAATAGTTTACCCCAGAGTATATTTTTTACAATCATTGACCATTCAATAGAAGGAATGTGGTTTATTGTATCTGGAATACAGTGAATCCAGGTATCTTTCCATGAAGAAGTTACTGTAGTCATCAACAGAGTTATAGATCCATTTTCATGTCTAGATTTGGTGACTAGTTTTACTGAACCTATTAACGTGAATACAAGAGTTGAATAAAAACAAAAAAGCTGTTATCTATTCACTTCTATAATACTTACTATGAATATTTTCCAAATTAAACAGCCAACAATAAAATGCATAAACTGGCAAAACTTGAAAATAAAATCTTAATCTGGTTAAAACTCCGCCAAAGCCGATAATTATTAAACGTAACTGAAATATTTAAATGTGTTATAAATATTTCATTTATAAAATTAAATATTTAGCTTATTAATTACAATATTAACTAATTAATTAATTATATTATTATTTACCGTTGTAAATACAATGTAATAAACCCATGTAGTTGGCATTAGAAATAATAATATTGTGAAAAGCAGAGTACCAACAAAAAGTTGGTCTGCTTGATATGAGCAGGAGTCAACTCGTTCACGTAAAGGATTTTTCTTTTTACCAAGGAATAATCTAAACAAAGCTGTTAATCCTCGAATTTGTATATAATAAAGTCTGTAAAAGTATGGTAATAATAAATTAACAGTAATATAACAATTATAATAAATATTTTTTTTAGTTACTTTACCTTGCTGCGTAAACGTAAATGCAGTACGCATGAAAACTAACGAGTGCTAAAATATCAGCAGCAATAGCTATTTGAAAAGTAATTCCTAATCTTCCGAATAATAAAAGAACTTCAAAAAAGAAATCCATCACTGGTTTTATTGATACTAAAAAAAGCCACCAAAAATGGATGTGATAAAGAAAAAATTTTCCCAGTATTTTACTGAATGAATAATTAAGTTTCAAGCCTGCTGGAGATCCCATCAACCAGTAGACTAAATTTTTCAATGAATCCACAACTATCTGTAAAAAAAAACAGAAACATAAATATTTTATATAACAATTTTGACAATTATTTTATTATTTATAATTAATTTTACCTCAGCATTATCTAATAGAATTTGAGATAGTAGAGTGTTTCCAATAACGTATAAAAAAAATTTGATAAACAATATACCTAACAATATATCGAAAATTGTTGCAAAGATATGATTGATTGTTTTCAGAGAAAATTTCTTATCTTGGATTAATGTTAATAGTATCCAATTACTATTTTCCAACCATTTATTAAGATGTAAACCAAGTGTAGAATACTTAAAAATTGGCAATAATTTGTTAGTAATTTTATATGAATATAATACTGGATACATGAATAGCCATAAAGTATGCATGAATATTATTTCCTTTAAAAATGAAAAATAATTATTTCTTTTCATTTTATCATCAATAGCTTTTCTCTCCAAAATATCCTTCAATTGTAAAAAATGATTCCCAGTAGCATTATGATGTCTAAACAATTCTGTTTTCAACAATGCTGTTGTATCGTAAATTATAATAACAGTATAATAATCACAACTGTCAACAATTTTATTGTCAATAAAAATCTTTTGTAAATAATAATCATGAACTTCTTTACTACTTTTTAAACATTGTAGCGGTCTCAAACTAATAACAATCCAATCGTTTCCTCTTTTCTTTAAATCTTGAATATCAGTACATCCTGAATAATAACCAATAGATTCAATAATACCTGTAGAAGGTCCTTTATTATTACTCACTTCATCTAAACACTGCATATTTGTTATGAAGAATTTTTTACTATTACTTTCGTAATCATTATATACTTTTCCATGAATATAACCATGTTTTTCAGATGGAAAATTGTTTGGTATAAAAATCAGTAGTGATTTCATTTTCTATTATTGTATTATCACAGTTATGTTTAAAGATACTTTAAAAAACAGAAAAAAATTGTTGATGTTTTCATTTCCAATTTACAGTAGATGAATCCATAATGTAAACATAAATACATTTGATATAATCATTACGAGCTATTATTTATAACTATTAACCTATTTGTAAACCTATTTCCATTATATCAATATTTATTAGTTTTTAAATATTGTAATTTTATTTATTTGTATAATTAATTGGATAAAATTTGGAGTATGACGAAAACGGTATTATCCATGTATTACTTGAGTGAATACCTAGCGTCATTAATACCATCCAGATTTTGAAGGTTATACATGCGATTTCCGTATACTTTCCTATACCAAATTAGACACCCTTTATGTCACGTAGTGTATACAAAAATTGAGACGGCATTAATGGCGCTGGTGTATATACAGTTAATCGATGTTTACACACGTGATCAGCTGATTGTGATAATGTGTATAGTAAAGTTTCGGAGCCACAACTCGTGTAACGTGCATAGTGACACGTATGTGAATTATTCCGGTATATTATTAAATATAAATAATCGCATTAAAACTGCCAGTCATAATGTTTCCTATTATAGTAATACTTTATTTAAATGAACAAAAATTGAATTTAAGGTATTCGTTGAAATAAAATTATTTATTTTTGTTATTTTATCGTTGTTCCAACGGATAATGTTCAACGATAAAGACAACGAGTCGGCGAAAAATGTTGATGATTCGAATACGATTATTACAACAAGCTCAGGAAGTTACAACGTGGCGAACAAATCGTCGCCAATTTCTTCATCGATAGAAGAAAAATTCATTAGCAAGATGTTTTCTTGTTCAAGAGAAACTTTATGTATTTTTTTGGCTGTTATATTAAGCATTACGATTGCCGCCTTACATAGCGCGTAAGTTTTAAGGTTACTTAACATACTTTCTGTTAATAATGTTATACATAAACTTTTTATTTTTGACTTCAGACCTCCAAAGATTTCTAAACCCCCACCAGCTAAACCATTTTTCAATAAAAGCTCAATAATAATAGATTTTTATAAGGGACAGCTTGGTGCTATGATTGATAAAGCATCCGATTCTGATGTCAGTTTGATTATGTACTATGCTCCATGGGACTCCGAATCTCAAATACTTAGAAAAGAATTTGAACAAGTTGCTCATTACTATAATTCTCAGGTTAGTAGCTATTTTATAATAAATTTACAAAAACAAAATATTACGTTAATTAAAAAATACCATCTTTAATGTCTATTTGTCTTTTAGGTGTTTTTTGCAGCTATTAATTGTTGGCATCCAGGTTCAGAATGTAGGAAACTTTATAACAAAATTCAAAGTTATCCTGTAATAATTCTCTACCCCAAAAAAGAGCCTGGAATTCAATACAATGGAATTCATGAGGCACCATACATAATGCGTTTTCTTGAAGGATTTTTAAATCCAATTAAAAAAATATCAAGTAAACAAGATTTAATAGAGCTTTTAATTGAAAACGATGTAAGTGAAATAAGATATTGAACAAATATTTTTTGATTAAAAAAGTGAATCAATTTATTTTTATTATTATTTGACAGTCAGTTGTGGTGGGATTCTTCAATTTTAAAGGAATAAACGTGAGTCCTGGATATAGAGAATTTTATAAAGCTGCTGTACAATCTTTACAAAAAGATCCTAATAGAGATGTGATATTTGCTGCTGTTACAAATGTTAAAATTGCTTCAGAACACTTTGGTATTAATCATACGCCTGCAATTAGTTTATATTTGTGGAATGAATCAATAGTAAATATTTATCATAATTATTTCTTAATAACTAAGTTATTCAATTCATTTGTTTGATAATTTTTGTTAAAATCTAAGATTTATCCTCAAGATAAATCATGGTCTGCTGATAGTATTATTCGTTGGATGGAAGAATCAACTCATAAAGTGTCTTTGTGGTTGCAACCTCCTGGAGTTAAATCATCGACAATTGCTCCTTATTTGATGAGTGGACCTGTTTTACTTCTTTTCACTCCACGAAATCCGTTTCATAGTACCAACTATTATCACGAACTGGTAATTATTTATTATTATTTTAGCTTTTTGACATCTTTCAGTATGACTGAATTGATAATTAAATAGTTTACTCTTTTTATAGGTAAGAGAGGTAGCATTACAATATTACAGTTGTGAAAATATCCCATCAACTGATAAACTGATAGAATATCTTCGTGACAAACGTCGAAAAGATGTAGATCAATACCATCAGAAAATGAAATTTTGTTCGAATATTTTATCAGAATCAAAAACACTTCCTACTGTATTTCCTGTAAGTCTTTCAGTACAACAATGGATTAATAAGAGTTGCTGTGCTAAAATTTTTATGAATAAATGTCTTCTTTGTAAAAATGAAGGCTTCTTTGGAGATAAAGTTTGTAGTATTAATAATTTACGTCCATTACCAGAAATTTGTAAAATAAAGGATGTTTTCAAGATGGTAAATAATGATAAAGATTATCTAGAAAACGAAAATTATTGCTGTGATAATTTTCTTGAAGCAGAATCACATAAAGAATCATGGAGTAAACCGATGTGAGTTAAAGTTTAATAATCAATAACTAGTGTTTAAATGTCAGAGTTAATTAATTTTTAAATAATTTTTAGAAATAAATATTCGACTTCTATGATTTCACAAGAAAATGACTTTCGTTCATCAATTAAAATACGTCAACAATTTATTGAAAATGATTGTTTGAAATTTTTAGCAGGCAATAAATATCATAATCCAATTTTTATCAATGAACCAATTGATAATCGTACTATGAATATCAAATTGAGCTCATCAGCTTGTGATGTGAATAGAACTTTAGCATTTATTACGATAGATAGTTTACACTACTTTCATTTTTCTGAGGGTCTTGGAATTGATGTTTTAAAAATGAAAGATAAAACTGCAGTAGTTATTCTAGATTCTGAGGTAAGAGATTGTTTATTCCTCTATCGAGTATATGTTATTGAAAACTAATTTTTAACTTTTTTGTTATAGCAAGAAAGTCAGTATTTGATGGAAGACTCCTTTACTTTAGATAATTTAATAAATTTTATAAATAAATTCACGAATGGATCTTTAAAACGAACATTACGAACAGATAGTTCAAGAAGATATGCACGTGATTCATATTCTAGAGTCAAGTGTCCAGAAAAAAATCCATCAGAAATTTGTGTTCCAGAATTAAATACTCAAAATTTTTTACCAACAATTTTAGATTCGACTAAAGATGTTGTTGTTATGTATCACTCACCTTATTGTGCATTTTGTAGTGCTATTTCTTATGTTTATTTGACTGTTGCACATTTACTATCTCAAGTAAATCAATTGTATTTTGTAAGAATTGATGGAGATAACAATGACTTTCTTTGGGAATATACGATGGATCGATATCCATCAATTTTATTCTTTCCGGCTAAAAAGAAAGATGATAGTACAATATATCCATCAATGTTACCAATCACCATTCCCAATTTATTGAATTTCGTGATCGCTAATTTAGAAATGGATAAACAAATCGAGGCTCTAATAAATGTATGTCATATTGGTGCTGGAGAATATCCAGGCACATGTATTTCGAGAGTTCGTGCATTATGTTTGGACACAATTCAGACTTACCTGAAGAAATATCGGAGAATAATGAGACAAAAAAATTTATTACCCAAACCAGATGTAAAAAATAAACAACGTGAAATTCTACTGAAATTGGAACATGTGTGGAACATTCACCTGCTTCTTGGATCAGTTGAAGACTTAAAAAATGACAAAAAATATATGACTATTTTTGATAAGTATAAAAATTATTACAAAAATTTAAAATTAATTGAGAAAAATTTTTAAATAATCATGAAAATATATACGAGAGAAAAAATTAAACATGATCAAGAATTTATTTGTAATATCATTAGTAATTATCAATTTTCCTAATAATTAGCATTAAGTATTTTACGAGTGTATAAAATGTATAGTACAAGTTTTTTGTATCATTCACTTTTATGTGTTAAGATTTAATATTGAATTTGTGTATTATATGTAATTCTTTGTGAATATTTGTAAATATTGTTGAAAGTACAAAGAAAAAGAAAAAAAAAACAAACATATTTAATTTTTAACATATAATAAAATGATAATAATTAAGAGATACTTTTAATTGAATGAGGTAAAAAATACATGATTAAATCAGGCCGAGATAAAAGAACGTGGGCCGAAAGTAGTCGATGGGTCGCGTAATCAAGCATTAGTCATTTCCCCCATTCACCCGATTTATTTATTTATGGGCTGGATTACTTGACGTAATCAAATTCTTAGAAATATGATGCGCGATAAGAAAGTCTTGTTGTGTTACAATCACTTCCGGTAGGAAGAGCGGAATTTCATCATATTCAATCCTGACTCAACACCTTAATCATTCAAAATTGGTCAATTTATCATTTATGATTAATAATTTACAATCTCAATAAATAAGAATGAGATAAATTATCGAAAACAAAAGCAATAACAGCAAAATATAATAAAGTCAAAAACTGTTTTCAAAAATTAAAATATAATCCTGGTATTTTAATTTTAGTAAGTTGGTAAACAAATGAACCCCCCGTCGGTGGTAAAACTGGAGAATACAGTAGCGCCACTGTGGCGGTTGGTAAAAACGTGAGAGAACAAGAGGCAGGAGTCGTGTATGTTACTCGTTGTTGCTCGTGCTCGTGGTTTTCATGGTGTCGTTGTGTCGCTGTCGTTTATGATTTGCGTGTGTATGAGTAGTTGTGCTGTGCGTACTGTTAGTGCTTCTGACAATGAGCCGCCACAGTGACTGTGATAAGTGAACCTCTCCAAAAGCCATTCGCCTGGTGAAGAAACGCGTAGTGGCAGTGGAGAAAAAAATCGGCAGGGGCGGTCCGAGTCATATTAATGACTCGTGTTTAACGGGAGGACCGCAAACCAGACGGATTTTATAATTATGTTCAATGTACCGCCCAAGTTCTACGAGCTGTGTCGCCTTTGTTTATCGTCGGACGGTGTCAAGTTGCCCATATTCGAGGATGAAGGTGCTCAGCGCAATTTCGCCGAAAAGATTTTGACGTGTTTGTCAATAGCGGTAAGACAATCGGATATGTCTTGTAATATTTCATTTATCATAATAAGACTAATCGAAAATAGACGCAACATCTGGGCCCCCGCGGGTCGGGACCTCGCGCTCGCGCGTTCTACAACCAGCCGCGTGTTGCGTGTGTGCGTGCGCGTGCCACACGGGGAGAAAGTTTGGCAAGAGATGTGTCCGCGAGATAAGACGATTTAAAATGGCAGTGATAAGCTGCTCCACTATTCTTATACTATTCAACTAATATTATTTTACGTTCAACTTATCTTACGATTACCTACAATGTCCTTCTTTATCTCTAACTCTGTAGCTCCCGCAACGACTCACACGCGTTCGAGGGATTGAGCTCCTTATTTGGATCGCCCTCTTATCAGGTTTCACACGCGGATACTCGTTAGACTCTTGTCAAACCACCAAGCATCCAGTTTCTCTTTATATCATCAATTTTCAGTACTTTATTTTTAAATTACTATCTTTAAAAATTTTCCTTTCATCTGTAAGCACCTGAAATAACTTTGTTTTCAATCTCTATCAATACTTTCATATCATTTATTCACTAATCTAACAGTCTATTACAACTCATTTTTATCATGCTACCTGTATTTTTGTCTCAGTAATAATATCTCTCTAAAGTCACGACACTAATGAATGAAATAGAAAATTTTCTTTTAAAAATATTATGCAGATATTGAATTAAGAGCTGAATATTGAAATATTTTTTAATTTCCAGGTGAAAGATGGAGATTCATTACCTCCAATTATTTGTCATCGATGTGTGTACAAATTGGATGTACTTCATAACTTTCGCGAAGTATCTCGAAAATCAGATATTATACTCAAACAGTACCTGGATTATGCCAAGCAGTTGTCATCTTCTGACAACCAGGTATGTACGTTAAAATGTGTCTTAATCGTATCAATTTTTTACTGATACAAGTTATTGCATCAGAAGATACAACCTAATATGCTGACATTGATGAACATTCTTACTGTTCAATGTATGTTGAAACGGAGAATGTGCAACATATGCAATCTGATTATAGATAAGGATACCGTCATGTGTACTGCTTTTTATTCCTTCTATATCTGTTCTTGAATATCGTAGTAGCAATTATATAAAACTCAATGTCAGTGTCTAAGGTGGAGTTTGTAGTTATATTTATAAGTTATTTCTTATCGTTGTAATATAATTTGATATGATATATAATAGTTATGGAATATTTTTATGTTTTATCTTATAGGAAAAGTCTTTCTCCACTGCCAAAATAGCTGACTTGAGTCCATTACAATCATTTTTACAACTCAACAAAACTCTTTTCAATGAAGAGTCCAATTCACCCGCAAGCATTAATCAAAATGTCATACCTCAAACAGAAACACATCACTTAGAATTGCGGACTAGTGAATTACCTGATCAAGACAATATTAAATGTGAGCCTGAAGACGATACTTATTCAAACAGTTCTGATCCTGATAGACTAGAGATTGAAGATCGTGAGGAGCATGATTCTGATGCTGACGAAAATGGTTATGATATGACTATTAGTAAGCGTTTGAGAATGGATAGTAATAATGAAAGTTCTTCGAAAAGAAGTTCTCCTAATCAAAGTCCAGTTAATAGAATGGATACACCTGAAAGTAATTGTTCCGACACACACATTGATCAAGAAACGACAAAGTTGTGGCAAGCATTAGCGAAGTAAGTGTAAAAAATTGTCAATGATAAGAATTAATTGTAAGTTAATGTCACATGATTATGTTTAAGAATTTTATACATTTAATCATTTGGTGAGGTTTATAAATAGACATGAACGTTAATCAAGATTGAATAATAATGAACACCGCAAAAGTGATATCACTCTTTGTAAAAGTGATTATAAAATTATCTTAAACAATAGTGCATGATGATTTTTTCTTATTTTTCTTAGTGTTAATTTAAATACAACAAACAAATACGAGCTCTAGAGTAACTAAAAATATTATCTTTTGTATTTTTATTAGCAATCGAAATTTGGAAATTACCCGAAGCAATGGTGACAAAGTTAACAATGGTTTTACTGGTGAGGCTACTAATCTACTACGTTCTCTTATCAACAATCGGCAGATCGGTATCACGGCTGTAGACAAAGGTAGAATATCACCTCAAGTAAGGTTCTACCGTGATACTCAAGGGACAACAATTGAACGAAATGTTTCAGATTGTTCAATACGTGGAAACCGGAGTGTCCAGTCACTAGAAAATAAAGTAAGCTTAAATTTACATCTTCTTTTCATCTTTAATCTATTAATAACATAATATTTTGAAACAAAGAATTTAGGAAGATATCTTTTTTAATTGTTTAATATAATTTGTTTTATTTTACATTTTATATTTTGGCAAAAAAATATCCAACTAAATGTTAATTGAGAAAAATTGACTTTACCATTTTTGTCATTTAAGTTAGTCTGTGCAAACGATAATATTTAAATATGAAATAAGTACAATACAGTTTGCTCGATGCAAATACGATCTCCAAGAACTCAGGTATACAGCAAAGCAGGTCAGGTGACCCTTGGGTGTCAAAGAATCCCTTTGGGTTGTATTCAAGTCCCACCTGCCCCTTCAGGTAAGGGGAGGTCTGCAACTTGGCCTCGGCAGATAATAGATAACTAGAAAGGCGCTTTGTGATAGGCAGTATGAGCTCTATACCTACCGGACCTACCGTGTCAACCCGCTGTTAACAGATGTTCAGATAAGCTTAGGTCTCAATGGATTTTAAGGAGTCTTTGTTCGATGCTCTGGAACTTGGATTCTTCTCTTGTTAAACTTAAGTCTCATAAAGATTGAGTACAGTACTGGCAGAATACTCTTTGTTCAATTTTCCATTACAGTGAATTTTTCCCCGATAATAGCCATGTCAAATAAGTTAAGGAAATGGTCGAAAACATTTCCAAATTTACCTGCAGCAATACTGGTATTAACTAGTATCTCTCTTAAACTTAAATGCTGTTCATTTATGACTGTTCCTGGTACGGATCCGTCAGTCAAATAAATCAATTTTAAGTTATATTATGGCTGTTATAACTTTAGTACCTCATTTGCATTCTAAAGATGGTTTTTTTTTAAACATTACAAATATATACTAAAATTGACTTTAATATTGTTTGTTAAAATTATTTAGACTAACTAATATATGGATGATAATTTTTTATTTATTTAGAGTGCGTCTATGGATAGTAATCCATCCAGTCCAGCTAGTATAGGCCGTAAAGAGACAAAAGGTAGACGAAAACAAAGTTACCCTAGTAAAGCACCAACTAGCCCTGATATTGTCAGCTATCATCATGAATCCAGTGAAGAACAAGCACATGATTTTACTTACTGGTCAAATCATATAAAAAATAAGGTATTTATTTATTTTATTATTATTAGGAAACATTATCTATAATGAAATAAATTTTATATAATATTAGCTTCTTTTGAAGATTTCATTAATATTTATGAATTACGATTTTTCAATACATCTATTCTTTGTCAAATTGAATATAATTCTGCTTCCGTGGAATACACTTAACAAAGGAAAATTTCGGCGTAAAAGCATTTAAAATAAGATCAATAGGAAGCTGAAAGTTTGTCCTCTAGAATCTTTTTGTTATTTTTTGCATTCAGCCATTTTTTGTATCGTTATATACCGAATAAAATAAGAATATTGATTTAGATGAATAATTTTTTTTATTATAGTTGTGAATTATTGATAGTACAATCATTCTTTCATTTATTTATTCTATTTATTGTATTCCAGGTGGATGAACAGCGACAACAGTTTGATCAACAGAGTACGAACATGACTAAAAAGGTAGATATGTCTTGTACAAATTGTGGAACCATGACAACAACTATTTGGAGACGTAATATGAAGGGTGAGATGGTTTGCAACGCTTGTGGGCTTTATTATAAACTTCATGGAGTTAATAGACCTGTAACCATGAGAAGGGATACGATACATACTCGTAGACGTAGACCTAAAGGTGAAAAACCTACAAGACATCGAAGTAAGAAATTTTAATTTTTTATCTTTCTTATTAAGATATATTATTATATTTAATAATAATAATTTATTTAATTTAATAGAAAAAGAAGCCGTTGTATCTACAAAAACTGAACAAATGGATGCTGAAAGTGCTGATATGCTGGCAGCTTTACGTCGACAAATTCAACCTCATCTAATGATGGCTGCTTTAACACCTCAGAATTTGTCAGGAACTCATTCTCCGACTGCAGCGGCACAACTCAACTATCCTCTTCCTCTTTCCTCTTACATGATGCACGTGAGTACGCCGCACATGTATTCCGTAGATCTAGTTAGTCGTGTGACCCGTGATGGAATATCTGTTGGCTCACCTAAAACAAGTGACATCATGAATTTTACACAGCATGTCAAAAACGAAGCGAGGGAATGTAGTACGTCTGAAGAGGCTGACGATGGCGATGAAGACAATGTATCTGACGTACCATTAAATCTCGTTGCAACTTCATTATCAGAAGAGGCACACTGAGAAATGCTAATAAGCTCAAAATTATTGGATTGTCAGTAATTAGTGAATATAAGGAGGAATTTTTCTCATCAGGAATATGATCTGTCCGGTAACACAAACAGGGTGCAACTGTTATGTTATCTTTTCTTATTGGTCTATTGGCCTTTTTATTTGTCCAATTTACACTCTGTTTTGATATTACTCTAACATATCGTTTTGTTATTGTTTTAAAAATTCAAAAATGCTCTCTACGCTTTGTAAATCTCATAATTGGACTGAAAAAACGAATGGTGGTATTATATTTAAAAGAAAACAAAGAGAAAGACGAAGCAAGTGAATTTAATGACATGACATCTATATCGTCTTGATCATCAGATTTAAAAGCTACGTAGCCCGTGGTCCAAAGTGTTATATTATTGATATTAAATTACAGTATTAAACACGTGTTAATAATCATTCAAGTTGCGAACTTGTAAATATTGCATGCATGTGCCTGATAATTATACATACATATATTGACAGTAAAAAAAAGTGTATTTTTATATTAAATTTTTCTATATTCGCACTTGTGCATTGATAAACAAATTGTATATACACTTGAAAATTGATTTTTTGCGCTCATTGTAATTTTATATTATTCATTTCGTCATCTAATCATTATTTTTTTTTTAAATATCGGACACTGTTTCTTAATTGTTGAATATGATACAGTCAAATCAATCTTTAAGCTTCTACTGTTTTGTTCCACGGGCTATTTAGTTCACTGAATGACAACAATGATAATACTCTTAATAAATTAATAACGTTATTTTTTAATTCTCATGATCCAGTATACATATACACTCGCATGCATATATGCAAACGTATTAACTAGTGATTTTATTATTTGTTTTATATTTTTGGCTTTAAAGTAACTCACACGAAAAGTGTACTTGCGCTCGATGCGGAAATGAAAAACAAAGTATGGTGATTTATTCCAATTGTACAATGCAGTACTTTTGCGATGATTATAATTTAAATAATTATTATTAATTATACTTATTTCATTATAAATATATCTTAATAATAATCCTCAATTCTCATACTATTTCCATACTTTGTTAACCGAATAATTGATAGTATAAAATATGGAGAATTTACTTACAAGTTAGATAAGGCATTAAGAAAACGGGAATGATTTTTATACATTAAATTTAACGAGTAATTATTTTATAATATACTTGATATTATAAATGAGATAAATATTTAGAAAAGCTTCTACATATTTTACATCTCATTTATTAAAGAATAAAAAAAAAAAAAAAACACGTATTTAGTGTACTTAAAAATTCGTATAGCGCAATTTACATGATCATAAATAGAACAAAAAATATTTTTGAGATATAAGAAAATTATTCTGCCATTAGATAAAATAGAAAATTTTATTATTTTTTTTTACAATCACAATAAAAGTTTTTTAGCCGAATGAAATTAAATTGATAAAAATTACAGTATAATTTTTTATTTTCACCGATTTTTATTTGTCTTGTCGAAATAGATTCTTATTTAAAGAAGAATTTTTTGTTCTTTTTAATGAGTGATAACATAATTTGATATTACAATGATAGTCAAAAATAACTTGATGATGACAAAGATACTCAAAAAGTATGGCCAGATACGATGCAGGAATTACAGTAATGATACAAATAATTGCTCTCTACACAAGAAGTTGAAAATAATAAATTTTATTGTTCCAGGTATTTAAATCGGGATTATTATGAAAAAGATAAATTAAAACTGATTATTCGGTAACCACCTTTTCCATTGATTTAATTAATTATTTTCCAATTGTACAGAATATAAATAATGAAATAATAATTAATAGCCTGCTATTAATAAATGATTTTCTCAAATAGCGCATAACTATGGCCAGTGCATTTACACTCATGTATTGTTATACCTAATAAATGTCATATACCTAAATAACTTTGCCAAAAATAGATTTAGTCTGTAACATAGATATAGTTAAGGGCATAAAACACAAATTTGTCATTTTTTTTACTCATTTTTCTTCTTAAAAAATTTACTATTTTTTTTTTTTTTACTTTTTCATGTAGAAAGTAACTTAATAACCGAATAATCGTTGAACGCAAAGAAAAACCGATATATAAATGCCTGGACAAATTAGTAATAGTTGTTATCCATGGAGCCTTATAAACAAACAAGTAAAATATGTTTATATATAAATATATATTCATATATTATATAAATTTACTATTCTATATGATGATACTCAAACAGAAAATGTTGATAAAGCCTCGAGGCATTAATGACCATAACGACGTTGATAGAAGTGAGACATGAATTAGCCTGACGAGTTGATGAAGAAAGTGATTGAATACTTCTTTGACTCGTTAATTGATTGTGATTCTTCCATTGTGCACTTCCTTTTTTATATAAATCAATCGGATCAACTTGTAACATTTTTATTGTATTAGCCATAAAATGATAAAATAATGATTGAGAGAAGATATTTAAAATATATGCCAATGTGTGCATTAATCTTACGATCGTTCATTTTTATAAGATAACATCAAATTTTATACCGAATAAAATAAAAATCGAAGAAAAAATTACTTTAGCAAATACACAAATCAATGATGATATTTAATTTTTTAAAATAACAACTTAAAAGTAATTAATCATTTTAATTATATTTAAATGAATATGTTGTTTGAACATAAAAAAAAATTGTTAATAGTTTATTGTTATAAAAATATATTTTAATGAAAGGTTTTCTCATTTTACAAAGTAATTTTTTCTATCAATAAAAAAAAAATGTATAGAGACCAAATGGCTTACTATTTTTGTGACTTTGCCAAGAAAAAATGGACAGTTATTCTATTTAGGCATTTCATATTAATTATTATCAATAAATTTCGCTCACATTAGCTGGTTGAAATACATTATTACGTAGTTATTATTATACATATGCGATTATTTTATTACTATGTAAGCTTTTAAGATGAATTAAGTTTGAGCTCTCTACTAATTGAAATATACTAGAACTAGAGAATATTTTTATATAATAATGTACCATGAATTTAACAAGTATTGCTATTTTATGACTAAATATTGATATTAATGAATCTGTTGACTCGAAAGAACAAAAAAAAAGATATACAATTAATTAAGAATGTGACGATTGTAAAGGAGTAGTTAGTTACTTAAACTCTATTTACATGTAAGAATTTAGATATGCAAAATCGTCATAATTTGACAAATTCGGCAATTTGTAGCGGAGGCTTCTAATAGAATTTTTTTTTACATCAGTATTCCATACCTTTGATTTTAGCGTTAAGTCTTTATTCAAAACAATACTTAAATGAATTAATTTACTTATTTAATTATTTTAATTTTTTTACATCTGTTTTTACGACTTTTGCGTTTTTATTTAAACCATTATAACTTATTGTCCATTCGCACCAACGTTTATGTAACATTTGGCAGCAGTGACTGGCTTAATTTATTTTACATTATAATTTTTTTATTATATATTTTCTCTTCATTTTTCACTGTATTATTCAATCAATTTTCTTTATGCGATTGTTAATTGTATGATTATTATTATTAATTATTATTATTTTTATTAATTATTATTATTATTATTAATTATTATTATTATTAATTATTATTATTATAATTATTATTGATTTATTGCTGAGAATAAACGCTTGTACGGTACGGAATACGATCCTTAACACTAAGAGAAAATTATTTTCAACAAAAATTGTATATCAGCTGATTAAATACTCAAATAATTTATTCAACTCTGTTATAATATTTTATTGGAAAACTATTTTTTTAATAAATAAAATTTCTTCACTAAGAATGTTTATTTTTTATAGAAATTACATTAAGTAACATAAATTTTTTTTTTATTTTGTTGAAAATAATTTCTTTTTTGGGAATTCTAATTAAAAAAAATGTTATATTCGATATAATAAATTAAAAACGAATGATGTGTGTTTGTAATTTTTTTCGTTATATGAATTCTAGCGTCATAAAATTTTGTATCATTTTTCATTTGACACTCATGTCTATTGATATATTTGTAAAAAAAAAACGAGAAAAAAAAGAAAAAAAAATGCCAAAATTGTTATATAAAAAAGCTATGTAATATTGTATATTTTAAACTAGCTCATGCCAGTGTTCCGTCCGTCTACGTGACTCTCATACATTCGATTACTTTGAATGTATCATAAATAAAAAAAAAATACACGCGTAGACCGTATTAAACAAAATACTAAAACAATACAAAAAAAATGTAATATACTATAATAATGAAATGATATTGAAAACAAAAACAGCAATATAAATACAACATGCTTTTTGTAATTGAAAATTAAATAATTTTACCCCTTTCTTATCACGCGCAAGTATTAATTTGAACTAATTGACTGAATATTATTTTTGTATTGAACATATGACATAAATTATGATGAGACATAATAATTTTTGATTCTATAGTAAATTAAATTTTTTTAACAGTATATTTTACAACTTAATTTGTGATTCTCATTAATTATGAAGAATATTGAACAAAATTTTGTTACTCATTGATTGAAAAAATGAAATAATTTTCACAAAAAATGCATTGAAAAATTTTTGTCTCGTGATTAAATAATTTTAAACAATAATTATAATACAATAATATGTAATTTTAGTAATTTTTTTTAATTATATTAAGAATAAAACTTTTAAAAAACCTTTAAATATTGACAATGTGAAAATTATTTTATTTTTTTTCATAAAAAAATTGACATAAACAAATTCTGAATGTTCTCATGTATGTTGTACATGATTAAAAAAATCATCCGTGAGATTATATGGTCATCTGACTAATATAATAGATAAATAAATCAATGATTGATAAGTGATAAAAAGAGGTTCATCTTTCATAGATAAATATAGCAATAGAAAAATAAAATTTACGTTTGTACCCAAAAACAAAATTAATTGATTCAATCTAATGCCAACAGCTGTTGAGATTATTCAAGGTTGTGTATATCGTTATAAGTATTTTCAATTTGTTGAATAGTAAATAGTGTAAGTGGTATAACAAGGTACAATATTTATCGTATGTTTTATCAATATTAATCATTAAGACCTATTTTGATATACTCCAATTTCAATATGATTAAAAATTATACAAAATTACAATATGTTCTCTTTTATTCAATTCTTTCATCGTGTATATTTTAAAAATTTATCTTATTCATATTGCAAAGAATTTATTATTTACTTATAAAACAACATAATTGATGATAGCAATTGATAAATCTATAACAATAAATAAAGAAAATTATGCTATCATAGCATTGTTGTGATATCACAGGCGCAGTTTCAACACAGTTATAATAACAAATGAAATATTAATAATATATAATAACTTAAATAATTTAATAAGTCGTGTATAAACAATTAATTATTTTGAGTTATTTATTATGATAATCTTATTTCAAAAATATAGTTGATTTTGAAACATTTTGCACGATTTATCTTTGACATTTAAATTTAAATTTTTTCCGGAAGTAAGTGGTGTAACTTGACTCACGTAGTAGCGACTCTGATTTATTTCCGTCGAGTTTAGGCGTCTTTTACTTTTCATCCGTATACTCCATTTTGTCGTTGTCGTGAATAGACGTTATACTTACACCAAACAGTTTTAGTGAAAAATTAAATAAATCAAACCGCTAAATAATTTTTTAACATTTTAAAATGAGTTACGGTCGACCACCTCCCCGCATTGACGGGATGGTGTCTTTAAAAGTTGATAATTTAACATACAGAACGACACCGGAAGATTTACGACGCGTTTTCGAGAGATGTGGCGAAGTTGGCGACATTTATATCCCTCGAGATCGCTTTACTCGTGAAAGTCGTGGATTTGCTTTTGTAAGGTGAGTAAAAAATTTACATTATTTTATTCTTTCATTAAAATATATAAATATTTATTTTGTGTTTTTATCCAAGCGTGGTTATTGGCTGTTTATTAATTCATGACGTCATCTTATACTCCTGGTGTTTCTTAACGAATTGGAACCATCTGTCTAAAATATTTGCATAAATCTAAAATTTGAATAGACAAAGATTATAAATAAATATTTTTTCACAGGTTTTACGATAAACGTGATGCCGAAGATGCATTAGATGCTATGGATGGTCGTTTGTTGGATGGAAGGGAGCTTCGTGTGCAGATGGCACGGTATGGAAGACCTACTTCTCCTCATCGAAGTCGAGGAAGCCGACGACGCGGAAGGTAAGAAAGATATGATTATTAAAAATTTTTTGCATATATATGTGATTCTATTTTTAGTTTATAATTTAGTTGTATGATGTATGCTCACAACGAACCATTTCTTTTTCTATAGATCTCGAAGTCGCAGCCGAGATCGCAGACGATCTCGTTCAAGATCTCGTTCTAGATCACGAAGCCGAGATAGAGATCGAAGGCGTTCTTATTCTCGTAGTCGCAGTCGCTCACGTTCCGACAGTAAAAGTTCTAGAGGAAAATCTCGCTCTCGCAGCAAGTCAGCAGACAGAGAAAATAGTCGCTCAAAATCCAGGTAATTTAGAGTTTATTTTGATAAATCTATAATTACTATATCATTGATATTTATAATCATAATTGATAAGTAAAAACAATTAAAAATTAATTATTATCATTGATAAGTAAATAAATAGTTTTAAATCAAGAAGATAGTTAAAAGTCATAAATAATTACAAAATAGAACATTTAATCTTTTGAGTAAACTATCGAAAGAGTTATGAGTCGATAAGTGAATGAAAAATTTAATTAAAAAAATTTTTGTGGCTAATGTTATTTAATATTAATATTTTTCTCTATTTTAGGGACTGAAGTGTTGATAAAAATGTATGAAAGTACAATGGAATGAGATGTACGTGCCGAGTTACATGCAGATAATTCTGAAATTTATAAAAGGTATAATAACAATCTAAATACCTTTTTCACTTAAGCATATTCGCATCTTTTAATTAATCATTTTCGTATTATTAACTATTATGACGCACTTTTTTGGGATTTTTATTGAAATCCAAGTTAATTCTAATATATCTCTAGAGAAATACAAATAATGAAAGAAGGAAATTAATTAAATTTAATAAATAAGTCAATGAAAAATCACGATACCGTTAGTTTCGCGATAGAATATAATATTGTTTAATCAATTTTTTACCATTATTATAATAGTTACTAATGTGTCAAGTATACTATTATCAATATATACAGATATAGAGACATCCATATATATTGTTATAAATCAATTAAATATAAATTATTATAGTGTCAGTTCATGGATTATTAATTCAAGAATAACATGGTAATATTTCATCTAATACTTATTTGTAATAAATTTCATTTGTAATTTGTTTCTCGCGAATTGTATAAACAAAATAACTCTCCACGGGTAATCTCCTAATACGTATAGGCATTTTTAGATATAAAACAAGAAAAATGGAAATATAATAGTTAATAAACTTATCAACCTTTATAAAAATTGATAAAACAAACTTATCGTTAATTGAAATATCTTGATAATTAATTGTAGACTTCGCAGTGTATAGATTTTTCTAGACGATAAGTTTTGCGTTTTCTGTAATTACTTACAGGTTTATTTATGTACTTTACCATTCATAATAAAGTATATTAAATGAAAAAAAATGACAAGCGACAAGCATATCATGTGCATGATGTTTGAGACGATCATTTGTGGATCGCCATGTGAATAAATTTCGTATAATATCGTAAGTCATGTCGCAGTAATTCACTTTTGTTTGATTGATAAATAATAAAAAGTTATATAGTAGTTTAACCGATTGATACTGTCTTGAAAATACTGAAAAACTGGATTCAGCTAAGTTATAGTCAATAACTAAGTTGTGATTTTATGGTGCCACAGGCGGTGGAAAGGAGTGGCGTTTCGAGTGATGGGGGTAAGCTGAGAGTAAGCAGAGTAAGCCGATGTAGCGGGGCTGAATGCAGTTTGCTGTAAGCGAGCGGTTGGTGGTCTGGTGAAAAGCAGGTTCGCGTGCAGGGTTGCTGTGAGTGAGGACGCGTGCTCACTCTATCACTCTGGGGGGTTGGAGCGCAGTTAGGATCATGTTCGAGAAAATAAGAAACAAGAATAATCATCAGAGCTGCCCTGGGCCTCTGAAATCATCTGGTGTAGCAGTCTAGTAGAGCTGATATGGCCGTGATCATCACCAGACCTCGGGAATGCTGACGAAAAAAAGAGTTCCGGTTCGATCTTCATAATCTTTCTCGATAACACCTTAAGAAAGAATTATGAAATGATGAAACTGATGATTCTTCCAACGTTTCCAATACAATTCAAAATATTTGCAGTTTTGAATCCATGAAGTTCTACAAATAATCGTCACTTTCAAACCGTGAGTTTCTTTAAAAACCAAAATTTTCGAATTTAATTCCAAATTTTTTTTTCCATCACGCGAAGACGATTTTATAATCGAGAAATGTTTTTTTTTTACATCAATATTCGATTTTTAAGTGATACCAAGATTACGCTTTATCTTGTTTGTCTGTTGCACTTGTTTTCAGGATAAGTAACACGTACACCGATGATGTAAGTATAAAAAAACAAATTCGATTAGTTACTATTTGATAATAATTATTTGACATATAATTTATTTATTCAGCTGGTAGGTAACAATTATTTATTTTAGAATTTTTAAAAATAAAATACGTTTTTATGACAATATAAATATATTTGATTTTTTCTTTATATTTAGTGACTATATGCAGTCAAAATTTACATTTTCCTTATCACTAACAAAATAACAATATCATACAATTAATTATTCGTTTCATCGGTAAAAGTAATTGAATTTTAAGTGTTATTTTTACAAAACTTCAGTTAATAACACGTAATATTTCAAAAATACTATTATATTTATATATATCCAATATAAAAGCAAGTATATATAAGTTTCTAAATAATAATAAATATGGCAAACACTTTTATGTATAAATCACAGCCTTTTTTTACTATCACCATTAACAAGTAGAAATGGTTTTATTCCTAATCCTACAATATAAACAATTATTGCAACAATATGGCCAATCATATAGACTGCTTTCCAATAATATCGATAATTATTTTCGAATGATAATAATTGAAAACCAAAACCTAAATAAGCCATACACGAAAATCTGCAAAACCAGAGAAAGAACCACCAAGCTTTCTTCGCCTGCAATTAACATTAATTATAAACAATAAATTTCATAATTTAATAAATAAATTAATACAAATTTTTACTTACAAAACTGCCTTCTTTACTTTGGTTATAAAACTTAACATAAAGATCGTCAATTGGAAGATAAAATGGTACTGAAAATATACAGACATAGTAACCAAAATAATGACCATGCCAAGCTGCAGATATAATGAAGGTCAAGTATACTCGAAGAACTTTGTGAGGAAAAGTTTTGTATACATAGGTCGCCATCCAATATTGTACAGTAATATTCCATTGTTTCATAGCATCTCTAACTAAATATGCCGTTTCAACTCCTCTTATATTTATATTATGTACTGTTACAAAGTCCATTTTTTCTTCTTTTATTTTTTCCGGATTTAAAACACTAGAAAATTAAATTATTTCAAATTAAAATACAAATTTTCTATTAGTTTTAAATTAATTACCATGCTTATTAGTATTTTTTATAAAGAAAATAAAAAAAAATTGCTTACATTTGGGTCGCTACTTTATAGTCTTTAGGACCAAGTCCAGATCGTGGTTGTGAGCTTATTGGATATGCTCCCAATCCAGCCATTTGACAAACACACTCGGAAAACATCATTCCGACATATAATCTCGTTCTAAAAGTGACAAATGTTGGATAGACATACCAAACTCGGTACCAATACGATCTTTCCATAAAATCGTCTGTTAAGGCATACTGGAATACATAAATCATTTTTTCATAAATTAATTATTTTTACATTTTAAAATGTGTGTCACAAGCTACATATAAATATATTTAGTGTAATTTACTTACAGTGTAAGGGAAACAGTAATTTGATACGAAAAAAATTACCGCATTTATCGATATAATTTTCAATTTACTAAAAGTTATTTCCCAACAATCAATATAATCTGCGAAATTGCGATTAATACAATCCCAATATGTTCTATATCTATAATATGGCCCTAAAATGAGAATGATGCATTTATTTAGTTGATTAAATTCATTAGACATTTTTTTAATACAAAAATTAATTCTTACCTGTCAGTATACCCATGTAACTGAATCCATAATGTACAACATCAATCATTCCAATGTTCTTCATCGCTTTATAACAATCAACATCTGGATTTTCTTTTAATTCTTCAATAGCAGTTTTTATTTCAAATCCTAAACCAGCATATTTTAAGGTCATCATCATCAGGATTAGATTTGTATGACCAGGAGAAATTGGAAGTCCAAACCAGTCTGCTGAACGGAAGATCACTAAGAGATAAAAAAATGAGAAGACAAAAGCTACTGTATGCCTTATTCTGAAAGAAAAAACATTATTAAATATTTGAAGATCATCTTTTTATACATGCTTTAAAATGATATAAAAATATTATGTTCAATTACTTGTGAGATAGTTGAGAAATAATAAGAGCATTAATAAAAGTTATACAAATTGGATGGACAATATGCCATCCTGATACAATAAATGCAATTATAAATCCTACTGTAGTGCTGACCCATTGTTTTGTATTTGGATTTTTTATTTTCCGAAATATATCTCCAAAAGCAATACTTCCCAATAAAATACCAACGTAAATTATATCATCAATAAACATTGTGAAGCGTATAAAAATTTTTTATTATCTTCTAGTATGTATTCACTCCAAAAAAGACTTTGATCGAATAAATTCAATAATTTTTCGCTATTTCATACTGTCTGTATGGTAGACTTGTTTTCATTTTAAATTATGTTATGCAATAATTGCTTTGATAATTTAAATAATTTAAAATTAACTAAAACACTATTCACCAAAATTAGTATTAAAATATGGAATTCTCACAATTGCAATAATTATTTCCACGTTTTGTTAATTGTGAATATAGTTGACCTCAAATATCACTAAAAATGTACAGATTTTTTAAATTATAAAGTTTAATAAGTCATTGATAACACAATTTCAGACTTATTGACTGATTAATATATGTATAAGTTATCTGTGTGTTGTTGTAAGAATTTTATTCTTTGATCAAATAAACACAAGTTGATATAGTTAACAATTTTTACCTATACATGTATATATAGCAGACATTATACATGCCATAAACGCAAGTGGCGCCCTCAATTACATATTTATCTGGAATAACTACAACATGAAAGTCTAGAGAGACCTTTCTATGGTAAAATGCTACCGGAAAATTTACATAAACAGATAACTATCAAAAATGAATTGATTCCGGTACGGTGAGTACTTATTGACATAAAATAATAATTAAATCTATGAAAAAAGATTTTAACCAACCATCAGTATGTCAACAAGAGAAATACTGACTCTACAATTCGGACATTATTCTAATTACATTGGAACACATTGGTGGAATTTACAGGTTACTTTTATTTTGAATATGCATTCAAAAATAATATTAATTAAAAATCTATAAATATAACTCGATTTTGATTATTAAATGTAAATATACTAATGATGGATTTTTGAATACATTAGGAGAGTAACTTTTCCTATGATCCAGCAGAACGATCTGAAATAAATCATGATGTTTTATATAGAGAAGGTGAAACTTCTTCAGTAAGTATTTTTTCATGATCACAGTGTAAATTTGAAATTAGACTGTTATCATAGAATAGTATGTTTTTAGAAAAAAGTTACTTTTACACCTCGATTATTGTTAGTGGATTTAAAGGGGTCCTTAGGATATTTAAGTAAAGAAGGATCACTTTATGATGATGATTGGGAAAAAGAACCAAATTCTTCGTTTTTATGGAATGAAGAACAGGTAGAAACTGTTGAAGAAGAGTCTGCTCCAAAAACTCCATTTATCAAAAGTTTAGACGAAAATCCCATCAATCAGTTACAAAACATAAAATCATTTAATTTGGAAACTGACATTAATAGTTGGCCGGATTATTTAGTCTCTAGATTCCATCCTAGAACTGTCAATGTCATAAAAGAATATCAACATCAGAGTTCTGACAAGGCTTTTGACATTTTTAATTATGGGAAAAATATATGGAGAACTAATTATTTTTCGACAGATTTTTGCGATTCTATAAGACAATATGTGGAAGAATGTGACTTAATTCAAGGTTTTCAGGTAAATTTAATTAAATAAATTTTTGTAAAGTAAAAATAAAAATTTCATTTCAAATGAATTATTATTATAAACTAAATGTTCAACATTTTAGGTGTTACTAGATTCAACCGATGGATTTGCAGGTCTTGGTACTTCTTGCATCGAATATTTACGCGACGAATATGGAAAGAGTATTTTAGCATTCCCGGTAATCGAAGGAACGCAAAGTAACATATCGGCATCAAGTCTCATAAAAGCAGTAAATATAGCTCTATGCTGGCAACAGCTTACAGAAAACGCTTCATTATTCAGTCCTTTATGTTGTGGCGAAGATGGTTGGCCGTCTCCAGGGAATCCTCGTTCATTTGACCATTTATCGTATAACATAGAACTGAAATATCATACCAGCGCACTTCTTGCAACTGCATTAGATACTTTAAGTCTTCGATATCGTCACAAAAATTATACTTGGTCGGCGTTGTCAGATTTATGCGCCGATTTAAATAAGTTAGGAAGGAAAACTGCAGCGACTAGTTTGAGTTTACCATTTCCAATGGTTGCAGAAAAGGATTTGATTGATGTTTTGGATGACATGGAGGGTCCTTTATGGACTAGTCTTACTCCTAGTTGTAGAATTCATGATGATAAAAGTATGCATAGCGTGGCTTTACGTGGAATTCCTGAAGATCGTTTAAAAAGACCTCCTAATGAAGCAAAGGAACAATTGAAAAAACCAGCATATAAATGCTCTAGTGTTCACGAAATGATGACAATGTACCTGGCATACTCATGTCATGCCTCAGCATCATATTTAACGAATATACAAACTCCACTAAAAATTTCATTACCTTTTCCACAAATTTTTAAACAAAATATCAATAAAAATGGAGATCTCATGACATGGGCTGTTAAAGAAGGTGATTTAAAATATTTTATTTTACCAAATGAATTTTTCTATAATTTTATCATCAATTTTTATTCATTGTAGATGTTAAGTCGGTTCCAGTCATGGCTGGACTTCATAGTGGAAGTGGAATTAAAAATATGTTTGAAACTTTACATTCTCAGTTATCAAGAATAAGAAGTATTAAAAAATTTTATACTTTTGAAGAATCTGGACTTGAACAAGATGAGTTTTTTGAATGTTTAAATTATTTGCAAGACAGCAAAGAAGCTTATGAAGATAATTACATGTAATATATTTAAAAACATTTTTTTAATAAACGTATGTTTATATTTTTGTAACATTGTTCACAAAATGATGTATTATTGATAAATTACGTGCTTCAAATCTCATCAAGATGACTACTATAATAATAATTTTGTATTAAGGCATAAAAAGGTGCGGTTCCGTTTGTCACGCGAACGGTGAAGATTGTGGTTAAATATTCACTTTGATTTTGACAGTTTAATTGAACAGATGAAATGGAATTTACAACTTTGTAGCTTTATTTTGATTGAAATTCGACCATTTATAAAATATTCCTAGATATTTTCAATCAGAATATTTGTCAACATTCTTAATATTATTTTAAAATGATTTTATATAAAAGTAATGAAAAAAAAAATATTAACGAAATGAAAAACCTTCGTGTTCCATTTATCAATTTTGTTAAATCAGACAAATATCATGCTGAGGTATGGGAGCGCCAAGGCACACCCCAGTTATTAGAAACTATTTTGTATCGAACATCCAAGTATTCTAACTAATGTTTGAAATTTAGTATTTCTCACAACTCACATCGAAACTGTTTTCTTTGCAACTTTCATTTAAACTTATATAATACAAATTAACTAACAAAAAAATGGGAAACAAAATTGCCATCTTTTCGGAAGAACAATTAGAGGATTATCAAGACTGTACATTTTTTACCCGAAAAGAAATTCTTAGGTAATGAAAAAAATTTTTTTAATTCCATATTCTACTCAACTATCATTCTTTATAAAATAATAAATTTTTGGTAGAATTTTTGAACGTTTCCGGGATATGGGTGAAACTGGAGTAGTACCAAAAGTGATGACATCGGAAGAAGCATTGAGATTGAAACTACCTTTGTCTTCTTTGGCCAAAATACCAGAATTTAAGGTATGGTTGATGGTTATTTTATTAATTAAAGAAGTTTATGATTACATAATGACGTAATTTTTAGGAAAATCCTTTTAGAGAGCGTATTGCTGATGTATTTACAAGCTCTCATGACCTAGAAAGTAGCAAAGGAATCTGTTTTAATGAGTTCTTGGAGATGATGTCAGTATTTTCGGAGCAGGCACCTCGTGATTTAAAAGTTTTTTATGCTTTTAAAATTTACGGTAAGAAATTGAGACTTTTAGCTATGAGAAACAATCGGGAAATTTTAAGTTAATTTACAGAATATTTTTTATGAGTGCATAAATATTTCATACAAAAAAATCATGTTAAAGTAATCTTCCACTTTTGAAGTGATCAATAAACACGTAAATTATATTGTCGTAAAACACCTTTTTTTAAATGTAATAGGATAATTATATTTCTCTTTATTTTCTAGATTTCGATGATGATGGAGTTATTGGTATAAATGACTTAGAAAAAACATGTCGGCATTTGGTTAAAGATGGATTAAATAGTGATGAAGTATCAACAATTTGTCGTAAAGTTCTAGAAGAAAGTGATATTGATTGTGATGATGCTTTGTCTTATCTTGAGTTCGAACACGTTGTTACTCGAGCCTCTGACTTTTTGTCTACTTTTCACATAAGAATCTGAAGCCGTTGAAGGGAATGCATGGTCTTAAGATCAGGATAAGCGATGGGGTTTCAGTGGAATTCAACGTCGACGAGGTAACGTGTCTCGTCTTGGAATATATATAACAACATCGTGGGAGAAATAAATGGGTTGCAAAGATTGAAGAGACGGAGATGATGAAAAAAAAAGGAAAGACAGTTCTCTGACCCGTGGACTGGTTTCCCTATGCTCTCATAAAAGACGCTAATTTATTGTTGGTGCTTGGATAAATTGGAATAAGAAAATAATTTCAATAAATTTTTATGTGACGTTGAAAGTGCAAAATTGTAAATCTTTGCAATATTATTTCAATAAAAACTAGAGAATTATCAGTAACTTTTAATATAATTTTCAATGATATTATCAATAATCTTGAAAAAAAAATTAATCGCAAAAAAATGTAATAATCATTATTGAATAAAACAACATCAGAATGCAGTAATTGTTTAATTAACTGAAGAAAGCAAAGACAGATGTGTACAATCGATTTTTGTGCCTTCACCACGCCTTGGATCGGTGAAGCGTCAACTTAAAAAGCGGTCGAAATTGGAGATACCACCTTGTTCCACGAAGGCGGGACAGTTATAGTCAGGCGCACGGTAACTAACCGAGTCTCAAAACCAAGGCCATCCGGTCACTTCTCTTGACGCTGTTGCCCCGCGGGTCCCTGCTACACACCATCCCCTTCATCGGGACATATATATGAACAAGAAAAAGAGCGCACACGCCCCTCTTACCTTTTCAAACCTCGTCCTAGTCTTCCTTCATCGACTTAACTTATGTCTTGTTTTTTTTTTCTTTCATCTCTTGACTATCTCCAGCAACAAAATTTAGTTTTACTCATTTTCCTTGTATTGTATTAACAACTAAAGTTATACATTTTCAACAATGTCAAGGTGATCATTTATAAAAGTTCTGAAAGAATAAGAAGTAGAAAAAACAAGTGGAAAGAAGACGGGGGTTCTTTCAAGCAGAATGAGAAGACGAAAGGAGAATGAGAAAGCAAAAGATTGTAGCTGTAGCATATGAAAACGCTGTATGTGGAGGTGGATCATGAAACAAAAAAAAAAAGAGAAAAGGAGAAGAGTTCAAACTGCCTGAAAGCAAAGCTGAAGATCTTGTAGAAGAAAGAGAACTAAAAGAAGGCGGATTTTAAAACGAACTTTTACGATCGAGCGTGGGCGACTGAACTGGCTTCTCGCTGAGACTTCTCTTGAGGAGCTTCTCTTTGGAATTACTGAGTAACAATCACGAGTACATACTTACAGATCTCAACTGTATACCTATTACATGTTAAACTCTATAGGAGACATATTACATACCGGCACGAGCCATTTTACTGGAAAAACCACTGCCAGCCATCACTTTTTTGCATTATAATTCGTATGTACATCTTCAATACCATCTATAATGCATAGGTACCAGGAGATTCGATGAGAAAAGCCTCAAGACGAGTATCTTCCCTCTACTTTATTGCTTGATAGATACTTGATGCAGGAAAAAATCTAATAACATCTCTCAGAATATTCATGAGAATCTTTTTGATTATTCAGAAAATTGAATTTAAAAAGAATGATTTAACTATTTTATTCATTGCAACTTCAAGGTCACTGACAGTCGAAATAATATTGGAGCAATAGGTATTCGCAATGGTCAGAGAATCTGAGAAGGAATAAGATAGAAAGAATAAAGAATTACAAATGAGTAAAGTTGAAGTGAGAAACGAGTACATGGAGAAAAAGTCTGCAGGGCAGAAGAGAGAGGAAAGCTCCTATGGAGTCGGTTGGCCAACGGAATGTGGCTTAACCGGCCGCATATCCCTCGCCCCCTCAGCTGGACCCATCGTCAGAGACTGGGCTCAACCGCCGTTCGGCCTAATGGGACCCCATTGGGGTGTCTCGAATATTCTTCCACTATCTCGGCCATCTCGGTAAGATCCGTGAGCTCGGGTCAGCCATTTTTAACATTCAACTACATAAAATTTTGCTCCTTGCAATTTTTCAACTGAATTACCGAATTAATAATTTATTATTACAATACCATATGCATATTTTTATGTCTTCAAAGGATTTGACTTTTTTTTTCAACTTGATAATCAAGAAAATTATTTCTCTTCAAAAACCTACTGCTTCATTGTTGCCAACGGCAAGCTCCATCCTCATCTGTATCTTAAATGAGTATCATGTCTTAATGTCTAACGTTATATAAGTATGTATTAAATTCAGGATCTTCTAAAAAAAAAAAAAATCAAGAAGATTTCATTTGTACATAGTATTTGTCTGTAATTAGTTGTATACTACCTTGGCTAACCTAAAATCTTTATAATCAATTCAATGATTTTATTTTTCCAATCTATTGCTCCTGTGGTTCTTAACCATGTCAGTCTATAAACTAGAAGTTTGCAGTCTTCTTAGTACCTTAAGATCTCGAATAAATGTACGTTATTCTCTTCACAGTTTCTCTTGTAACCTACAACATATCCTACTCAAAGGACATGCATAACGTTTGAATTTACGTAGAGGGTATGCGCGTGTATCCGCATATCGTCTTGCAAGCAACAAGAGAAGGAAGAATCTTTAATCGCATGCGCGATCGTGCGGGGCTGTATATGTAATTTATTATAATGCCAGCTGGATTTTCTTTCTTGGTAATGTACTCTCTTTCTCTATTGCTCTCTGCAAAGAGATTGTACACACGAAGAAATCCATCTTGCACGTTGAAGAGACAACGTTACAGCTACCTAACGAGCTACGTAAATATAACCATTATTTTGTTATATCATTTATATTCTAGTTATTTTTTTTCCTTCATTCTTAATTGCTCAAATGAACTGATTTTAGCTGATATTGTAACGTCAAGATTACCAAGAGAAACCGATATAACCTATTCATGCATAAAAACATGTCATAATTTCACGAGCACTTAGTACGCCACTGGCAAAATTTTCAAGGTAAATTTTCATCACTTTCAATGTCGTCCCAAAGTCTAAAAAAAAATGACTTGTAAATTTCGAAAGATTTATTTATCGAGTTATTTGACTTGCTATGTATTCAGTAGTTATAGTAATGATGATGTTTTTAATGATGGAAGAACAAATGATGTTCGTAGACAAAGGTAGGAATAATTTTTTTGGATTTTTAAAATAATTTTTCATAGATTTTGTTTAAATCTTTTTAACACTGTTAATCAGGTTTAGTCGGTAGTTTTGAGAATGAAGAAGAAAACACGATTGGAGATTGTAAAAGTAAAGCAGCAGCAATGAGTAGTTGCCGACTGTAAAACGTGCGACAGCAAAGAGGCGACGGGGAGATGATCACGAGACGCCCCTACTTTTCTCTTATACTGCATCAAGAGACTCTAGATCTGCATAACCGGTATATTCTGACACTATACTTTTGCAAAACTCGTCTGGTCATCTTGGTGAACATTATAAAACCTTGGAGAATGGTGACTGTAGCGAATGAGAACACATTTCGCTACGAGAGAAGCGCCAGAAGAACTTTTCTTTCGTAGCGGAGAAGTTGATACTGCCTCGAGGTGAATCAAGAACTGGTGGAAGAGTGTAGGCGCAGACTTGGAGACTGATGACATCATCGCCTCTACCCGGAGAATCACTTCAGACTTATATACTACTTATAAGTGTTCACGTGAAGCTGTATAAGGTCCAACATTCATGATGATTACTGATTGTGAACTCGTTTTTTTACCTTAATAGCAACACACAGACACACACGTGTGAGAGGACACTTCAAGGGCGTAGATCTTTCTTTCCTGTTAAAATGATTGACAAGATATGTCTTGTTGGAAAAAATTGTTAAGATGATGAGTCACATTTTTTATTGTTTATATATTCAACAGACAATCAAACTATCTATTATTACCTACACCAAAATAATTATTTTTATATAAAATGTTACTGATGGATTCATTTTTAGTCGCAATGAAATATTTTTTTTTGGAATTGACGTTGTAACATTTTGATAGATTCAGTCATGATGGTTACTTAAAGTAATTTATTGAAAAATACATTTATATTGTGCTCAATTATTTTGAATAGAATTATTTGACAAGGATAGGATCTGAGATTGGAGAAAAGAATTTTCACGTGTTCTACAAGTGCATACATACTACATGCCATTTACTAAGACCCAATACTTAGTTGTTGAGAAAAATGACCTAATAAAGTTTCTTTAATATTTTATCTATATGTTATATGTATGCAATAGAACATAATATAATAATGATCGATTTTTTTAATAATTATTGATTTTCTTTCAATGATTTTTATAATTTATTAATAAATAAATCAATTGGTATTAGTTCATTCTTATTTTTCATTGAATTGATTATTTTTTTTTTAAATTCATGTTGACTCAGAATATGAGAATTAATGTAATATCACGTTTATTTAAAATTATCATTTTGAACTGAATATCAAAATACATTTGGTTAAATTTAATAAAATATTTCATTGCGAATATTTTAAATTATTTTTATTGATTGAATGAACATTATTTTTTATCGCAAAAAATTTTTTATCAATCCATAATAATAGTAATTAAATAAATGAATTAAAAATCGATATTTTTTCGTCCTAGATGCTGGTAGCAGATACTTGTTATTTATCTAGTCGCGTGGAGACTTCAATACGTGGTTTCCTGCAACCGCAATGTCGGTCTGGTTATGACTAAAGATCACAGCCATCTTTGATAGACTAAATCATTATAATTGGCTGATCCACCCACGCAATTGTATCATTTTTTGTAGAGAAAAGAGTGATGAAATTGAATTAAAAATTTCTAGCAAAGAAAAAAAAAAGTTGATTAAAAAAAGGTAAATATTTTTGTCCATGAAATGTTGAATATTCAAAAAGTTTAAATTAATGTGTGGGTATCTACGACGGTTATATAAAAAATTCTTTAAACATTTTCAGACGGTTCGTTACCAAGCAGGGACTATAGAAATCGATTCGCACCTGCTCGATCCAGTAAAAAGAAAACTTTGGAACCCCCTAAGCCCTTAAAAGTATCCTGAAGAGTGCGAGGAACGCACGCAGGTTTTCGGTTAGAGAACTCCAGACGTTCTCATGTTTTCTTGTTGGGGTTTACCAACGTCCTGAGTTTCGTTTTATAGACATTGGACATTTTCGAAGCCCCTCTGTAGTTCTTTTGGTCAGGTGGGATCCGGGAAGCGTTTCATTTGATACTCGAAACGTTTATTTTTTCTAGTCTCAACGACATTCTAAGCATTCAGATTTATGTTAATTTTTTTCTATCATATTTTATTATTAGAAAATATTGAAACGTAATTATTTAATTTATTACTGAAAAATAATGAATCACAATTTATACATGAAATTTTCATAAAAGATCTCATTTTAGACTAGAAATGACATTCAAAATTTTTTCTCAACTTGTAATCGTTTAAAATCATCATAGGCATCTTAAAAATTACCCAAAGTCATTAATTTATCTAAAAAAAAAATCTTTTGTCTACTTGGAAATTTTTTTAAGAATTACTTGAACCAACCATTAGCAACCTTTTTAAGTTTTTATTATAATGGAATAGCTTTCAACTCCCCACGTGAGATGAATCCCCTTCAGGTAAAAACTAAAAACGTTTAAAAATATCCATCAAGTCTTTTATATTTTACATTGTAACAAAAATTTATTTATATTGGACAAAGCACATACATTAAATATTTAATAATATTTATTTTTTCTGATAGCTTCTCTAATTATCAAATATATTGAAAATCAATATCTAGATAATTTTTTTAGCAGATAAAGATTTAATAATTAAATTTTCAGGTGATTCTGATGAGGAACTGCTAAATTTGATGAAGGAAATTAAAATAAATCGTTTAGCAAGGACGATGCATATCCGGCGGAAGTTGAAGGGCATCGTCCAAGGCTACAATAAGCTTTTACCTCCCTCAAAGAGTGCAGGTGTGCAATGATATACCTCTAGAATTAAAATTAGCATAACAGTATTTCTTCAGAATTGATATTCTGGAAAGTTAGCATCTTTGCAGAAATAACAATGACTCTTGAAAAATTCTCTAAAATTAATCATTTGTTTAAATCTCTAGAAACTTCTCTATAATAAGATTATCCTTGTGGAAAAATTTTTAGAAAAGCCTAAGAAAATTTTTGAAAACCGTTAGAAAAATCATTTATCTTCGAGATGAAAATGAATAGAAGAATGCATCTACGTCTTTCTTATTTGTAATACGTGGAACCGGATGAACGTTCTTTTCATTATTAAAAGTATAATATCCTGAATGTTTTTTAAGAAAAAATCTCCTCTTCTTGTCTCAAATAATAATGATAATTACAAAAACATCATTATAATATTATTATTATTATTATAAAAACAAATGAACAAAGATTGTAAGATTGATTTTGGCATTTTTGTGCTAACAGGGATTGCAAGGCTCATGGAAATAAGTAACAGAGACAGACTATGTGGAGTCGGGAGAATGAAGAAAACGGTTAGAGAACATTTTGGAGGGTGTAGTGTTATAAAAGAAATCAAGAAAGACGAGATGTATAGATTTTAAGAGAATGTTAGATCATCTTGTGTCTGTATGTATATATGTTGGTATTGGGTGTATAGTATGGGAATCGTTATGGGCTACGTCTATAGTCGGTTGGAATGCGTTTTTTTTTTCTTTTTGTGTCTCCCTATATACCTGGCGGGTCCGCTCAGCCTCCACAGGTAATCCTGTTCCGCCGTCCGGTTGAACAAGCGCCGCAAGAAGGGGCGGTCGTGTCTCTCCCCTTTGCCCCCTGCCACTCTAACAGACTCCTGAATCTTCAGGATGCTTGAAGTGGGAGAGACAAGAGAAAGAACGACGAGAACTTATAGTATTATATCGCAGAAGGCACCAGACAAGAGAGGGAATCTGGAGGTCGTTCGTTTAGAATGTGTGACGTCATTCAGGGGGATTCGAATGAACCAATAGTTAACGTTCTTACTGATGGCGGTAGGGTGGGGAGCGCTTGAGGCGCGCAAAAGGTGTGTGTGACCTCAGTGTTAGGGCGCGGGGCCAGTTTCGCAGTGAGTGCGGTAGTGATCTCATCTTCGTCCTCTGGTGTTCTTTCACTGTCTGTGTTACTCTTCATCAAGCTAACGTAAAGCATGAAGAGAACCAAGTCCATCATCATCATCAACAATGTTCTTCAAAAGACTACCAACTGTCGATCGAATTATTATCCAGAAAATAACCTTACTTAAGGACGAGTGATGCAATAGGTAAGTCAATTTATACTTTAAGAGGTTACGAAATCTGCCGGAAGTTTTTGCATGATGCCTTTTCTATATGATAATATAAATATATCTGTATGTAAAATGCTTTATCCTCATTTTTTTTTCATGTCCGCGTGATTACATTATCACTCTCTCAGAAATATATATTATGCTGTTGCTTGAAGAAGATTAAGATATCACGGAGTTTAGTATTATTCGAGTGTTTTTGGCGGGATAAGAAGGTTGGTTAAACAAAGAAAAAAATAATATTAATACAATAAATATATATGCGTAAATGAAGTTATTTTCTTTTTCGCTAAATACTCAATCGCAGACGCAGTTCCCACGTAGTAAGACCGGAAAACCTTGTCGGCGTTCTTGTTACTTTCCACCGATCGTCGACACGCTCCGGCGTTCATCTTTCCTCAAGCATTTTTATTTCCTTTTTTTTCAGATTCATTGTGTGTACTAAGTTTTCATCATTCTCTTAGCAACAATATTTTTTATTGTTTATATCTCTATTAATTTATGCATCGAAAGACTTTTTTTTTCTTTATTCAAGTTGGTTGAATTTCTTCGATTATTTGGTTATTTTATTTGACGAGTAATGAGTAATAGTTATCCACAAATGTATACGCATGTGGCTAGCAATCAGAAATCAAATAGCAGCTTAAGATAATACAAATTGCTAGCCGATATCGTATTAGGGTATTATTTTAGTCAATTCTCATACTATATTCGTCTTCAACTTGTTTATTTCTTTCATTTTCTGGACATATTAGATTGATGTATTATCGTTGACCTTGATTTCTTTGTAACCTGAATAAAAATTCTGAGAAAAATATAATTAATAAATTAAGATCTTCCAAACTGCGTAAAATATCGTCTTAGTACGCATATATATCTATTGGGTACATATATTATAAAAAAATAAAAATGTCTATTTTTTTAGATCAGAGATATATAATAGAGAAACTATCTAGTATAGCTTTGAATAAGAGTTTAAAGTCAATAGACTTTCAAATAGGCATAATAAAATTAGAATGTACAAGTGTGTGACTTTCAATACATTTTCAATAGAAATAATAATAATAACAATAATAATAAATACCAATAATTCTTCCAACCGACCGGTATACTATATTAATGTTTATCATCTTTACACAAACTAGCTGACTCTTATCATTTTTTATCGCAATTTAAACTCGATGCGGATCCATATACTTATCGTAAAAAAGAATTACATTAGTTAACGATTATAAAAATACTTCAATAATTTAACCTTTTTTCAGTATCGTTTATTATTTTCCAATATAACAATAATAATAATTGACCAATAAAATATCACCTGTTTCCATGATTAAATATCATTATTTTTTTTTTTTTTGTTGAAAATGAAGTCTTTTTCTGTATTAAATAATTAATATTTATGTTTCTCTTTAACTTATCTATATACATACGTACATTCATTTTAAAAAAATAATTATCATCATTTTTTATTTATACAATAGAAGACAATTCGCCAGAGTTATTTGTGTATATCGCATTCACAGGAGAATGACCATTTTTTTACTGCGTGACGAGCAAGGCAAGTCAAATAATCTGTAGTTTAAAAATGTACAAGACGTCGTCAATTCTAATAACGGAATGCTGAGTGCAAACAACACACGTTAGCCAAGGTAACTTGGGATGAGCTTATGTAGTCAATGTATAATAATTTTAGTTAAACTTATGTTATAGCCAGTGGTCAGCTTATCATTCTTTTGATGATGATGATGGTGATGATGAAATATCAGCAATGAAAATATTAAATACTAATGATAATTGTATACGGATCATGTATGACGTCAAACTTTTAATAGATATACTTTGGAGTATCCATGAAATTTTTTTAAAATTCATATTCATTCGATAATTATTATTTTTACTGTATTGGAAAGAACTTTGATCTAATGGTTGATTTATTGAAAAAATGAATGTTTGTAAAATCAATAATTGAATCTATTTGTAATCTTAGATTATCTGATGCTTCATAAATTTTTACTGGGAAACATGATTTTACCATCTTATTCAATGGAATTATCAATGAATCATTTACCTGATTCACTCATCACATTAAAAGTCAGACGGAATTACTGTTGATTATATGTATTACATTGAATACTATTATAAAGAAATCAAAAAATAGTTCATTATTTGTAATAACATTGAATGATTCGGACATTTTTTAAAATTTTTTTATCAATTTCAATAATTGATTAAAAAAACTACACACTTAAATAGTATAATGGAATTAAATTACATAATTTTTTTTCAAGTTTTTTTTTTTATTTAAAAGAAATTTTTTTAATTTACAGAACAATCAAGAATATTTTCTGTTCGTTTACTAGATGCGAAAGTAATAAGGAAAATATATTGTCCAAGTTTCACTATTGCCAGTGAATAGGTAAGGAATAGACTTCGTCTAATCTGGACGTCAATTTGAATTGTATGTAATTCTTTTATTAGACTAGCCACTGTGTCAACATATAGAATATTAAATAAACGGCCGTATTATTCATAGGCATAGATAACGAATTTATTATAAAAAAAAAACTCGAATAGTTGAAACATTTTAACTATAATATACATTTAAAATTTATTGTAGATTATTAGTTTTTTATGTAATTAATCGTCTAAATGATTTTTCTTTCACTGCTTCAATTGATATATACATGTATACCATACAAGAAAAAATAATGTGGGTGAATAAGAAAGAGAGAGCTAAAATGAAATAAAATTCAGACACGCATAAAGCAAGATCATAACTTTCTCCCAATGAAAACCGTTACGCAAATAACTGAGGCCAGAATCACGATCTCGTGAAACGAATAAAAAAATTGCTATGAAATGGAAAATATTAATTAATAATTTTTTAGAAAAATATCAATTAATTGTTCTTCATTCATTAATGTAACACAATATTGTAAGTTTGTTCTTTGTTAATAACTAAAGCATTAATTATATATTATCACTTTTACTTATATTTTATAATTAAACAAATTTAAGCTGATAATAATAAAATATTTGTTACTTGCTAATTTTAAATTATCAGAATAATTAATCAAATTTATTTGCAGATTCATCATCTAAAACAGTTATAAGGATTGAATTGATGGATCCGGTTAATGCTTAAGGCTGTGAAGAGAATTCTGGCAACACTTATCTTGTGAACTAGTAATTACATGGCAAAGTCAAGACATCGACGTGAATTACAGTCAACTTTCACTCCCAAATGTCAACGGTTGTTTCACTTTTCAAGTCCCCTTCGTTTACGACGTCTCTCGTGCATATCAATCAATGCGAGACGACAAAGAAACCCTTGTGACCTGCTACATGAATTCTCATGTTTCAGGTGTGCCACGCGCAAAGAAAAGAAATAAGTTTCCAGAAATATTTTCAGTTACAAAGTACGAATATTTATCACTTTTTTTTCTTCCCTTAATAAAATTTCTGATAGCAATAATTTACTATACAACAGAAGATGATCGAAATAATTTGTAATACAAAATACAGTCGGCTCAAAACTACATTTCCATAATTTTATATGGTTTGATGACTTATTCAACATCTTGGTGCGGACATTTTCTTTGGTTATCTAGCTGTATGAGTATTATTTGACTTCATAAAGCTAGGTTACCGGAGTTAAGATCCTCGCCATATCAACTCCAACGAACCACTCTTTTATTCAAGATTTTAACGCATCGTTTAATTTAAAGTATCTCAACCTTGTCATATCTTTATTTTCAAGGTATTGTCTTGAATATGGTTTATATCATCGAATTTAGACTAGAATTGATTGTTTTTTTAACTACTTACAATTAATTATTAATAAAGAAATATTTATAATAATAAAAAATAAAAAAATAAGTTAAAATATATTCATTTTAATGCTATCTATGCTCTTCAAATCTTTATAATGATTATCCAATAAATACTATTATGTAAAATAAATTTACCAAAAAAAGTACGTACCTATACTTTGGAAGGTAAACTAAAATTGAAAACATGAAATTTAATAGTTATTTGTAACTTAAAATTAATATATATATTATGATTTAATTCTAAAGTAAAAATTGTTAAATTCATTAAATTTTTATCTTTCTTTCATGTAATTAAATAGTGTAAATTGAAGAAAATACTTGCGTGTTGATAAATTCTTGAATGATAATCCAATTTGTGATTGCATTTATTTCGATAATAAAAATATTTGTACTGAAGAATATCCTCATCAATTACATTATGGACTTTTTACTGAAGTTACTTCTTTGAACATCAATTAATACTTGAAGACGTTTTGTTAATATCTATAAACTATTTTAATCGTTTAATAAGTTTCAAAGTATTGATATTGAAAATTATGTTCAAAAATAGGAAAACAGGTAAAAATAATACTCAAAGATTAGATTAATAAAAAGAAAAAAAGTAATTTATATAGAATTCCAATTATGCAATAGTACTTTACACATAACATTTTTTTACTTATTGCTGATTAAGTAGGGTCCTGTCATTAATTGTAATTAGAAATAATTTTTTATGTTTTAATAAGAATCCAAATTTTTATTATTCTATTCACATACATCTGTAACTTTTACAAATTATTTCATTATAACATTTAAAAATGTATATCAATTCATTAATTGGAACAATGATTTAATTTTATAGCATGTATATGATCATATATACAATTATTATTACGTTGATTAGTTAATAAATATAAAATAATCAAAAGCTCATGAATTACTTTTCAAGTATAAAAATTAAATTATTTACTTAAAAATAATTGATAACAATTCTCAAACGTTGATAAAGCTAGTGGTATAGTCTTCAATTGATTCCAAAGTCCCATTGCATATGGTATATGTTTTTCTTCAATCAATTTATCAATCAAAATTTTAATATTCCCCTTAATTTCGTCTAAAGTATGGTTTAAAAACATTTCTTCTAATGTTTTATTGTAAATAGGATGATGAGGTGGAAAATATATAATTAAATTGCGGAAAAATAATTCTTCAAGTGTTGGTAAAGAGAGTTCAATATTCTCACGAGATTTGATTAATTTAATCGCCTCTTCATGCAACTTTGAATCATCTACACATAATCGAAGGAAAATTGAATCTTCAAATGAACATTCTGTTTCAAATTCTGTAATAAATTTACTGTAAGCTTCTGAATCAAATTTTTGATCCATTAGAAGTTCTTTATACTCTTGTAATATTGCTATTTCATTTTTCGAATTAGTGTTTCGTGGAATGAATCGATTCACCGATTTCACCATGCAAAAAATAGGATGATTGTCATTTATGAATTCAGGGTTTGTAAATTTAGGCCACGATTTTAAAATTTCCTTGATTCTGGAATAATCATCTTTAGTTACCATTTTAGAAAATGAATGGTTGAATATTGCAAATCTTTTTTCTTCTGTTGAGTCGTCAGCAGTTTCAGAACTATCAGTTTTGATTGATTCATTTGTGGAAATTATATTACTTTCTTTTGTGTTACCATCTTCAACATTTCGATCAATACTATCTACATTAATTGATGAACAACTCTCTTTTAAAGATACACATGATGGTACAGAATTTTTCTTTTCATTATTCTCAATTTTCTCGTCATTAGAATCAGAAAAATTACTCCAATTATCATCCCATCCTTCTTCTTCTTGAGAAAATTCTTCAGTTTTCATTTTAAAAGCATCATTAGCATATAAATTAGATGCTTCAGTTTCATCTAAATTACTAATAGGATTTTTATCACAATTTTCTGATATTTCTTCATGAAGAATTAACTCTTCTTTATCATTTGCATCATTCAACTCTTCGGGAATATTTTCGACTTGATTTTCTTGCATTAATTTGTTGTACCAATCTTTCAAATACTTTTGAATATTATTTAATTCTTCATTATTTACAATTTCATTATGTTCCTCAGTCATTATAACTTCATCTCCAATTTTAGAAACCATTTTTTGAATTATATCTATTGGCGTATAAAAATATAAACTACTGGCACCTGTACACACTTTCATATATAATTTTATAGAATAAAAATATAAAGCAGTTAAAATATATAATTCAGTATGAGGTAAATTTTCAAATACATCTTCAGCGTGAGAAAAATAGTTGTGTTGGAGACTCAATAAATAGCTAATACCCAAGAGCCAATCATCAGAAAATATATAAGTTGCTAATTGAACTAGAAAATGATTTATATCGCTAACGTTAAGACCATAACTAGCAGTTTCACTCAAAGCATTGATTCGTAGTAACGTTTGACATATTTTTAATTTTATATTATTAATATCAGGCATTGAATAATCATTGTATTTTGTATCAAAGCGACTTGTGTTACAATTTTTATGCAATGAAATATAGAAAAATGGAAAACTTTGAACTTCATCACGCTTCAGTACCTCACTATTATTTGTATTATCAATTGAACTTTCTTGATTATTCTTTGTATTAATATTTGTTGCAGTCTTCCAAAAGCTGTGGCTACTTACATTTTTTAAAATTTCTAAAGTTGATTGTTTTACTAATTGTGCTGAATTCTTAACTAACTCAGTTGATGTTTCCAAAATTTTCGGTACAAATTCTTTTATTTCACTCTGTGGAGTTGTCATAGCATCAGTGAATTCATCATCACTATCATCATCATTTTTCTCAGCATTTTTCGATTCATAAATGGCTAGCCAATTTTCAAGACTCTTATTTAAATCTTGAATTTCAAGTAAATGAAGTTGTTTCAAGGTACTTTCAAGTAATTCATTAGGACCATAAGTCAGTGTAAATGCAAGAGCTTTTTGTTTAAAAGTTAAATCATTGTAATCATCACAGAATCCAAGCTTTTGAATAATTTTCCATGCTTGGAAATAGCTACTATCAATGATTTTTTGACAAATAGATGCACAATATTCATAATCTTTCACTTCGAAAGCTTTTTGTCCAACTAAATCTAAAACTTTACCTTCACGATTTCGTACATTGTTTCCTTCAATATTTAAATAAGAAGCTAATGTTAATAATCTTTGTTGTCTTTTATAAGCACCTTTTTTATTTTTCAGACAGCTCTCAATTAATTTAAGTCTATCTTGGCATAATCTTACTTGAAGGGGTAATATAGAAATATTAAATTCATTTAAAATCTGTAGAGAATTAATTAAATTATTTTCTTCCTCAATTAAGGGATTATCATCTTCAATAAGATGAAGACAAGATTTTGCCAGTTCCATACTTGAATCATTGTGACTTTTCGAATTATTGAAATAGTCTCTACTAGCTGCAACAATTAATTTTACAGCTTTATCGTAAGATACTTTTACTAAAGAGTTTTCTGTTTTCTTTGTTTCTATTAGAGTTGTACAATTTTGTATGTTTATTTTTATACCTGATGCTAGCCTGGACATTACACAAATTTCGAAGCAATCTTCTACAGTTAAGCAATTCAAAATAAATTCTTGAAGTTCACACATATCATTCAATACTTCAGCCCAAGCTTCTTGATTTGGTGGTGGTGAAATATCGTTCAAACTATTCGACATTTGTTGCAAAAGTAATTTCGTTTCTTCCGAGTTTGATTTGTTGTCGTGTATGTATTTTATTGTACATGTGACATTATATTTATTGAGAATTTTCAAACATTCTAATTCTCGTTCAAGTTCTCCTACTGGATCATAAATTTCGCCAGAAGCGTTTTTCATTGGCTGAGGTTTTGGCAGAGTATCGAAAATTGCTTTAGCCTTTTCATACATATTTGGATTAGTACAAGAGTAAATACAATCAATTGCCAATAAAATGATATCTTCTATCATGTTTAGAAGTTCGATATCTTGTTTAAGATTTTTAAAAAACGTTAATGGTAATTTTAGATCATTTTCACTAAGATTTAGTAAGTAACTTTTAAGTAGCTTTTTATCCAAATCACCATTCAAATATTTTTGCTTTCTGTAAATAAAAGCCAGAACAAAACGTTTTATATTGGTCACAAAATTCTTTTCAGTTGATGTGCTCATAAGTAATTTGATTTTTTCTAATTCTGATAACTTTTCAAATTGTGCTAACGACATATTTTCAATGCCAACGTTATAAACTATATCATCCAAGGTTTCTAAGACTAATAATAAATTATCCAAGCCCATAATTTTGTGCATTCTAGCAATTTTAATTAATTCCAAAGCATTTTCAACAATCCAACTATTTCTTTCAATTTCATATGCCCTAGACTTATACCATTTTGTTAATAAATCCATCGTAATTATTGTGGTTTTATATACAGAAAGTGAAGGATCTGATTCGTAAATAAAATGAGAATCATTATCATTGTTTGTACTAATAAAACTTTCAAATTCATGCTTCTCTACCCAATCCTTTGGCCTTAATTCTTTTTCATAAAGTAAAAACAATTGTCCTTGATCATCACATTCTGGTAATAGTTTTTTATATTCACATGGATTCAATGTTTCAGGAAAGCAACTGATTATTATTAACCAGTGAGGCATCAATTTTGGTCTATGATATGTAAACAGAATATTTACTGCTCGATGATTACAATCTCGAGCAAATTGTATAGCATTTTCTAAAATAGTTAGTTGACGAAACTTTTCATAAGATTCTTTGTCATATTTTTCTGGATCATGAATAATTATTTCATACGTTTTCAATTTATCCAAATGATCTAATAAATGTTTTCTATTCGAAAGTAATTTTTTTTGTGATTTTGATAAAGAATTAAAATCAACATTTTTAATTGCCTCATTCACCTTTTGCATGTATTTCAAATTAACACTAACGTCAGTTAAATAACTTAAATCATCACTGTTTTCATTTATCACAATTTGTTCATTATCATTTTCATTCATTTCTAAAAATGTTTCTAAACTTGTTTTTTTCAAACCAAAATTCAATAATTCACGAGCTGCTTCCAATGTTTTTGGCACTCTCATAATACATTCATTCAAAACCCATGATCGATTACGAACTTTGCTCAAATGTTCTTGAATTGCTTGAAGAGAAAATTGTGATTTTCTCCATTGAGTTTGATAAACCAAGTCAGTATCTAAATTATAAGAATTTGCAAGACTCAAAGCTTCTTCATAATTTTCAATATCAATTTTTCTTGAATAAAGTTCTTCTGGAGTTGTACTTTTAAGTCCTAAAATCCTATAAGTTCTTTGCAATATTTTCGTTTTTTTTCGTTTCGGTTGAAAAGTTTCTATGTCAGTAATGGAATATAAAGCATTCCGTATTAAATTTGTAGTATAATTCATCAGTGTTGAAGGTTCCAATTCATCCTCCTCTTGTTCACTGTCAGAAACTTCTGAAGACTGTTCATCAACACTCGGTTCTCTATTTCTCTTTTTTGTGACAATAGTCATTTCACAATCAAGACACAAAAATCCTTTGTCTGAATAAAACTCAGAAATTTGTGGTTGGCCATATAGAAATTCAGGACTCGTGCCTAGAAGATTTTTCAAATCAACCATAGAACATACGGAAATTGCACCAGAGTATCTGGCGATAATTATTGCATGATCCGACCACCATCCAATATCTATTGGATGATATTCGGAAAAGCCAACAGGCAACTTTCGATATTTAGAACAATGTAATGGATTATGAGCATCGTAGTTGGGCTGTTCATTTAATTTCCATTTTTTCTTCAATTGTAAATTTGGCAAGTTCCATAAAGATATCGCTCCATCAGTGTGTAAACAAACTAAATGGTTACAACTTGGTGATACACTAATACGAAAAATTACAGCTTCTTCTGGCATACGAAATTTTGGTATCAAATTCCATAAAGATAATGTATGAGGTGTAGTATTCTCTTCAAATGTAAATGATAATTTATAGTAAGGATAGTCATTCAGAGGTCTCCAAGATGTTAAACCAGTACTTGAAGCTACCGATGAGTAGGTTTGAGTAATATTATTACCAGCAACGATATATAAGTTGTGTTTATGATCATAAGCGAATGCATTGACACCTTTTCTATAAAAATTTCCAAACGAAAATTCATGTTTTGCTTCATATCCATAAGTTCCTGATATTAAATATGATTTTAGTAATCCACTGTAGGTTGTTACTAGGATTTCATATTTCCAAATGTCTGATTTTACTTGAAGATTTTTAAATATCAAAGATGCTATCGCATCACCTGCTTCTAATATATCTGGATTTTGTGCTTCAGTTTTAGGATTTATATTGAATACATTATTACCTAATGAATTGTAGAAAGATAAATGACCACTGCTTGAAGCTAATACAAGAATTGATCCATCTGGACTCCAAGTGACTTTTCGCCATTGGGGAAAAGCATCTTTCGGTACTGAAAAATTAATAATCAATTTTGTATATTGATTATCATAAATAATAAAGTTATCTATTAATCATTCAATTATGTATTAAATTTTACCAGATGCTTTGCCAATAACTGTAGAAAATTCATCTTTTGATCTTCTTATTTCAATAATATTTTCATACAAAATTGCTAAAAGCCTTCCATTATCACCAATTGCGAATTTCCATGGAAGTGTAAGACTTACTTGTTGAGATATACTCTCAGGAAGAGAGTAACTATTATTGAGATATTTAATGGCATTCTTTATTGTCCCCGTTGTAGATAAAATAGCACTGCCATTGTTATATCTCTAAAAAATGAATTAAATTTATTAGTTATTGTTTGAAAAAATAATTAACATATACTTGTACAATTTGACAGTTAATAGATTGAAGATAAGTCATTGTTAATAAAACTTGAATAACTTTACCACTAGTTCAGGTTCTTGTTTTTTGACAAAATACTCAATAAGTTCATAAAGAATTGAATCATTATCAATATCCACTTGCTTATTATCCATATTTAGTCATTTAATTTATAACAGAGTGACAGATAATGATAGAATAACCTCTTTTCAATATCATGACAAAGTAATAATTTTTAAAATTACTATATATTAAAAAATCCAATAATCATATGGCAATGTAAGTGCCTATACGTGTACAGATGCATTAATGAACAGGTTAATAAAATATTAAAAATGTTGTTATACATTCTTTTACATAATCAGTACGAATTAGTTTGTAATTTTTTTTTTCGGAGCAACACAGATGATTAACTGGAGACATCGAAAATGGAGCCAAAGAGAAACGTCAAATGTCGACATTATACATGTGTAAAGTAGTTCGTTACCGATATGGAGGGGCGCTGCTCCAAAGTTCAATCTTATATATCCCCTGTAGTTGAAGCTCTTATTATTGCATAGTCTCAGAGTTTTATTCCCTTTTATTTTGATCTATCAAAAATAAAATTGCTAACTTGTATATAACATTCTCAGCTGACTTGGAGTTAAAGTGCGTCGTAGTAGTTTATAAGTTCTTTACGCGAGAACGAAATGAGCCTGACATCGAAATCATTCAAAGAAAAACGATCATTTGGTAAAGAAATATTTTTAAATTATTTGTCTAATAGTATATTTTCAGTTCTATATATATACGCTTTAAATTTACAAACAAAAACGATTACCAAATTTTGTAAGGTAGCTTTCTATTATTTCTAAACGCTGTCATAGAAAGTCATCATTTTTGTCAGGCAACTAGTTGATTATTTCACGATATAAATAATGCTTTTTCTTTATTGTTTACTTGTTTTCATAATAAAACATTGTTGAGAGTTTTTTTCCAGCACAACGAGTAGCTGATGTGGAACTGATTCGAGAACGTCATCCAAATAAAATTCCTATTATTGTTGAGAGATATTATGGAGAAAAACAACTACCATTATTAGATAAATCGAAATTTTTAGTGCCTGATCATCTAACAGTTGCTGAACTCATCAAAATTATCAGGTAAATGAATTTATTTTATTTATAAGTATATTACAAAAAAATATTTACAATAATATTCATATTGATAATAATAATAATAATAATAGTGATAATACTAAAATCATTGTATGTTTATTGATTCTTTTATCAGACGTAGATTGCAGCTTCATCCCACTCAGGCTTTTTTTGTGCTCGTAAATCAAAGAAGTATGGCAAGTGGAAGCATGACAATGGCTCAATTATATCAGAGAGAAAAAGATGCTGATGGATTTTTATACATGGTTTTTGCAAGTCAAGAAGTCTTTGGATGTTAGCTTGGAATAAAATTAAGTTGTTTTAGGTAATTATATATTCAGTGTTTAATATTTATTAATTCTGATTTTACCAATAATACATTATTGTTCAATAAGAGGAAATAATATTAATTTTTTTTTAAAATTATTTTAGCTAAATATGACAATTTTTCGTGATATTTTTAATAAAGCACTGCAAACGAATGAAAAAAATTTGTGAAAATGTTTAAAAAAATCACACATTTAACACTTGATCGTGTAAAAAATAATTTATTCGGGTGTTTTCAACTATTAATTATATATTTGGAGAATCGAGCAAAGTAAGGAAACAGGAAAATATACAAGGAGTGTATGACAATTAATTAAAACAGGTAGTGATCATGAGTAATATTGATGATATTGACCTTTGAAGAATCACGTTTACATTACTGTATTTTAAATGTTAAGAAAGTAGACATTAGAGTAGTGAAAAATAATTCACATAAAACAATAATAAATCATTGTCAGTAGACACAAAATATTATAATGTCAAATGCTAAAGTGTAAGGTGAGTCAATATGTTTGTTGTTAATATGATAATAATATTATTAATTAACAAGATATAGTAATTCTTCACGAATAATTAATAATTGTTTCAAGTTACATCACCTAAAGTTATAATATCTATCATAAATGTCATTTAAATTGACCAATTATGAAAAAAAATTATTACTGTATAATTTACTGATAATATAAATTTGAAATAATTATATTCATAAAAGGAATTAAGATGAAAATCGTCCAGTGTAGAAATAATTTTAATTTATTAGTTTCACATGTATTTATAAAACAAAAAACTAACTGTCTGAGCGAAATTAATAATGACATACAGTCGTAAAGCTCTGATTAATTATTTTCTGCCAAACTTTTCGATACCTGACAATTTACATATAGTTGTGTACATTTTTTACTTAATATTCGAGTAAACTATGTGGAAGCAAGATTTATATGTAGGGCATACATTTTAAATGTATAATATACATATATAAATATATATTCTTTAATCTATGTACCTTTGAGTGAATTTTCAACAGATATATCAAAGAAAATAGAAATATATTTCATTTCCTGACATAAATATTTGATAATATAATTTATTTATATTAATATATTAATTTTGTGTAGAATTTTAGTATACAAAAAATATCATAAATATGACTTGAAAAAAAAGAAGTAAAAATGTTGAGTAAACATTTGTTTATATCAAATTTAGCGCGCTTAGAGATCAATAACGATGACATCACTTCAGAAAAAAAAAGAATGACAACATTCGATCATGTAACGATATAAATCAAGAACTTATAGATACAATGATAAACTATCCCACAGTTTGATTATAAAAATGTTTAAAATATTTAATGACAATTGTATCCAAAGAAAAAAATCTCTAATAGTCATTTTATCCACTAACTATATCGATGGCATTGAAACGAGATATTACCAACGGTAATCAAATTTCACGGTAGGTAGAGTAAATTTCTTAAAGTAACTGATAAAAGATAACAGCTATAAACTGATATACATATTTTCGAACAATTGTTATAATATTAGATCATTATTACAGAAAATAAATGAGAATTATCTATAATTCCGTTAATTGTGGACACAGAGACCTATTTACATATATAATAAAAATATTAATTAATAATTTTCGATATTAATATTAAAGGTTACATTTTTATTATATAAATTATTTTTGTGTACATTTAATCAATTTCAATTATTGGTATATTTTTTTGAAATATTTATTATAATATACATATTGATAAATACAACGAATCTAATATTTATAACAGGAACAACAATGTTGGTAATTAGATTTAAAAGATATTATTATGGATGCAATATTGCAATATTGCATCCATACAATGATATGTGTATATTATGTCATTTTTTCTGCATTATTATGTTTTGATAATTATAATTAGTGAAAAAAGTTACAAGTAGTCAGACTGCTTGAAATATCACCCTACAATAGTAATCGTGAAAAATCATTTTTCTACTTGTTTTTATTATTTGAATTTATATAAAAACTGATAAATAAACTTTTAGTTTTGGTCATTAGAATGTAGCTGTCGTTAATGTCTTTCCTGAATCTGTATGGCACCTAAAAGGATGTATAGTTTAGTGTGGTAAGTTGACTACAGTGATATGATTCATGTAATATAAGTGAGTGTAGAGAAGTGTGGGTAAGAGGGCAAGCGAGTGAAGAGTGGCAAAGAAAGAAGTTCAAATGCACCTGGTCTGGTTTAAAGACAAACGGAGAGAGAGAGATAAAAAGAGCGAGAAAGCGAATAAATGACCTGCGGACTCGGAGGAAGTACAACGCTGCGGGTTACTGAGTCTTCGTATACTAGCGTTCACCTGTGTGCAAGGTTGCCTGTTACCTTCGAACTCGAAGCTTTCAAAGTAAACCAGAAATTAACGTCTACAGACAACTCTGGTCAAAGCTGTTATTGTACATTTATTTTCATTTAAATACATCAGCTCGATGTGACTGGCGGTATTTAAAAGCAAATGTATACTGTAAGATTACACCCACTAGTCTACATATTATATTTTAAGCTACAAGTAAGAGACGAGGAGAAAGAAGAGTCAGAGTTAGTGTCCAAGTGCCGCGTGTGAGCGCGAAGAAACGCAAATGCGCTGACACGGATTGTGGCACAATAACAGGTAGCGTATTGTGTCATTCAATTGTGTCCTCGGTTTATTATTCTCTTAATTATGCTTTTAATTATTTACATTTAACTATAATTGTGTGGTTAAAAAGTTTTTTATTAATTAAAAAAATTTCTTTCTTATTTTTAAGTGAATTATTGAATGAGTCAAGACGCTGATCTGGCACGCCACCGAAAGACTCACGAAATGGCTACTCAAGCTACATTTTTTTAACTTCCATGACCTTTTCACGCGATTAGGTGCGGTGTGAGAAAATCTCGTCACAGGTATACGTGTCAACCTGTGACCCGCCCACACTTTTTATCTAAAAATATTTGTTTAATTTTTTTCTTTCAACGTTCACAAATTGTTAGTGACTATACATATACAATAATTATTAAATTAATTTAGTTAATTAAAAATAGTGTATTAAAGAATTTATAAAATATTTTGGAGTCTTAAAACATCTTTCACGTTATAAAAAAAAATGTTGCCAGCGAAGCGAGAAAATGAGAGCGAAGGGAATGGTTTTTAGGAGAAGGGGAAGACTATCTACTAGCACGAAAGAATAAATGTCTAGTTTAAACACTGGACAGGGTCATTAAATTTGTTATCGACCTTGTTAGACATTAAAATGTATTTTTTAGATTTTTTCTTGAATAGGTTTATAATTACAGTGTTTGATTGTTTTGTAGAATAATATGGACAGAGAATTGGAGCAGTGTGACAGTGATAATTTGAATGACGGAGACGTTGAACGTAAAGGAGACATTGATTTTTATGATAGACATCGTCGAACTATGGACTGCTCTGGTGATCCCGATATAGAGGTAAAAATTTCATTAATTAAGTGATGTACTCATTAAATTCAACATAAATCAAAAGCTCGCACCTAAATTTACAATCATAGTAATAAAATTTTTTATTTACAGAGAGATATTGAAAGAGATCAAAGTAATCACACTGATATGCTCGATGAAAAAGTTGATTACAAAATTGGAAGAGATTTTCGAAATTTAGGACACCATCGAAGTATGGTACACATGCACAGTGGTATTGAGCATTTAAATAATGCAGATGTTGAGGTTTTAATTTTTTTTCTACATTCATTTGAAAGTTAATTAATTGATAATTTAATTAAAACCGTTGTTTTTTTCATCAAGGTAAAATTAGCAAGAGATGTCAGAGGATCACTTGGTCTAGGACTTTCTTTAGAACTTTGTGTTGTTTGTGGAGATCGAGCAAGTGGTCGTCATTATGGTGCAATAAGCTGTGAAGGTTGTAAAGGCTTTTTTAAACGTAGTATTCGTAAACAACTTGGTTATCAGTGTCGAGGAAGTAAATCATGTGAAGTTACCAAACATCATCGAAACCGTTGTCAATATTGTCGACTTCAAAAATGTCTTGCTATGGGAATGCGAAGTGATTGTAAGTTTTAATAAATCTTTTTAATTATATATTTTATTAAATTCAAAATAAATACTTATAGTTAAATTAAATAAATTATTTAAAAAAATGTATGAATATAATAAACATGAGCAAGCTTGGGGTGTTTTAGCTGTTCAACATGAGAGGAAACCAGTACTAGGTGATACAGCAGCAGCCAAACTGAGCAATCGTGGTCCAAAAGTTAAACCAGAACCTCAACAAACAGCACCAGAAACAGCACCTATATGGGAGCCACCAGAAAGCCCCAGTGTTGAAGACCAAAGTAGTGACAGTGATCTCAGTGATGCACTGACTTTAGCAAGAGAACGTTTACTCATTTCTCATGCCCTCGAAGGAATGGCAAAGCTAATTAGTGATGTAAACTACTATTTTTCATGTATTTTAAATGTATAAGGTAAAAATTCAATTTGTTATAAATGAATATTATTAATTATAGAGTGTAAACGGATCAGAAGAACCAGAAGAAGAATGGACAGGACAATTATTATTTGAGAGGCATACCGTATTTGAATTACGAGCTCCTAGTCCAGCTCCAGCTTATTTATCTATACATTATATTTGTGAAAGTGCTGCGAGATTATTATTTCTTTCTGTTCATTGGGCCAGAGGAATTCCTGCTTTTCAAGCTCTTCCGTAAATTTTAAACAACAAAATAATATTAAATTGCATGGTAATAACACAAAAATTTTTTTTCTAGCTCGGATGTACAAACTTCATTAGTGCGGAGTTCGTGGGGTCAATTGTTTACTCTTGGTCTTGCTCAGTGTGCTTATACACTGTCTCTTCCTAGTATTTTGACGTCAATTATTAATCATTTACAAGCAAATATTGCTCAGGAGAAAATAACTGCAAGTAAAGTGAAGTTAATAACTGAACACATATGTAGACTTCAAGACTGTGTTAGTTCTTTACACAAAATGCAGGTTGACTCGACAGAGTATGCCTACCTCAAGGCTCTAACGCTTTTCAGTTCAGGTGAGTCATTTAATATGACGTGATGGTTTGTTTCTCGGACTGAATTTATGTATAAAATTCTTTTACTAAAGTCATTCGTAATATTTACCTCTTTATTTAATGTTTAGACAATATCTTAACTGGTACCTGGCGTAAGAAAGTTGAAGTGTTGCAAGAAGCAGCATGGAGTGAATTACAACAACGTGTAAATCCTGATAGATTATCTCGATTACTTTTAAGACTTCCACCACTTCGCTCAATTAATCCAAGAGTTTTGGAAGATTTATTTTTTGCTGGTCTTATTGGTAGAGTAAGCGTTGCTAGTGTGGTGCCTTTCATACTCGGTATGCAAGATTGTAAAACTGAATCTGATACCCAGATGGTATGATAATTGTTATTTGTGCAATATCATTTGTTACCTAAGAGTAAGGATTAATTTTAAGTGTTGAATATTCGAAAAATTAATTTTATACAAAATATTTACATATTTTCTTGATTCCTTAATGTTATTAATGGAAACTTTTAAAACATAAAAACAAAATTACATATTTGTTCTAAATAATCAGAGACTTAACTAGATTTTAGGATTTTAAGATTTGACTTCATTGTTATGGTTATGCGTAAAACTCTTATTCAAAAAATATTGCAATTATTCAAGATGTTATTGCTCAAAGTATTAGAATTATATATTGTTAATCAAAAAAATGATAATAGAAAATATTTCAAACATATTATTTTTATATATCATCGACAAAAGAATTAGCTAGTAAAAAAGGTGATCATTGAAAATTATATAAATACTTAATAATTAATTAGAAAATGCAGTGCTTATTAAGAAAAGATTTTTAACAATCTATAAATATATTTTTGTCAAAAATAAACTAAAATAATAACATTGTTAACGTTGTACCTGTTGAATTAGTTGATTTTTTTCATGTACTTGGTTA